TTTTTTTTTTGCCTTTCTGGTTATACCTATCTGCTTCCTGTCAATTGTCAAGAGCGGATTCTCTTTGTTATTCTGCTTCCATGGATTCCCCCGTTTTCGATGTTTTTGCCCCCCCTTTTTGCGCATAGTTTTTGTTCTGAATATCCATCTTCCTTTCTACCTGCTTTTCTTCTTGGTGCATCGTTTGTGATATTGGTCTCTGTCTTTTGGAGCATGTATGCATTGTAGGTGTCTTCGCCCGATTAGCCTTGGTTCTTGATAGTTCTTGTCTTCCGGAGGTATCGACCCAAAAACAATCTTGTCTCAAGTTTGGTATGAGTTTTGGTTTACCAACGTGGGTCTCTTGAGATAATTTTTCGATTTTTATCTGGAAGTTGCTACCTTTGAGATGTTGTTCTTTTGCCATGGCTGTTTTTGGGAATGTAGCTCTGGTGTTCTGTGTCAAGTATCGCCAGAGGGTCTGGACGTGACTTTTACGGTATGCTCAGACGGCATCCATATAGATGACAATGTGTAGTAGAGGAGATGGAGAAAAGCGACTTGTATTCTCGAACATCAACTACGCAATTGATGTAGTGAGTAGCATAATTTGATGTTGATGCTAGCTTACGATCAGGGTCATGCAACATCTGGCTTTGGACATTGATAGTGGCAGGGAGCGCAGTACAGATGGCTGGAATACGTGAAGTTGCTTCCGACCGAAACAGATTGAATATCAGATACGTTGCCGGAAACAGTTATCTATACATGATTGTGATACAGTAGTCTATACATGCACGCCTCTCCAACGTACGCCCCTTCTCCTAAACACTCTATCCAACCTCCCTCCCTGCGTCTCCCTGACCCACTTTCAAGCACTAAGCGTATACGCCGGACTCTGCCTCACCATCCCCTGCCACAGCACCCCATCTTCATCTTCATACCCAGGCGGACTAATCACCTCATGGAACCCCGGCGGGGCATCATGATCCTCTTCCCCTCTGTGTTCCTCCAACCCACCCGGCAAGATCCTCAACGGTATTTCAGCCTTTCTCTCAACCACATTTTTGGTCTGCGGGTTTTCGAGCGTGATGGTTGTTTCGAGAACATAGCAGAGTTTAAACGCTCCGATGGCAAAGTTGGGAACGAGCAGGGTGGGTTGGCTGCGTGTCATGTCGAGGAGCGTCATGTCTCGTTTTACGGTTACTGGTGTTGCGGAAGTAGGGATTTCGAGGCCTTTTCCTAGTAACTTGAATTTTGCAATGGGGATACTGAGGGGGGTTTTGGGTCTTCGGAGGAGGTGATCGTGGTGGTGTTGGTTGTGAATGAGACTTGGGCTTTTAGAGCAAGCTCGCAGGTTTGGAGAGTCAAGGAGGGAAGCGTTTCAGCTGAAGTGGTGGAGTTGTGGCAGAGTAATTTGATGTCGAATTTTTGCCACGCGCCTAAGGAGGTAGGCATGCAGATTGCGAGTTGAAGAGGATCAGGCACACTGATAGTAGAAGAACGTCTACGCGAAAGTTGTTGAGTCAAACTCAGTGTAGAAGACCTTCGTCGCGTAATTGGGATCATCCTTTGACTTTCCGCAGCAGCGTCCATAAGAAGGGTCGTTTCTGGCTCTGGGACAGGTAATTCCGTATGTTGGAATGGCCAAACATTGATATCGCGTTCAATCTGCATAGAATTGGTATTTCTATGCGGGTTAACACACAACTTCAACGAATACAGCACTTTCGCCGCAGAAATAACATTCCAAGTCGGCGGCACCGGTTGCAACTCTGCCACAAAAGGCACTTTGATCCTCTCCGGCAACTCGAACTCAAAAGGCCATTCGTGAGGTTTTGGAGATACTTTGTGAGGACCTTGAAGAATGGTTTTCTCATACCGAAAAAGGCTTTGGTGGCCGGTGCGGACGGAACCGTAGTTTGCTTGTCCCGACTCGACGATTTCGTTGTAGAGGGTTGCTTTGAAGATGATAGTCATGGTGTGGACTTTTACTTCAGTGGAGGGAGAGTAGCTGGCGACGCCTTTGATCTTCTGGCCAGGTCGAAAGTGTTGCGATGGATAGTTGCCCTCATTGTGTAGCTCGCCATCCAGATAGATCCGGAGGTGGTCCTGGACAAGAGTCTTCTTGCTCATGTTGATGTTGGTGAGTAGTGGCATCCGGTAAGTCCGCAAAGTGCCAGAGATGGAGTAATCAACGATGATGAGCTGTGTCCGTGATCTATTGTCAATGTGGCCAGAGGATGATCTGTCTTATGTACCTCAAAGACTGTTAAAACCAGCAGTGCCTCAAACAAAGCGAATATGTTGAACTTATTATTAACAAGAAGAGTGGATACATAAATTATGTCAATGGCGCCTAGAATACTGAGACGCTTGGCCAGACAGTCAACTGGGCACATGACCCGCGATATAAACTTAGTTGCTACCACGTCTGAAAAACGACGGGTTTTGCCTAAATAGGATGGCGGGGAATATCGGGTCCTGAGGAAAAGGCTGTGACAGGCTGGCCTTGGTTGTCAAGATTTTGACTACAAAGACTCTGGGCAAGATGCTCAGCGCTTTGGAGTCGTCAACAGAAAATTGGACCGCATAAGCAGAGGTAAGGTTGAAACGAACCACTCACTTACAAAGCTGCTGAAGGCGCAGCCGTAGTCTAGAAAAAATGAGACGAAGGTAACGGGAAACCGGTCGTAGTCAGTGAACGCGTGTGATAGTTCTCGTCAGGCACATGTCAGGTACAGGTCAAGGTAGACGAAAGAGTGATTTTGAATCGGGGTTTCATCAATTCAAACGACATCCCCAGCGCGGGCTCGCAGCTCTTGTGGAGAGGGACATCGGTGCAGAGTATATATACACACGAGATGGCTTTGACTCGTAATTCCCATAGCTTTTCTGTCTGACTTTCGAATTATATGAATGTCCTGGCGTCCAGAATCTAGTGCTTGGCTTCCTTCTTCTCGCTTTCCTTGAGGAATTGCCTGTGTGAGAGAACGACTCGTCAGTATGTGTTCTATGACTTGTATGACTGCAATGCATCTGGCCGCCGATGACCCGAGTGACCGATTTTCCTTGCTCTTTCTGATATGGGGTTGGCGACGTACTGAATGAAGTCGGCCTCGTCCTTGGATGAAGCGTTGATGGGAGGAGTAGAGCCAGTGACCTTCTTGGCACCACCGCTTGAGGCGTAACCAATACCGGCGAAGAGGGAGGTGAGGATACCGAGGGCGAGCTGTTGATGGTCTTTGTCAATGACTGGACGTGCGGAAGTTGAGGATCGTGTCGGGTGGCGCGCATACGTAGTGGGATCCGACCTGGCGGCCCATGATGTTGTACATAACAACCATTTTGACGGAGAGAAGGGATTGACGGGGTTGGACGGGAGGAAAGGCGATGTGGTATGGGCGCTATTCACTTGCTGTGAGGACGAGTTGGACAAGGGAAGCTGCGACGGATCCAAGTCTTGGCACCCCAGTCGGTCGCTCCTTCCGCAGAGTTGTGCTTTGCAAGATTCGTATTCGTAAAACTTGTGCCTTGCATAATTCGGGTGTCGGTACTATGAGGTAATTTGAGTTCATCCTTGCGACTCGCTATTAGCTTGGTAGGCTTGGTAGCTAGATAAATACCAATACATGTCTCCTAGGAGTATTTGCGCAAATCCCTTCTCTCTTGCCGTCAACTCCAATCCTCAAGACAACACTCCCTCGCAACCCAGCCACAAGGACAGCACCACCGTCGACTCTATAGACAAAGACAGCACTGCCACCATGGCTAACGACAAGGACACCAACACCAAGCCGCTCAACTTTGACGACGTTCCAAGAGAGCGCAAGGAGGATAGACCAGACTACTCCCAGCCCCTCCCCAGAAAGAGACTCCCCAAGGCCCTACAAGATACCCTGGACAATGAAGAGAAGCTATGGGAGACTATGTACGAAGGAAAGGCAGCTGAGTCTACCGAGAGCTCTGTCCGTTACGCTGGTTATGCCTCGAGAGTTCGCACCATCTTGATGTCGGCTCATCGCTACGTTGCTTATACCAGTGATATCGGCGAGAGTTTCAGACCTGTTGCTCACCCTTACCTCGTCAAGGGTGCATACGGTGTCTCGTGGGCATATCTGATTGGTGATGTCTCGTACGAGGGTTACAAGGCCTACCTCCGCAATCAGCGTGTCCTCAACCCCGACGCTTCTACTGAGGCTTCAAGCGTTGCAAGCAGCGACAAGCCTGTGGCAGCTGCTGTTGGTACTCTTACTCAGCCCACTCCTGGCAAGGTGCCACTCATCGAGGATTACAGAGTCGTTACGGCGCAAAGAGCCATCTTCCAGGGTATTGCTAGTATGGGTCTACCTGCATTCACTATTCACTCGATTGTGAAGTACGCCGGCAAAGCTTTGAAAGACAACAAGAACGTCAAGCTCCGAACATGGGGTCCCATTGGTGTAAGTACCCTTCCTTCTGACCAGATTCACAGTCGCTGACCCATGATACCAGTTGGGTCTTGCCGCCGTCCCTGCACTTCCTTACATGTTTGATGAGCCTGTAGAGCACGCCGTCGAGTGGGTCTTCCACAAGGCCTTTGCGACCGTCGGTGGAGAGGCTGCTGTCCATGGCCGTCCCGAGACCGGCAGATCTGCCTTGACTCAAATAGAGGCTAAGGCCGCTGCCACCAAGGAGAAGGAGCTATAATAGATGCAACGACCATCTTATGAGATTTGTACATAAATACTCTTCTTCATCATTGTAACAGATAAAGTCCGGTACCAGAAACGCACGGGCATCGACACAATATACGAATCTTGAATTGTGATTTAGCCAAGAGTGTATGAAAGCAATCATATGAATCATAACAAAGAGCTGGGATAGGCTCTTGCAATTGGCTCTCTGGCAGTTTCCCATGCGAGCCAATCGGACCGGGTAGTTCTGATGACATGTTAGCGAGGGGACCATTATGAGTTATGATGAAGCAAAGACATACGGCAGAAGGCCCATGCCATTGACTTTCCAGATACCGAGTGCCAGAGCCAGGAAATTACATGCGACGTAGGCAAGCTTGACCATGATCAAGCGATCGCGAGTGCCTTCGGTCTCGAAGCGGGAAAAGACATTCTGAATGTTGATGAGGGCTTGAATAGGGCCCTTGAACAGCATGAAGACCATCATGATGCTGAAGATTTGAAGACTGTTGCCCGACATGTACATGCCAAAAGCGTTCATAGGCAGCTGCTTGGCTGGAGCGATGGCGACCTCCCAGGCCTTCTTGAGCTTCAAAGTGTCCATCTCTTCGGTTGTAGGAGCTTTACGAGCAGACGTCTGGGCGACAGTATTCTTAGATGACTTGGACTAGAAGGAATTAGTGGGGTTGGAAGCGACGGTAGGGAGGCAGGCAGTCGGACCTTTGAGCTGGTGACGGTTGTTGGAGCAGTGTAGCCTGGTGGGTCAGCAATGCTCGAGGTCTTGGGTTTCGCAGTCGGAGGGGCGTTCAGGTCAACGACCCATCGCGGCGGTGGTGGAGGGACGGCCATGTCTGTTTGGGTTTCTGATAGTGGCAGGTGCGATGCGTTCGGCGATGGATTGTATCGAGGTTGCGCCAGTTCGGCAGGAGCAGTGCTGAGGTCCCGGCTGGCTTCCCCAGGATCGCAACTCCCTGACCGGCGACTTTGATGAGCATCTTCCAATTTACCTTTACATCCACTCTTTTGATCCACTTCTTCGAGCCCGCCCTTTCTCGGCTTTCCTCCTACGGTGATTCGACCGACCGCCCTACACACCATACTGTCACGCGACACGGAATTCGAGTGATACCAAGAAGAGGGGCACACCAACGACCGCTTGGGATTGGTCTACTTGACCTCCCTGTTACCACCTTCCCACCATGAGCGCAGGAAACCAAGATGCGAAGCTCTTTGCTAGAGTGAGTCGCCCCGACACCCTTCCCCTCCTGAGCCATGTTTGTGCCCATGTTTCGTCTCGACCAAGACTTACCAGTCTTTCGCAATTCACAGGGCAAAGTCGCCGAGCTACGACAAGAGTTGCAGGGTATTGGTGCAAAGAAGGACAAGGGCCACCTCGGAAAGAAGATTGCCCTCAAGAAGATTGTCGCAAACATGACAATGAGCAACAATGACATGATCGCCCTCTTCCCCGATGTAATCCAAGTCATGGGCCTTGCCAGTCTGGAAATCAAGAAGATGTGCTTCCTATACCTCGTACACTACGCCAGGATAAAGCCCGAAGTTGCCCTCAAGGCTCTACCTCATCTTGTCCAGGTCCGTCAAATCCATCACCCTCCTCAATCCTCCAACTGACCAAGTCTAGGACATGGAAGACACAAATCCCCTCGTACGAGCCCTCGCTTTGCGAACAATGTCATATATTCACGTTCGTGAATTCGTCGAAGCCGCCGTTACCCCTACGAAGCACCTCCTGCGAGATGCCGATCCATACGTGCGCAAAACTGCTTGTTTTTGTGTCGCCAAACTCTACGATCACGACAAGGCTCTGGTCGAAAACTCGGATCTGATCACTGGACTGAACAATATGCTGAGGGACGAGAACCCCACTGTTGTCTCGAGTGCTCTGGCTTCCTTGACTGACATCTGGGAGAGAAGCGAGTCCATCAAGCTTACAATCGACTACAACAGTGCTTCCAAGATTGCCTCCATCCTAGCAGAAACCTCCGAATGGAACCAGACATATATTCTTGAAGCCCTTATGAATTTCGTTCCTCAGGACTCTGGACAGGCTTCCATGTTGGCCGAGCGCATCACTCCTCGCCTTTCTCACACCAACTCGGCAGTCGTCCTTGGCTGTATCCGTCTCATCCTCTACCTCATGAATTACATTGCCGATGAAAAGACCATCACAGCTTTGATGAACAAGCTTTCTCCTCCCCTGGTTACATTACTCTCCAAGGGTCACGAAATCCAATACCTGGCTTTGCGAAACGCCCTTTTGATCTTGCAAAGAAGACCTGACATCCTGAAGAACGACATCCGTGTCTTCTTCTGCAAGTACAACGACCCCATCTACGTAAAAGTTACCAAACTGGAACTCATCTTCATGCTCGCAACTCAGGACAACATTAAAGAAGTTTTGAACGAGCTTAGAGAATATGCAACCGAAATCGACATTCACTTCGTTAGAAAATCTGTTCGCGCTATTGGAAAGCTGGCCATCAAGATTGAACCAGCGGCAAGACTTTGCATCAACACGCTTCTGGAGCTCGTTGCAACAAAGGTTTCCTACATCGTTCAAGAGGCGACCGTGGTGATTCGTAACATCTTCCGCAAATACCCTAATCAGTACGAGTCAATCATTAGCACGTTATGTGAGAATCTCGATTCATTGGACGAGCCTGAGGCAAAGGCTGCTATGATCTGGATTATTGGACAGTACGCCGACAGAATTGACAACAGCGATGTTCTTCTGGACGACTTTTTGTACACATTCGCAGACGAGACGCATGAGGTACAATTGGCACTTTTAACAGCGACAGTCAAGTTGTTCATTCAAAGGCCAAAAAAGGGACAAGAACTTGTGCCAAAGGTCTTGAAATGGGCCACTGAGGAAACAGACAATCCCGATCTCCGCGATAGAGGTTACATGTACTGGCGTCTCCTCTCATCAGACCCAGTGGCGGCGAAACAAGTCGTCATGGGAGAGAAGCCACCAATCACGGCCGAAACAGAAAAATTGGATCCATTCACCCTGCAAGAGATGTGCTTGGTGGTAGGCTCGCTCGCAACCATCTATCTGAAGCCTATCAAGTCAGTCTTCCGGTCTGCTCGCCCGCGCATCGTACCAGAGAGTCCTGCATTGCAGAAGCATAGATTGCCTAGCCACCAGGCCATGTTGGACGCACAAAAGCACTGGACTGAGATGACTTCCATGGGTGTACAGCAGCGACAAAACGGCAACGCGCATGCTGCTAACGGCGATCTTGCTGCGGCCGTTGACGCAGCAGATGTGTACTTTTCTACTATTGGAAGCCAGCAGATGGCAAACATGGCGCTGAATGATGATGGCTATGCATCGCCAGTTGGTGGAGAAGGGCCTCAGACTATGTTCGTTGTCAACCAGAACCAGCCACAGCAAGTCTATCAGCCTACTGTGGGGAATGATAACGGAGATCTTCTGAGCTTCTAGGTAATGTGATATAGAATAAGCATCCTTTCAGTTTAATGTACATATATTTCCATCTGCCAGTATTGTTATACTTTGCCTTCCGAAAGTAGCTCGACTGCGTTGACATTGATTCTGATTTCAAAGAAGCACTACATCAAGTTCTGCAATGCTCTTCCAATCGAAATCGATTTGAAAGATATGTATAGTCCAAGGTGTCGACTGCAGTGATGTTTGATGCCAAAAAGATCGGCGGTTTTCGGGGCTGTGAAGCCGATGGAAGATCCTTCGAAGGAAGAACATCTCAATTAGGACCATTTAGAATTTACATGACAACGAATTTACGATCCACTGGAAAAGTTGGACATTTCTTTCTTATTAAGAGACCAAAGAGCAGTCAGCATCCATCAAGCTATAATCCGAACCCAAGACAGGAAACGCCACAACATCAAAAAAAAGTTCTTGTCAACTCGCCCTGGACCAAACATATCATCGTACAAACGAACCACCAAAAAAGAATCGCAAACTGGACCATAGGAAAAATGCCACCACGACCATTTCCGCAGACTTTGAGTATAGGCACCGATATCTGCCACTACCCACGCTTTCTAAAATACTTTCCTTCAAGCCACCAAGTGACCCAGATTACGGCAACCTCATCTTCAACCCCTCTCTTCAAACTCTTCGACAAAACCTTTCTACCCTCTGAACAACGCGTCTTCTGGCGGAGATTTCCCTCTCCTCCTCAACGCTCTATCTCTAGCACTGGCACCGAATCCAGGGTTTGGAACACTCAACAAGCAAACGAAGCAGCAAGATACATCGCCTCACGCTGGGCAGCTAAAGAAGCTGTTATCAAGGCGTATGCTGCAGAGAGAAGGTTAATGCTGAGGGATGTGGAGATCAGGAAGGATGCAAAGACGAAACAACCGTTTGGTGTTGTGAGGGATGAGGGTGAGGGGAAGGGGTATGAGGATGCGAGAGAGGTGTTTGGAAAGTTGAGGAGGAGGTGGGAGGTTAGGGATGAGATTGAGAAGTTGCAGGGGCAAGGGCAAGGACAAAGTGGTGCTGGGGGAGAGGAGGGTGAGCTGTCGAGGCATACAGCGCGAAAGGAAGATATGCCTCAGCAAGAACCCACCACCCTCGAGCCAGAAACTGCTACTGCTCCCACTTCTTCAATTCTATCCAAAAACGGCATCCTCGACCTCAACGCCGTCACAAAACTCCTAGACCAAGACCCAAAAACAACCACTTCATCTGCACCACAAGAGGCACAGCAACACAACCAAACTCCAGACCAACAGCACGCTCCAACCGAACCCCAAACCAGACAATCTCAACTAGAAGAAGAGATGAAACGCCTCCGCAAACAAGAACAAGCAGAAGACGCTTTCAACAATCTCCAAGGCCAGATTGTAAAATTGAGCATCTCGCATGATGGAGAGTATTGTGTTGCTACTGCTTTGGCTGCTGTGTAAACCTTAGAAGATATTAAGATACAGAGGCAGTCTTGGTGGAACATGGAGAGTTTCGTTAGAAAAAGATGTATACCTTTTCTTTCTCCAAAACAGGTGGCATGGCTTCAAGACGGCATCACTTATTCACAACTTAATTCAACCACATTGCTTGAGCGAAGTGTACTTCATTTGATTATATATATATTAGCTACGAGTTACATAGACAACAATAGTAAGAACAGAGACGAAAGGCTATTCGTAGCTTGAGATACCGATGTAGCAGCAAGCTAGAAATACAGCTTTGAATTACTTTGCTGATTGCACAACATACTTCTCGGGTCGAGCAAGCTCACCAGAGACTCCGACAACATATGTAGATACTGCTGTGCCTGTAGCGACACTCAGAACCCAAGCGATGCGACGACGCCAGCGACGAGGCTTTTCCCTGCGGTATTTCTCGTATGAGCGTGCGTACCGTCTCTCACAAGGCTGTGCAAAGTCATGCGAATTTGGATGATATGTTTGCTGCTGGATCTTCGAATGCTCATGGGTTGGAGTATTGGATGATAAGTTCGATGCGTCTGCGTGCTCACGGACAGGTTCCGTTGGAAAAATAGGTTCGTAGTTGACAAAACCCGTAGGAGAAGCGAAACGTGCAGTAGCCGGCTCCATTGGAATAAACTTTGTGGTACCGTCTACAGGATTGATATCGCCATCATACAATGGAGGTTGAGAATGGGGATCCGTATAGACTTTTCGCAGTATCAAGAAGTCTTTCTCTGCGTGAATCACCTGGAAACCTTCGTTCTGTGATGATGCAAGATGCGGCAAGAAACGAGCTGTCTGGGAAAGCTGAGAGACAGCACGAGGGATTGAAATAGGGTCCTCGCTTTCCGAGAAGTTGGAAGGTGTGGTAGTGATAGTAATGCTATCTTTGCTGGAGTCGTAGGCGATGACTTTGTAAAGAGCAGGGTTGGCCCAAGTAATGGATGCGCTTGGTTGTGGTGTTAAAGATGCATCTTCAGATTCAGTCTCTGATTTACTCGTTGTTGTATCATTTTCTGATGAAGTCACGGTCTTTGGCAACGTTACGCTCGGATTGACAGAATCGAATGCTTCTGCATCAAGAGAACTTCCGAAGACCGCGGCGGGTTGATCAAGCTCTTTCTCATCTGTCTTCTGGTGATCTTCAGAAAACGTGCTTCTGGCAGGCTGCTTGTACCACATACTGCTGTTATTGAACTTACCCACAGTTGGAGAAAGATCACCCTCACCCGGCATGTCCTTCAGATCGCCCTCGCCTGGCATATTCTTCAGATCTGCTTCTAGGGAAGCCGACTTGTTGCTGACCTCTCTCTCGAATGAAGTTTCCATGGCGCCAATTGGAGCGCGTGAATAGCTATCTTCATGATACGATGCTTTCTCCATCTCGAATCGCAGTCAGTATGATTCACAAGGATGATGAGGAACGACTTGCCTGTTTGAGGTCGTCCTCGAGCGAACGTTCACTCTTTTGTTTCTCCAGATAGGACATCATCTGATGACCCATCGGCATCGTAGAATAGCCATCCTCAAAAGCAGGTCCACGAGTGTTGATCTCCTGCTCGAGGGTCTGACGTTTTCCAAGGATTGTGTCCTTCTCCTCTTCGTCAAATGCAGTCTCCAAGCCACCTGAAGGATGAGAGTGACTGTCACTGTGTGTTTGTGCTTGCACTCTGCGGCTCACCTCCTCTTCGAGAGTTTTCGACTTGCCATCTTCGCTTCTTTGGGTCTCGTTCATGAAGTGGGATTCCATACCCGAAGGTAGAGTGTCGTGCTCGTTTGCAATGGTCGACGACTGCTCCTGGGCTTTGATCTCCTCTTCGAGCGATGCAGCCCTACCTCTCTCTACTTCCTGCTGCTCTCTGTTCCAGGTTGTCTGCATTCTTTCCAGTTCCGGCAAGAATCCATCATCCGAATTGCGGGTCTGGATATGGTCTCGAAGTTCATCCTCGAGATTCTTGTATTGGCCTCGCTGTTTTCCTGCTGCTTCCCTCTCATAAAGGGTTTGCATACCGATAGGCTTAGTCGAATAGGCATCATCCGGGTCTTTCGTACTCGCAGAGGAAGGCATGTTCTCGAGTTCATGCTCCAATCTTTGCGGCGTGCTCCGTTGCTCTCGGCGATACATCGTTTCAAGGCCGACAGGCTCTTCATCGAAGCTCTCAGAGTACTGCGGAAGTTCATTTGAAATACCAGTTGTGCGAACTTCATCTTCGAGGGACTCGCGCTCACCCTTGTCAGCCTCTCGCCTTTCCTGTTCAAACAGTGTCTCGAGGCTTTGTGGCGGGACTGAATAACCATCTTCAAGTGGAGGAGCATTGGTGTTCATAGCAGCCAATTCCTGCTCCAAGGAAGACTTGTGGTTGACCTCGTCGTTCTTTTGTTCATCTGCGAAGAGTGTTTGCATGCCACTTGGAGCTACACTATAGTCATCGATGATGTTCTGAGTGGGTCTCTTGTTAAAAGCATCCATCTCTTGTTCAAGGGGCTTCATCTCGCCATGCTCACAGGCTTGGTTTTCAAGCTTGAAAGCCGTCTGTAGTCCTTTTGGGTTGTTGTCCCAGCCATCCTCGAAAACTGCAGGTCTCTCAGCATCGACGGCGTCGGAGGGCTTGGTCAACTCGGGATGGGCTTGTCGTTCCAGAATCTGAATTTGCTCACGCAGCGTTTCCAGATGCCTACGGGCTGCGAGTAGCTCGTCATGCTCGGACTGGTATGTCTTGTCAAAGTTCTCAGTGAGGGAAGCATGTGCTGGAGGAGTGTTCGTGGAGGTCGCGACATCGTCTGGCAGCTGTGAGACGACGGTGGGCTTGTGACGAGCCTCCTCAAAGCTCTGGTTGTTCTTCTCGCCGGGAGCTGAGGTGGTGGCGGTTCTACTCTGTCCGTTGTCTGCGGGGACCATTCTTCCAGATATGGGATCATAGACTTTATGGCTGACCTCGTTGGTGTCTGAGTTCCATGATATGGATGAAGCCTCAACGTGAGGGTTGGATCCTAAGTTGTGAAAGGCTTGAAGTTTGAAGGCAGAGGCTTGGGCGAAATGTCTGGCCTTTTTTGACAGAGCTTCCATGTCTTGTGTCAAGAAGTCAGGAGTGATGGAATCCCAAAAGGGCTTCTGACGTCTGCTAGGTCCTGTGTCATTGTGATCTGAACGGGGTTCTGGATGGGAGTCCCGAGCGACACGATTCTTCTTGTTTTTGTTCGAGTGACTTGCAAAGCGAATAGTGGAGGGGTAGGATGCTGCATAGTTTGGGAGAGGCCAAGGCTTGGGTCTAAGGCCGACGCCATAGGCCTGGCGGAGGAAGGGCATGGTTGTCTGAGACGTTAGTCAGTATCGGGATGTTTGTCGAAGCTGCTCGAGGCAAGATAAGAACAGGCACTCACGAGGAACTCTCTTCTGCTCTGCGAAGCGTGATGGACGACGACCAAGTGTCAGCGGAATGTGGATCTTATCTCCGGGTGTACGCGGACTGCCTTTGCTGTACTGCTAGATGCAACTGATAGAAAAGTCGATGGATGTATCTTGCCGGCTCACTTGGTGCGGCGCACAAGCTGTCATGGACCAAGACCCTGGAGAAGAGAAAGAGGATGGATGGGAAAGAGCACTGGTCGTCGCTACCCTGATGAGCACGAGGGCATTTACCCCGCCGAAGCTCCGCACCTGGGTCCTGTCACTGCCTGATTTGTTCAAGTTTCAAACTAGCCTCAAACTTAACTCAAAAAATCATTTTTGGTTGTATAAAGAGCCTGATCTAATTCCCTTCGTTTGTTTGGGGTATGTACAGGAAAAGGGAAAAATATTGCAAATAAACGTCATGATCATCATGGCTCATCAGTCAACTCTCTAGTCGCCTTGGTCTCACCCTCGGCTGCGTCAAGAGCCTCAATTCCATCAGGTGTGATTTTCACAGCACCTGCTCTGACCAGAGCTTGCTGCAGGTCGTCAAGCAAGTCGCCTACGTCCTCGATACCAATGCACAGACGAATGATGTCTTCTGGCAGAGCACGCTCCTTTCTGGTAGCAGGGTCAATGCTGGCATGGCTCATGCGGCAAGGCATACTGATCAAGCTGTTGACACAGCCAAATGAAACAGAGATAGCGAAGATCTTGGCCGCTGCCACAATTCTCTCTGAGATAGTGGTCGAGCCAGTCTCGAAAGAAAGAACAGCACCCGCGCCACGAGCCTGCGACCAGTGAAGGTCGTACTGAGGGTGCGACTTAAGACCTGGGTAGCGGACCTTGAATCCGTGGCTTTCAAGGTATCTGGCAATGGCCATGGCATTGGCCTGCTGCTTTTCCATGCGAACAGCCAACGTCTTGATACCACGAAGGAGGAGCCACGAGTCAAAGGGACTGAGTCCGCAGCCTGAAGCGTTGATAGGGAAGTAAAGTTTGTCGCCCAATTCAGGGCTGTTGGTAGCCATTACACCAGCCATGACATCGTGGTGACCAGACAGATATTTAGTACCGCTCTCGTACACAATATCGGCGCCCAAGTCAAGAGGGTTCTGGAGGTAAGGAGAAAGCATAGTGTTGTCGACAATGACAAGCGCCTTGGGGTTTGCCTTGTGAGCAAGCGAGGAGAGGGTAGGAATGTCGACGACCTTCATAAGAGGGTTTGTAGGAGACTCGAGAAGAACCATGGCAGTCTTTTCAGACAGAACGGCAGCGACCGAGTCGGGGTTGGTGGTGTCGACATGGCGCACAATGATACCGCCGTGGGTTGAGAGGTATTTGAGCAGACGGTTGGAGCCACCGTAGAGGTCGTCACCAGTGACAACCTCATCACCGGGGTGAAGCAAGCGAGTTATAACGTCAAGGCAAGCCATGCCCGACGACACGACCAGCGCGCGGTGGGCATTCATGATCTTGGCCAAGTGACGCTCGAGATGGGTACGGGTAGGGTTGCCGGAACGAGTGTAATCGTACTCATTGCCCTCGCCCTTGAAGGTTGCAGATTGGTAGATGGGAACGCTACTAGCATTGTACTGGTCGTTTGACTCAGTGTAGACCAGCTCGGTTGCGAGAGAGTACTTGTTCTTGCCATTGCTGGGGCTGGAAGGAGTGGGCGAAGGAGGAAGGTTGTGACCATCGACGTCGAGACGCTTGTTGGCTGGAACCGAGGTTGAAGAGGACGACATGATGCTAAAGTCGTGGTTTTTGAACAGGGCCTACCACCCTGGACATGATATTAGTATCCTGTCATTGTGACTTGAAGACTCGACCGAGCTTACTGTAATTCTTGAGCGGAGTAGAGTGCGAAAAGTGTCTGTGACGATTGAATGAAAGGTGCGAAAGGCGTCTGTTGCGAATTGAGTCGTGATCGGGGATCTAGAGTGTGGTTGTTTTCAGGAATGAAAGAGCAAACTTCCGTCAAGCAAGAGATGGGAGACGCAATTGCGGCGAACGGCAGTTGGCTGCCGGATGGTGTCAGGCCGAAACCGGGGCTAGTTTCCATACCGAACAATGACGGCCGACACCATATAAATTCCATGAGCCATACCCATCGTATTGTTTGCATGTTACTTGGACGAGATACTGACCATCATTGATCAAATGACTCAGCGAATGCCGCTCCATTCGTGCCTTCTTCTAGCATCTCCATTTCGCCTTTACACACTGACAGTGATATTGTTCGTTCTCTAAAGAGACCCTGAGCGTTCCGAACACACTTCCACTCGGATGCTCTTCTCCAAGTATGACTGTTTGAGGAAATCGGTTCCACCTTGTCGAGTCACAACGCCCAGGGTTGAGGCAGAGACTTACTGCTCATATGTCAACGGCATATTGACTAGAAGATATGCCGACTTGCTCTCGTCAAGAGATGAAGATAGATATACCAGAACTTGATGCCTGAGGTCCATGGAAGTCGCGAAGTTCTACGTCATCACGAGTCACACAACTCGACGGCTTGGCTTTGCACTTCACGCCGTCAAACACCTTGTAAAGAGAGGAAAATGCCAATGTTAAACCTATAGAATTGCAGCACTTAGACTGGAACCATTTCCAGAAGAAAACTCAGATCACTGATCGTATACAAAGGCATAACGACTACCAAATCCATGGAGCGGTCCATCAAAAGCATCTATGCTAAGCACTCACCCTGGACATCAATCCTCCAAGTCACGAAAGATCGATCTTGCATCTGACGGGGAATCAACTACCAAATTTAAATATACGGTATTGAGCTTCAAGCATGCAAGACTTGTTACAACATGGAAAACACGGAGCACATGGAAAAATTCTCTGGGAGACATGCACGAGGTAAATGATGCCAATATTATTGACCATAGGAGTTGTGTTCTCATCTATCAATCCCGATCTGAAAAGACGCTGCCAGCAGTTTTGAACTAGACCAGTGAACAGATAGTCTCACGATCATCTACCCGACAGTCCCTTATTCGCCGTGTTCGAGATACCACTCGCGATGTCGTTCGGCTGTCGACTTGATGACATATTGGAGGACGATCATTACTTTCCGAACACCGTTCACCCATCCCATGGAGCTGATTGATTCGTCATACAGCTCGACAGTGCTTCCGACTCTGATAGCAAACCCAACTTTCCACCAATCTCCATCCACCACAAAGTACGGAAGTGGCCATCGATTTTCATCATACGGGTGCGGGATTTGGATTCGCTCGAGATAATCAAAGTACTCCAAGCACCACTTCTTGAGACGCTCCATCGAGTCATCGCGAGAGCTTTTCTGGACCACGATTGGACATATGGGAATGGAGTTGAACGCATCGCAATTCGTTTGGTGCGCACGCCAAAAGCTCTCTTTCAGACAGAGAATCATGTCAACTCCACCGTCGGTAGACTCTGACCCCTTGACGCATACAACCCCTTCTTCCAGTCCATAAAGATTGAGCAAGCGTTTCAGGAAAGGATGAGCGCATGTAGTGTCCCAATCAAGACCCATCGCCAACATAATGGAAGGCACCTCAGCTTTTATATCCGGTGATAAGAACCTGTTCTGGATGGGTTCCATCTTTTTGAGGGCTCGCAAGGCATCGTCGATGAGCATATAAGTCAGAAAGTGTTGGACTGTCGTCAGAACGCGCTGGAAAGCTTGGTCGACGGCTCGCTGTCCCAAGGCCGAGCATGCGAATCCATGTGAACCTTGACCGCTGCCACAGGCATCGCAGTCGCTCTTTCTGGTGCGAGGAGTATATCCCCATTTGTTCTTCTTCGGATCGAGGATGCGGATTTGTAGGCCAGGGGTTGGTGTTGCTCCTCTGATCAAGGTGGTTATCTGAGAGTCACTCTGAGTCAACCCTGGTTCTGGAGATGGGATCCCGCGAACTTCTTCAGGATCTAACGGGATCTTTTCGTCGATGATTTGTCGGTGTGAACAGGAAGGAGGGCACCGTGTTAGGTCTCGCGACCCAAGCTCACACAAGTCTGATTGTTGATGAGTCAAGTAGGAGACAGGCCAGTGCGGCATTCTTTGAGGAAGGTTTGGATTGCAGCTTGATGAATATTAGGAAGTGTTGATGTAGGTTTTCAGAAGCGACAGGAAGTGTTGGTGTGGTATTGAAGAAACAGAGAGAGGAGAGCACTCCGTGAACACTTTATACCCAGACTCGTGGTGGAAGCCTAGAGATATTACTCATAACCACGAGTATTCCCGCGAAAAACTGAAACGGAACCTTCGCGCAACATCTCAACCTAACCATGCAAAAGAACCACCCATGATCGCAGGCAGTGGCAAACTTCAACATCAACCGTTCGAAGAAACATGGTATTGAGAGCCGTCCCATTTTCGATTATATCTCAGCCAAGTATGTTCATGTCGCAATGCGGGAACACTACTTGAAATATCCCATCCTTGATCCGTGATTGGACTGGAAGGGTTGCCTTGCCCTGAATGCATGGACATCCATACGTTTTTGCGTCACACCCATACCAATATTCGCTCGATCAACAAACCATGCCTACAACTCGAATCCGCAACCTTGACTTAAAATCATCGCATTGCTCTCATTTCGTCTTATGTATCTACTATCGATGCTCTACGAAAGGCATCCACCAGTGATGTTATCTACGGATAAGCATGGCCATCGAGGTGATTGGTACATTTCAGCATGATAACAAACATAAAGAGCATAATGTGCACACTACTTACTTCATGCACTGATGCGAAGAGACATTCATTACGGCATTACCCGTATTTTGTAGCTTCTAGAAAGAATCATTGATCATGGAGTGGTCAGATGCAAGACGTGATTGCGGATTCGAGTTAATATAAGTTCGAATGCGCAGGTGATTCCCTCTACGTGGCGACACTGACAGGTGACTCACGTATTCAAAATTTCCAACATCTAGTTCGTTACATCGATGACTTGTGGTTGTGTCTTCTGGTTGTCGTTCATGACATAGGGACTTGCTCAAGGTTCAGGTCAGTTTCCATTCCCCTTCTATCAACTGTTGAGATGACTAACAAGTCTTCAAATAGAATGATCTACCCCTGAGTTGGCCATATACTTACCTCCGATCACTCATCTCCCTCCTCGCTGTCTGTATACCTCTCGGGCTTTGCTATGTCCATCGTCGAAAAACGTTCAAACCGTTCTTGTAAGTCTCATAAGGCGTATCTCGATCACGAAGATCGTCAAGCCACCAATACGAACAACATCAGCTTATCCAGCACGCTACTATATCATAGTATCTCGAAACCCCTTGGAGATACAACCTTTTACGTCTGAGTTCGCCACACACTCGTCAGCTTCTTCGTCCCTGAACCTCTCACTCATCGCCATGCTCATCATCGAAGAACCACAAGCCCGCCTTTGAATCTCACGAGCCGTATGGAAATCAAGAAGACTATGGAATTATCTATACGCATGCCATCGACATATCCTGTTGCGTGTATAGTGTACTACACGTCGCACCAAGGTCAGCATGACACTTCATGAGAAAGCTATCCCTAGGGCACTTCAGATGCTGGGCACTTTCACATTCAGCCCCCTTGGGAGTACCGTCAAGACCAACAACAGTGGTATGCTGTAGATGTACTCATGCTACATGCGATGATCCAAAGACTTGGCCGGATATCCCTACATCAACTATACTGGATGACTACGACAGCTCGTGGATCTTCAAACTCTACATCTCGCTCAACGATAGAGAGATACGAGTGATGTATCTTGTGTGGAGCTGCTATGTCTTGGGAGACCTGAGTTCATGGTTGAGATCATCACATCTCCAGTCTCCAAACGAGGTTTGTTCATCGAACAGCATCTCCAGGACTCATCTTTACAATCTCGAGAAGTTGTTATTGTCAAGGACAAGGAGTGGATCTGGAAGCTACAAAGCCACTCTACCTTGCTCCTTCGGTGTGAGGTGATTCTGAGTGCTGGATACATATGTCAACCTAGCAGACGAAAAAGCACGATAGAAAGCCGTATACTTGATTATAGCGGAAGTAGTATCGCCTCTGGAATTGACCTATACGAACCACGTGTCTTCTGCACTGTACCATTGATGTTGGTTTGGGATCAACCGTTGATCAAGACCAAGCAGTTCCTTTTGCTCTGACTCTTGTCCTGTTCTCTCTGGCCCCTTTATCCAGTAGCTGTCTTCTTGCTCCTCTGTGACCAATGCGGTATTCCTTGTCGTGGTTTATAGTTCCTAGTGTGATCTGTTGTGTATCATGGTGCTCGGTTCGAGTCTCCTACTCGGCATTTTGATTTTGCTTCCAACGAAGAATCTATTGTCATGACCGAAACACTTCCATCACTCTCGGCAATACCCACCCATTGCATCGCTTCACATAACCACCAACCACGGAGTCAGCAAGATCACGCAAAAGAACAGGCTTTTATGCAGATGCAAGTGGATTAAAAACAATATATAGAATACTATGCTTACTTCATCTAATCATAACCGCAAAAGCCCAAGGCTTCAAATCTTGCTCTCCTTGCCGTTAAGCTCGCAGAAAGCCTTGAAAGTAACCAAAGGCTCATCGCTAGAGCTCTCAAGAACGCACTTTGCAGTAGCTCCAATGAAGTAGACATAACCCTCCTTGATTTCCTCCTCTTTGGGGCCAACGCTGATCTTTCCCGAACCTTTCGTGCAAATGATGATGCTAGGGCCGTCGATAGATTCGAAAGTGGCTTTGGCACCAGGCTTGTTGAGGTCAGTCTTGACGACGCTGAACTCCTCGATTGGGGGATCGTAGAGAATGGCAGAAGAGCTGGAGCTGTAGGCAGTGGTGTTCAGGGTGACGAAGGGGTAGTCTGCAGGAGACATCTTTTGTTCGCTGATGGGGGCGTAGGAGTATGTGAGCATATCGGTAAGGGTATCGACGTCTTTGAACTTGGGAGTAAAGCCAGCGCGAACGACATTGTCGGAAGAGGCCATGCACTCGATGATGTCTAGATCAGGTCAGTGTGAGTTAGTTGAATGATAAAGGACAAAAATCACCTCCAGAGAGATAAGCATGGATGTCGTCGGCCTTCAGGAACATGGCCTCGCCAACCTCGAGCTTGACGTAGTTGAGGAAGAAAGTGACGAAAAGGCCAATGTCGTTAGGGAACTGGCCCTGGAGTCGGAGCATCAAGTCTGCAAGTTCCTTGCCGTTGTTCGAAGGGCCGCCATTACCGGCGAACTTGTCACCCTCATCCTTTGCTTGTTGGATAAGGTCCTTGGCGTGCTTCTCAATCTCTTCTGGCTTGCTCTTCATCAGGCTGCGGAAAGCAGCCTGCAGAGCCTTCTTGTTTTCTGCTTCCTTGGACTCTTCTTCTGAGGTTTCCTGACCCTTGATCGTCTCTTGGAACTTCTTTGCTTCCTCCTCTCCTACCAGGCTCTTGAAGCTGGGTACAGTGTCGAGGAAGTGCGAGATTTCAGCTAGAGGACGGAAGCCGCAGAGACCGTCAAAAGGAGTAATGGCAAGTGCCATCTCGGGCTTGTGGTTGTCGTCTGGGTAGTTCTTGGGGTCTTTCTCGTGCAGTTTTGCGGCCAGCTTCTTGTTGGGATGGGCTTGGATGGACAGGGCCTTGTTCACGGAAAGCACCTTGAATAAGAAGGGCAGCTTCTTCTGGTACTTCTCGGAGATCTCTCTGGACATCAAGGCTTCATTGTCCTGTACAAGGTCGAGCAGAGTGCGCTGGGTTTGCAGATCCTTGGAGGGGTTGCTGGGGTGTGTTCCCATCCATAGCTCGGCGTAGGGCTTCTCTTCCTGGATGCTGAAGTCGGAGGGGGTGGCAGAGGCGAAGCGGGCGGCAGCAGAGTCCTTGCCGACCTTTCCTATCCATGTCTATCAGTCTTTTGCGTGGGTTGTGGTGATTGTCGCAAAGGCGAATTACCCCACTCATAGCTGTTGCAGCCTGCGAATCGTCATGTCAGTCGAATGGCATTTTCCTTCGCTTTCAGACACGTCTTACCGCATTGCAGGCGAATTAGAGGGATCTGCATTTTCGATAGATTCTCAAAGGTGATGCGACAAAGTAAACAGAGCGACGAGGGTCAGTTGTACATCAAAAGGTAAAAAGAGAAAGGGGTGATGCCCCTCCGCGTCACAGCAGCTCCACCGAAGCTTCACATGGAGCCGCCTGCTCCGACCATGCACCCCTTTTCAACGACTGCTCCCATCTCAACTTCTTCCTCCAACGACTCTTTACACATTACGCATAGCAGTAGGTATTCCGACCTTTCCTGAAAGCTCAAAGGCTCCTGACTAACCCTTCCAATACGATGTGACTGCCACCTGATCTGCAAAACTCCCTTATCGACTCTCCAACCAGCTTCTTCAGCTGAGATTCATTTGGTTCGCCGAGGACTTTCATCGACATGAATTCTCTCTAACTGCTAATGCCTATGATCAACTGAATCACTGTGACCGAATAAAAAGACAAATATGTGATTCATATTCCCACTGAAACCAACTCAGGCTCACGCAACTGTACAAGACTAGGTTTGCAAGTACTCATACCACCAGCTTCTCAAGTCCAAGGCCAAGTATAAAAATATCCAACTCGCCAACACTCTCCTTTCTCTCTTCATACTTCTGGTGTATCTCTTTCATCTCCCACCATGTTCTCTGCCAAACCCTTCCTACTATGCCTGGTAGCATTGTTCACCAGCATGGTATCAGGTCTACCCCTCGCACCTTCCTCAGTTACACTTCACGACCTAGCCAGCTCTACAACCGCAACTACTACTTCTGTCAGCTCTCTTCTTCCCAGACATGGTCCATACGACGACGACACCTTAGAGAGACAAAGAAAATTTTGTCGTGAAAGCTACACCTACTGTGAAGAAATGTGTGGTGTCGATCAGCAACTTGCCGACCTGGTCTTCTGCACATTCGACCCCGCCCATTGCAGAGACATATTTGGTGCTAGTCGCTGTACGCCCTGGGGCGGAGGTCCTTGGTGGTGCCATCCTGGGGCCAAACCACCAGTTTTGAATGGGGATCCGGACCACGATAAGACGGCTTTGTTCCCTCCTCCCACTCCATCTGCTACTGGACCTCCCGTTCCACCAGCTTCTGAGGTCATTGTTACTGCGATTGTGGCCAAGGAGTTTATGCTTCCTGAGCAGACTGCTGCAGCTACTCTGATCAACAGCACTACTCCTTCCGCCACAAGCACCACCGATGGGGGCAACGGCAAATCCATCTACAAAAGAGGTGGATGGTGGTGCCTCTGGTTGTGTGATTAGCCCTGCCCTTCGTCCTTCCTTCACCTGCTTGTCCTTCCTTGACTTACCCGGCTCCCCTTTCTTGCCGCTTATCCTGACCTCTTCCCTTCTCTTACCTTTGATCTTTTTCCCACTCCCCTTCTTCTATTTCGTGGTCTGCTCCAGATCACAAAAGAAAAACCCCCTTTGCTTTAGCTTGAGATGGTAAGCGACAATGCAAACAGAGAACGTCCCTCATCCAATTGCCGTAATGCACAGAGTATTATGAAGTACTGCGATACGGATAAGTGCAGATGAAGTGATTGAAGACACATTGTTCACAAAAACCTGCATTGTATCAAGAACAAAGGAAGCGAATGGTAGTATGGTAATGGAATTAGTTGATTGTTCTCGCTGATTGGGGGGAGTAATACACATTCACATAAAAACGAGAAGAAAAAAAGGACAAACAAATGTTCAGCCGACAGAGAGTATCGTCCATGTTCCTTCGTTATTAAGTATGGTACGAAGGACAGGTCAACATCATCAATGCCGAGCCGTTGAAGAATCAGAAGTAGGAAATTCGGGAGTTTCTATCCCTTTTTTGTCCACCTTTGACATGAGGTACAGACTTTCTGCTTGACGTCAAGCCACCGATTACCTGTAACATGCATGAGGCGCGAGCACGCATCTTTTTGCCAGGTTGTGTCCAGCAAGTAGCTGACGTGATGAGAGAATCCGAGAGGGTATGTTGCGAGATCAAAAATCAGTGCTATCCAAACAGGCTCATAGAACCGGACGAGGGTTTTCTATCCTTATTTGTTCTTGAGACCAAGAGTAAGACCGACAGCCAGACCAATGATGATGAGAATGATGACAACGATGAGCAGGCACCACCATTTCAGACGACGAGCGCGACGAGCATGTGTGATACCCTTGTCGAGTTGCACGTTACCAGCCTCGGTGTCCTTCTTAACGTTTTCGGTGTGCTGCTCAGCTTGCTGGATCATGGGTTCTTGAACGACGACAGCCTCGGCGAGATCCTCGAAGAGCTTGTTCAGCTCGATCAGAGTACGCTCAATCTGTTGAATGTCGTTGTGACGAGCACGCACTGCACCAAGCACGGTGCTAGCGGTGGCCGAGCGGTTGGTCTTGAGCTGGAGGCGGAATTAGTATGCGTGACTAAGAAATGTGCAATAACTGAACATACAGCAGTCTGGAAAACACCCTCGTTGCCCCAGTCGGCGTTGGATGCCTCCTGGACTTCAGCATCGGTGGCCTCAGGGTTGACAATGCGATATTGACGGGCGATTTGTTCACGGTAGCGGCGTTCATAACTGGCCTCTTCGTTGCGGTACTCCTCGAGTTGCTTCTTGAAGCTTGTCTTGAGCTGGCCGACCTGGCTGTTCTTGATGTTGTTGTTGCGACCGCTTCTGGCAGCATCTGTCTCGAGGAACTTGATCTGGTCCTTGATGGAAGTGTTGAGAACCTGTGTCTGGGTGACAATCGACTCCAGGGCCTTGTTGGAAGAAGCATCGGGACTGTTGAGTGTACGCTGGTGGGCTGCGGCAATCTCGGAAATGTATTGGGTCAACTGGCGAATGTCGGCTTTGGCGGCTTCGACGCGCGACAAGAAGTCCTGGTTGCTGAGAACAGTAGGAGAGGATTGGTGCATTGGGGCTTGCGATCCGGTGGCTGCTACACCGCTGGCCTGGCCAGGTACGCCGGCAGCCTGCGGTGTGCTATACTGCGAGTCCTGAGTCATGGCCGAGTAGTTGGACTCGCCATGGCGAGTGGTTGCCGGAGGTTGGAGAGGCTGCTGCTGAGGGTAGTCAGTACATATGCTGTTGCGACAAGTTTGACAAGACACACATCTCCGTAGGGGTTTGCCTGGCCGTAGCCCTCATTGCCGTATGGGTTGTCTCCGTCACCGTAGGGGTTTCCGCCGTATCCCGCATATTGATTGCTGTTGTTGTAAGCCATGTTTCGGCGCGAGCGCAATTGATGCGCAAGTAATTATTAAGATGCTGGTGTAAAGTTGCTGTAGTAGAGAAGGCCTCGACGACGAAAGAGTGAGATGGCGCTTCGACTCGACGACACGTAAGGGCGGCGCAATGCGGGTGGGTATTAGGCAGGAGCGACGACGGTCGGACACAAAAGAAAGCACGCGACGGGATGTTGCAGTCCTCGAGGAAGGCGCGACGACGACGAATGTGTAGAGGTGCAAAAATGGGTTGAACGACTGCAGGCAGTCAAGGTTCGGTTCGTGATTGAGCGCTTGGACTGGCTGGAGCGACGGATGCAGCGACGACCATTGGCCAACAACGTCTTGGGTTTCCCAGGCACAGCCAGGAGATCGACCTGCCGCCTCGTTCAAATTTCCCGTATTCCAACACCAAAACAATCATTTAAAAGTCTCTATATTCACAGTGTCCTTCAACTTATCTGCCAGCGCTTTTTATTGTTTGCTCGCCAATGACATGTTCTTGCCTGTTCAAGGGCCAGAGAGATGGGCTCAAAATGGCCAACTCTTCTGCAAGCTGCCCGTCATGAAACAACGGTGACCAACGTGCAAAGACGCCTGCGCATGTGCCCTCTTCCTTCCCACTCTTTCAATTTTCAATGTTGCCATGCCGATCCTGCCATATTCTCGTTTAACTTCTGTCAAGCATTGCTTCAACTTCGTCATTCTCGCATTGAAGAGGCAATGACGACGCTCATGCTAAGAATACAGTGTAGATGGCTAGCTCGGCAACTCAATCGCCGCACTTATCATTGCGACACATCTAACCTCGGTCATAGCATTAAGGGTCATCACATGTGATGAGAGAAACGTGAAGTATTCTTGATTGAATATTTTGAATTCTGCCTCTTGCGAGGTCTCGTCCTTGTAGGAGCTAGACTGTTGTACAATAACATGGGGAATCTCTAGTAAAAGTCCCATTCCCAGGCCTCATCATTCGTGAGCCGACCAACGCCATACTGAAAACATAGCCATCATTAAAACGCCTTCCGTTCCGTTTATCATCCAATCGTAAACCGTAACGCACTGATAATGCATGCTCTGAAGTGGTTTGACCCAGAATGGTCGCATTACATCTCGAGGTCGTCAAAGTCTCTCATCATGACAGCCATCTGAGCACGCTTGGCAGCCTCAGCAAGAAGGCTGAAGTCTTGCAGGAAGGGCGAGGTGTCGTTGTGACCTCTGGGTCTCTGCTCTTCGCAGAAACTACCACGGTGCTGCTGAGGATACTGCGGCATTTGCTGGTAGTAGTTGTTCTGTGCAGGAGGCAACGAGAACTGAGACTGGCTTGAAGGCGATGTCACAGGCGCGGCAGAGACCAAGGTAGGTGATTGACGAGAGCTCATGTTGGTCTGGTCAGGGCTGGTGTTGATGGAAGCCAATGATGAAAGGCTAGCCGAGCTTGTGAAGGTGGATTGGTTGTAGGAAGCTTGGTGATAAGCAGGTCTCTGCTGGGCGTAGAAGTGTTGGTTTGATTGAGAGTCCATTGTGTTTTGTAGATGTGAGTTGTCTGACAAAACTGGAGAAGGTTTGTGGAGGAATGTGGAGAAGAGAGTGGAAAGGGGAGGGCTGGACTTTAAGCGCTCAAAAGAGTCGGCTATGACGACTGAAAGGGATGTAGGATCGAAGGGCGAGTCAAGTGGATGTAAGGATCGGCTGTCAGGGCTGCTCTGCTCTCGGCCGACTTGGGAAAATGAGTCGTGTGAGGAAGCAAAATGAGCCGAGGGAAAGATGCAACGCTCAGAAGGGCTGCCACAAGAGTCGGCTAAAGACCAAGTGATTGGCAAAGGCCGGGTGGAAGGACGGGCGAAATCCGCGTGATAGTCGCACACGAATCTTGTTAGATCGGCAAAAGCGTGGGGTCTGGGGGCTGAACGACGACAAAAAGCAAAAAAGGCTGATGTGTCAAGTCGTTTGGAGGTGGGTGTCTATTGTTTTTTTGGCGGACGACGGAAGCAACTGGGAGCTGGGAGAAAGGAACGGAGGGAAGAGCAGAGAAGAAATACTGAATTCGTCAGATCTTGCTCGGCCCTGCAAACCACAAAGTGGATCGCCTCATCCCCACGACACGAACCCGCACCAACCCGCACTCTCACTGCCGGGCCGACAGTTGGCCTTGCCATGAGGTGATTCTTCGCGCGCTATCTACATTTTCGGCCTTCTGCCGAGAGGAAAATTGCGACAGACCGAGAAAGGCCGGGGTAGGGGCGCGTCTCGGCACCACGTAGCCAGCCAACTTCTGCCGCAGAGAAGACCGAGTGGTCGGCGCTTCTTGATGAACAACATCACACACTTCAAACATAACAATCTGTGACAAAGGCCGTCATGCATCTAAGCTGATCATGCTCTGTGTTGACTCTAGACAAATAAGATCGTCTTGCCCATCGTCCGGGCATATCAGGCCCCTCTCTGTCGATGCTCAGGAGTATAACCGCATTCTGAAGACCGATTCATGCACCGTGGCCTAGATTCCAGCATGGCACGACTCTGTCGTGGGCCGTCCAAGATCAGACTCGCGAGCAGTTGTACTGGGCTCTTTGACCATGTCAATCTCTCCAACAGAGGTCACATGGGCAATAACGATACAAGTCTTCGACCCGTATGGACTGTGCCTGATCCCAAACCCGCATCAAGGGAATGTTCCATCACAAGTCCAACGTTCTCGCTCACTCACTAGCCGAAGCTCGAGAGTGAATGGTTAAAATGATCGTCCAAGACACAATATATATCCGCATAATGGAGGGGAAGATCTTATCAAAACTACTAGAGCGCAAGCAGACCCTACTTTCCTAACCGCACGCTGCTTCAACCTCAAGTCCTTGGGACTCTGCGTGGAGCTGTACTTCCATTGATGTGCTTGCTTAAGATGGCCATCGTTTATCGGGCCGTATATCGAACTTCTCAGCGAGCGAGCGAGGAAGATGCAAAATACACATGCGCTAGGTCTCCACTAAAAGACAAGGGCAAGATCTCGAGTGTGGGGTGCATGGCGCCTGGGGAAGACCCACATCCCGTTTCTTTCTCGTCTAAAAGTTCAACTTGGAAGAGAGCCACCGATGGATCCTGGCAATTACTATCTTCTCCGAAAGATGTGCGAGACCAAAACACAACAGACATCAGGCTGTTCATCAGCCTTGGAGCACACGCCGTATCCGCGCAAGGACAAAGGGTCAATTAGTCCATGCAACCGCAACCTAACATTGTAGGTAATCGGTCGATAAAGAGTTTCTCTCGGCATACTCGGTCAAATACATCAAATATGAGAAAACTCTTTTTTTCATCTCCATAACCCAACGATCAAATATCCCCAACCCCTTTACAAAATAACAATAAACACCTCCGTCATCACAAAGACAAATCCTTCGATGCGCCTTCGATGCAGGTAAAGAGAGTTCGCACTTCAGCCTTCAGGTACTTGAGTACATGTCGCATCGGCATCGAGAAGGATTTCAACGTCGTCATTTGCATATTCTTACGCAGGCCAAGGCAGGCGGCTCTACAACTGTATTCTCATTCAACTTTCTTTTGTCCCCAGATTCTGCGATCGCATGGCGTGGCATGGCGTATGACAGAAACTGGGGTGTACTTGCCGAGCGAGAGCAAAAATAAAATATCCGGTGCAGAAACAAAAAATGGTAAAGAAATAGCTGAAGTCGTGCGGTGAAGAAACATCCTCGGACCGAGATATCACGATTTCTCTCGAAGCACACGACCTCTGCGATAATCATTGCGAGAACTGGCTGCAATGTTCAAATGCTGTCAACGCAAATGATGTGAGGCTGTGTCAGGATCTGTTCTTGCCAGCTCTTCCAGCTCAACTTCGCGTAAAATTTGCTTCTATGGCTAGACAGGTGTGCGAGAAGCAGGCTGCTCCTCCACTTTCTGATGCCTGACAGCACACCGAGCAAGCTCTTCTTCGTCTTCTCTCAAGATGAGAAGCTGTCTCAGCGAACATCTTTGATCAATAATCCCACCACACTCTCTTCTCCACCTTGACACATCTTCAACATCTGTGTTTTCCAGCACCACTTCCCTTCCACCTCTCCACATCACGATACTTCGTCCCGATTCCACCTCGGTCCGAATCTCCCACCTGCCCCACGAACATCACATGCCGAGAACCACCCATCCCAATTCCCGAACTCATTTTCTTCTTTCCGCAAAATTCTCGTGAGCGAGCGGCAGCACAACGTCTTGGCATAACATGTGAAAAGGTCGCGGAAGAATTATTCACGGATCGGAAAAAAACATGTGGTGTGCTCGGAATAAGAGAGCGAGCGCGGCAAGTGTGGGCGGATGTGGAGGAGAGGAAAGGTTCCGTGAGTCGTGTCGTGAGAGCGCCTCGAGGCGAGGCATCGTCCATAGCTCATGGCCCATGGGGTCTGGACCATGACTTGACAGGCGCCCACTAGCCATGAGGGTATATCTGCCGACAATGCTATTGCCGATTTGGCAATCTGATAACACGATGCCGGCGAGCCTTGTAGACGGTGGCTGGTGACTGACTACAAAGACCAGACGTCGGCTTGTATTGCCCACGCTGACAAAGGTCCATCATTGTGCTCAAGTAATACGCCCCTTGAATCACTCGATCACGTTGTCTGGACACGCAAAGGTTGTGGCAAGGACTTCTGATATGGTAATGGTTGGAAGACTAGACTAAGTGCAGCGTGTCAAGAACAAAAGAATTCAAATATAATAACAAAGAGGGGTATTCAGAATCGAAGACAGTATAAACACGCAAGAGAAACAACATATCAACATCCAAACAACTCTCCTCAGACGTCTATCTTTCCACGCTTGTGTGGTCCAGGACCTTTACGTCCAGGTCCCCCAAAGTCGTTCCAATATCGATCGCCTTCACCTCGACCAGGTCCAAGACTCACATCAGACCTGCATTTTGGCTGTTCAAAGTCCTCCGCTGTACCAACAGGCCAGATGGGCAGAAAGCAAATCTCATCGGCCGCACAGCCACGGCATTGCTTCCACGTTGTCCATGCCAGGTACTCTTTCAACTGCTTGATCTGCTCCAGAGCGGTAGTGTATTCTGTTTGCTCAGATGCGGTCAAAAAGCTGGAGCATAAGGTATTTGTCACTTGTCGAATCGCCTGAGCTGCCACATTCGTCGATGTTCTGGAAACAGGGTTAGGCATGAACTGCGAGGCGCATCTTTCGATCTCTGAACTGCTGTTGCGGGCATTGTAGTCGATGAAAGGGCGCAGTGCACGCTCGATTTCTGATTGCAATGCCGCGAGAGACTTCAACGAGCCTGAGGCTAGGTACTCGATGCGATCAGCGTAACGTGCGACAACCATGTCAACAATGGCTTGCCAATCGACAGCCTCGATGTTATCGCCTTTTCGAAGAATCATCTTGTCCACAGCTCGGCGAAGATCATCGATCGCAGCAGATCCGTTGTTGAGACGAGGACGACCAGTATCGTCAAAGAACATGGCTTCTGGATACGCAAAGGTAGAGACGAATCCCTCATAGTCGAGCACCGCTCGACCTCCGCCAATACCATGATAACGAGCGGCAATAGCGCGGTAGTAATTGAAGCCATCGCCATTGTCACCGCCACCGCCAAAGCCACCGCCAGCCTTGGGATTTGTCTTGGCAATGCTAACAACATCAAGATGAGCAGCAAAGTCGCACAAGATGATTTCGAATCCACCTTCCATACGGAGGATACCATCGACTCGATCATTCCATCTCTCATGAGCCAGCTTGCACAACTGAGCTGCGCGCTCTCTCTCGCCAAACATACCCGAGTCGTGGTCTATGCTGTCCTCCAAAAGCAGCACATCCTGGGTATCAAGAGTTCCTTTACTAGACTTTGCGGCGGATTGTCCATCGACGTAAAGCAGGCGAAGGCTGTGTCTCGTACGGTAGGTGTGCAAGTATCCTGAGTCTGAATCTTGGTCTCCGGGCTTGCCTGGAGCCAGCGGCTCTTGTTCTGCCCGTGTTTCGATCACCTCAGACTGAACAGGTTCGGATGTCATCTCAGTAGGATGCGGTACATGGCGCCGCTTAGGGTTGCGCAGCAGATCACCGAGGCGATGAACCCAGTAGCCGATCGGTGGTAAGGAGATTTTCTTGTGTTCCGGATGATCGTGGTGAGGGCCATCGATCTCATCGAAGAACTCATAAGGCGGTGGGCCATGGTGCTCGTGGTCATCATGATGTTCAAACCACTCAGGTGGAGGTCCATGATGCTCAAACGGGAAATCTCTGCGCGGGGGTTCGCGATGATCCTTTCCTGGAGGTTTAGGACAAGGGAGGTGGCCTTCGCCGGGGGGGCAGTGCCGAGGTGGGTCATCATGATCGCGTCCTGGTGGGCCGTGGTGAGGTGGTGGGGGCGGCGGTGGTGGTGGAGGACGACGGTGTGGACCATCGGGACGAGAATCGTTACGAGGAGGGCCATGACAGCCCTTGTCGCCATGAGTCTTGCCTGGGCGACCTTTACCATCTTTGCCTCCACGATGTTTTGGTTGGTCATCAGGGAGACGATTTTTCTCCTCGTTGCCTTCGTTGATGGGCTTTGAGTGACTTGAAAATTCCTCCGGGTGGTAAGGCATATCAGATTCATCATCTTCCTCTCCAGGAGGAGGCGCATGACCATCACCAGGCGGATGACCAGGTGGCGGTCCCCGACGACCTCGAGCGAAGATCAAAGCATGCTCAGGCTCAAAGGCAAGCCATTGTGTACCATTGACACGGTCCTTGTTTGATGTTCCATGATAAAGCTCCGTGCCTTCAGGGACTGTAGCAATGAAGAGAGACATGCCATTGTGATTCAGCGACGAACCAAATTGGCGCATGGAATTATGAATCGCATTGAATATATGGTTCGCATGCGTAGTAGAATCGGTAGTTGGGACTAGATTAGTATTACCAGGTAGGGGACCTGCTGCAGCCAACCAGGGAAGGAGCAAGGGAAGAAGATATTGAGAGCGCGGCATCCTGACAGAAGTCCACCTCAGGACTTGGTTTGGCTCTCAAATCTCACAAAGGGCATGAAATAAAAGACTACAGATGAATGAAAAGGATCTCGGACTGATATTATCGAGCGCGTGTACAGTGCATGGCCGCGCGTACCAAATCTGATGCCAAGCTTGCTTGCCATACCGCGAGCCTTGTAAAGGCATTGCGCCAGCTCACGTCGTTGAAATCCACCTATTGAAAATCACTAGTTGCAATGTGACGAATCGACCAACAGTGATCTGCAAGGTGGCCGTAAGAGTACTGCCTGAGATGGCGCAAATTATGCATGGTGGGCAGCGAATGAAGCTGGATAAGGATGAAGTGAGAGGCGTCTTGGGAGATGTTTCAAAACTCTGAAGATTGCAAATCCTCCAGAATCGATTTCTCCTCTCACGGCGCCCTCTTGCATGCAACTCAACACCCCGATACAGTTCGCCAAGATCCCTGGCGCAAGCAACACGCATGCCCTAACGAATCATGTCAAAAAATCATGCTCAACGTGGCAGTGTCTAATGGAGAGGCGACCGGCTGTCCCGGGCTGTGGTCGATTCCTTCTGGAAGGCGTCGGTAAGCATAACCGATTCTCTCGATAGGGCTGACGACAACGACAAGCATCGAGTTCGGTAGTGCTCACCTCTTTGACCATACCCCCTCCACGTGCTGAAATCAGTCGCATTGGCGGTGTAGAAGTTCACAATGCTTTCTCTGAGCCGGTGGTTTTCACCAGCACATCATCGATAACAGGGTAGCTCTTGAACTGCATTTCATCCAAGAAGCACCCATTTATGTTTACGACTCACTCTGCTGCTAAAAGAAGATAACGTCATGATGGACCATTGAATCAAAGGAATATGCCACGCCTTTGGAGCTTATATACTTCATGTATGCACCAGAAAGACTGTCTGACAGGGCAACCCTGTCGTGACCATGACAATCGTAATTGTCAACCACTGTTCATTAAGAAGAAGAACACTATCATGATTGGGCACTGTCGAGATCAAGCTTTGTTTTCGCCTGCCTGAAAATAGTAGCGGGCTCTCTCTTTATCAACAACAACAACAATAACCTCGATCTCATTTCAAACCGCTCTTGAAAGACCGGCATCTGAACCTATTTTTTTGCTAATCATTCTAGCTGAAACAACTAGGCAACCAGACAGAATGGGTGACATAGCACTAGAATGAATCCTGACTCATCGCAGACCAAATGAGGCTCGATACTTATGGCTCGATGTCACCAAGATATAGCACTGGCAGCAAGAAGATATAACTTCGAGCAGCTCCAGAACGACCACACAACATCAACCACTAAGCAGCCGTTGCCCGTTTGCAAATCCAGGAACCTGTCTGTTGCGCGGGTCAGACAGGCGAAACTGCACACAGAGCTTCTAATGTCTTGATTGAGCGATCAAAAGCTTAGGCTTCGCTAGAGGTGTCTGCATGGATTTGTTGAGACCATCACAGTCCGAAGGCGTTGCGACCGTCCAAGAGAAGATAGCGCGCATGATGATCCTGTGGCTATGGATCTCAAGCTTTGTGGCCACTGACTTCCTGGAGATGCTACGGTGTATCTCGAAGAATTGGACTCGATTACTCAGGTTATACCTCTGGAAGGGTTGTAAGCTCTGGTAATTATATAGACATGATAAACGAGAACTTCTTGTAGAGCACCACGGATAGGATCTCGCAAGACCATTCATAGCTCGTTATGGCTCCAACGAGTCATTTGGTAAGCAAAAGTTGTCATGTTCTGATCTTGATTGCTTGCTCACTCTTACCGAGGCTGATGTATAGTCATACTATTGTCATAGTATCATACTTCCTCAAGACACGCCGACATGACCAATATTTGGTCTGTTGATGGCCGTGATAGGGCCAACGGAATCTCATCACAAGAATGTTTCTGTTCTGTATCTCAGCAACGCGCCGGAGATGTTGAATCTGCGCCGAGCCTTTCATCCAGGGCAGAAAGATAGGACAGCAGGTTGTTTTTGGCGAGAGGTTTCTTGGCTGTTGCCTCTTATCATACCATTGTAGAAGGTGGAGTGGAGATCTTGGGTGGAGGCTAACCACAAACGTCCCCAGTTAGGCTTGGCAGGGACTACATCGTTACGATCGACCTCCTCCCAACTCTCAACTTCACAGCCCAGAGATAAGGACTCCGGGGAATGTTTGTGGAGAGGTATCCAGTGCCATGGGTATGGTAACAGAATGCCACAGCATCTTTCGTTGTCGGCACTATAGTTGCTGCTTCCCTGGATGTTCTTGAAAGACCCACTTTGGGAGCAGTATGTTTAGCAGCAACTTCCTAGCAACATGTCTATCCCAGACAAGCCTGGTGCTGTGCTCGCATACAAACGACCAAAATGAAACTTTGACTACGATGCCCCAGATCTACCAAGACGATCCTGATAAGAGCCGCCTCCATTTCCCAAACCAGCGGCTCCGACCCAAATCCCCAGCTGACCAATATGCATAAGTCGTTAGTACAGAGTTTCACACATTGCCATCATTCACCACCACTCAGAGCTGCGGACGCAGGGCCGTGTATCAGCAAAGTGCTTCTGATCTCTGGCTCACAGCGTTGGAGTGGCTGATGAGCCGCTTAGAAGGTCAGAGATAAGAGCCTCAACAACCTGTACTAGGTAACTGCATCGAAAGTAAGCTGCAGCAACATAAAGAGACCAAGGTCTGCTCGATTCAAACCAGCATTTCAACCAGCTGTCTCGTGCATTTTCCATCGTATAAGTCAATATCATTCTTGCTTTCTCAAATCAACACCCCATTATGACTACGGCTTTTCCATACAACCAGCCTATGGAGGTTGTCCACAATGCATACACAGCTCAGCAGACCACTGAGATAGCCTCACGTATGGGAGCCGTAAAAGCTCGCATGCGTATCGACAAGATCTTTTTCAGCGGTTTCATGGCTGGATGTATCCTTGCATTCGCTTGTGCTGCAGTCTCTGTCGTCAACGTGGCTCCCTGGTATCAAGAAAACGCGCCCGGCGTGATTAAGCTCATGGCTGCTATCATCTTCCCTTTCGGTCTCGTTGCCATCATCCTCACCGGAGCAGATCTGTGCACAGGCAGTTTCATGGTAAGCTGTGGTAACACTGTGACTTCTGTTTGTCTGAGACTGATTCGTTGGACAGTTTACGACGATGTCGACTCTGCACCGTCGCACCAGCATCCTCCAGATGCTTCAACACTGGGTTCTCACATTCTTCGGTAACCTCGCTGGCTCTCTCTTCGTCATGGCAATCCTTATCGGATATGGAGGGATACTCTCTGATGCAGCCTACGCATCCCAGACCATCAAATTCGCCACAAAGAAAGTCGTCGCGCCTGAATGGCACCAAATCTTCCTCCGCGGTATCGGCGCCAACTGGTTGGTATGCCTAGCATGCTTCCTCGCCTGCGGTGCCCGCGAAATGGTTTCGAAAATCATGGCAATCTGGTGGCCGACGTTTGCGTTCGTCATCTTGGCCTTTGACCACGTTGTTGCGAATATGTTTTATATCCCTATCGCCATCTTCTTGGGAGCGCCACAGATTAGTGTTGGCCTGTATATTTGGAAGAGTATGATTCCTGCTTTGCTTGGCAATATTGTTGGTGGAGGATTGTTTGTGGGTGTGATTTATTGGTACATGTATCTGGCTGGAAACCCAGAGCCTGTCTTGATTGATGGAGCCAGCTACGGAGGTCGTGCGATGTCGTTGTTTGGAGTCAATGCTGATGTTGAGGAGTCTCCCACCCGGGTTAGACGCGAGTCTGACAAGACAAGCATGGTTTGAGAGACAGAGTTCGGATTCATGGTTGCGGATGACATCTAGGATAGTATAATGATTTACGGCCGGGAACCTCTCTCAATCATTCAATCTTTGTTTCGAATGTAATAATCTTTTTTTTGCATCTTTAAAACTGGCACTAAGCGATTTCTACAGAGCAGTTCGTGTGAGCGTTGAATTTCGCGGTTGCCATGCTGCAAAATTTCGCTGCAACGCTTTAGGAAGATGCAATTGTTCTCGTGCAAAGGCTACGGCATCTTAATCGAGGCGTTCATGCTGTGCCAGGAACGGCTCGGCATCTTCTTCATCGCCGCCAAGCTCTCTAGCATCATTATCATAATCCGTAGACTTGCCTCTCAGACCAGCCATAGCCAGCGCATCAGCCCGACCCTTCTCAGTATCGATCATGTAGATGAGAGGAATCGGCAGCGCGATCAACACAGCCAAGAATGCGAATGCAGGTCGAATTGTGCCAGCAACATCGACAATCCAGCCCACAATAGCTGGTCCAATGGCCGAACTGCCCTTGTCGGTGACAGCATATAGAGCATAGAAGGCCGCTTCGCTACCTGGAGGGATGATGAGACCGTAAAAGGAGCGACAGTACGAGGATAGACCACCCATGACAAAACCGTGTGCCACGCCTAAGGGATATATCTCCCAAGCTTGTTGCAGACCTCCCACGCCCCAAGATTGGACAAAGGGAAGATAGCCGATGAGGCCGTAGATTGGGATAATCTCCATCAGCAGAACGCATCCTATAATGGTCTGTTGTGTGTGCAGTTGAAAACGGCGTGAGATGATTGGCCATGTGAAAGCTCCAGCAATACCAGACGATGTGGCTGTGATTGACAGAATAGCTATTTGGACAGTGCTCATCTTCAGCTCAGTTCTGGCGAACAGAATAGCCGTGCCTGACACAGTGGCAATAGAGTCCGATAGTAAGAACCACGCGATCAAGAAAATGACAGTCTGACGTAGCTTGACTGCTTGTTTGACAGTTCTCCACACCGAGGACCATGCGAAGACGAAGTATGCGAAAATTTGACCTAATTTGCCATGTCGGTTATTGAGACTCTTGAGGGGAGGTCCGGGTCGATCACGAAGCCAGAGAGCACCGGGAATGGAACCAACAGCCCAGCACACTCCGACAAAGAGCAAGATTATCCTCAGAGGAATCGATTGTGAAGAGAAGTTCGCCTTTCCCAGACCGAAGAGCAGTCCAATGCTGCAGACTTGTACCAATACTGCAGCAGTATAGCCAAGTCCAACACCTTTGGCCGAAATCTTGTTGGAAAGAGCCAGTGCTGGTGAAGTCTGCTTACCAGATTGCTGTCCGTCGGGTGCTGGTGAGTAAGTGCCATCAGGTTCGACCATATCAACACTTGCCGAAAGGGAACCTGCTTGTTCCTCTGCAGAGACAACTGATGGATGGTTGCTAGCCAACAGCGGAAGAAAGGAGTTCAACAGCACGAATGAAGAGCCGAGCGATGCAACTCCCAGGATAACTAGGACTGGGCCCACGAGGTATATGCTTGGAGACACAACAATAAAAAGCATACTCGAGACAGAGCCAATGCATCCAAATGCCAGCAGGAGCTTTTTACGATATGATCCTAATACAAGTCAGCTGTGACCTACGTGATCTCGAAAGATGTTGCCCACCATGATCAGCGACAGAACTGAAGGATATCAGTACAATTGCTTGTACAAGGACAGCAATCGAAAAGGTATACATGGCGAATGAGGCTGTTGAGATGTCTTTTCCAAAGGGTTGGACAACACATTGGCTCTCGTTCTTGTCGTTGGTAGCACGGGTAGCAGCTCGCAAGAGTAAGTGTGAGGTCTCAGCCACAGCGGACTTTGGTTTCACGCAGGGAGTGACATGGTCAGATCGCAGAACACCTCGTTCTTTCGCAAGCTGCTCTAGAGTTACTGGAAGAAATGAACCTGTACATTTCTTAGCAGTGTCGACGCGTTTTGTGTATGCGAGCAATTACCAACACCAGCTACAGCGAAGATCTCGGCAGCCAGACCATATGAGTACCAACCCTTTAGCTCGCGGTCGCTGGTCGGTGTAGTATCCTCATTCTCGTATCGACGAGGCCTGCCATATTCGTTGCTTTCACTGTCTCTCTCCATAATTGGTTAAATCAGATTGACATGTTCTCGCGTCCAAAGAAGAAAACATGAAGCTGTTTCCTTGTCAGCATTGTTCGGGTGGGTCTTCCGATGCTTCCGAAAGGCCCACCACAACGCGTCAGGAAGGGACAACTTTCACGACTTTTTCCATTCAGCTAACAACGATTTCTGGATCGTGTTATCGCAGCATGATATGCTACAATCAAGGCGCTTGACCCTACAATAAAGGAAGCAGAGCTTAGTAAACTCGCTCCCGATGCTAAGTATAAGGTGAAGCATGACCGGTCACCTACACGCGCCGGCGATCCCCTCACGTTTGCGGATGACCAAAGCCACAAGTTACTACCATCTCATCCTCGAGTAATAATCCATCAACCAGTGGTCATGCCTGGGTATCAAGGCAGATAATCAGCAGCCTTGTCAGCTGAGACAGCCACTCATGTGCTGCGTTCAGGTGGGGTTAATGATTAACCCTCAAAGCGCTTCGTATATGCCAGTGTCGAGCGCCACGATCATCCTTCAGACTTCCAGCTTACAAGCAGTTATAAAGTATTGCTGTATCCAAATAATCAAGAATGTCTCTACAGTTTGCAAAATGAGCCACCGTGGGTCTGCGAACCGCGATCATTCTTCGAGGCGGCGTGAGAGTCACGAAAGAATAGAACCATCTCGTTCGAGTTCTGCAGACCGAGCAGAGACTTTTGTCATTTTCGAGCGAGCTCCGGATATCCAACCTCCGCCACGAGTTCACGTCCAAGCACCAAATGATTCAGCTTACCCGCGGCCACCGCCTTCCTTCGAATACTCAAGAACGACCCATTTTTAGGAGGCGAACAAGCACCCTTCGAGAGATGATTATCGGAGATCCCAACGGCAATCTGGGAGATATACAAGCTATGAACGTGAAAACAGCCATGGGCACGTCATCTATGCAGCACACGATGATAGTGGCCGGATGCCAAGTATCCAACAGAATTATCGACCTTCTCAATCGCGCCCGGAGGAGTACACGACCGCTGCACAAATGCCTGATATTCACTACGCCACTGCAGACACCAAACCATCTCGGAGCAGTCATCACAGGCGTGAACGTGTGAGTCGCAGACATGACGACCTCAAGATCATATACGAAGGCAGCGGCAGCGGCGGCCGTGGCGGCGATATCCAGACATCAGCAGTGGAGAACGCCGAGCCAAATCCAGACACATTGAACAAAATCATGATATGCGTCTACCGAAACAGTAAACGGCAATTCGTACAAAAAGAAATCTGGATGATGAGGCCAGGACATCGGGACGACATCTTTTCAGAAACAGCTGACCTTCGTGAAAGTGCAACCTTTCGCAAAGCCCTTCGCAGAGATGTTGATTTCTTCGAGGAGATCAATTGCCGATACAGAAATCAATTGCGAGGCACCTTCAGAAAATATCTTAGCTTCAAAACAGTCAGCACTGTAAGGGTTCTTGGGGTACGTTGTCATCTATATTTTGACGATATCAGCAGACTTACATTCACAACAGTATGGAAATAATATGTTCGGACTCGCGGATATCAACGAAAAAGTATTTTCGCCAGTCTTCATGCGAGCCTACAACAACCCCAACCATTCCCTAATCCCGGATGACCCCAAATTCGAATTCAACAGCTGGGTCGGGTGGTTCTGGTTGAAGCGTCGCGCATTCGTCCTGAACAAGAAAGTCGACCTTGCTATTGAATTGGTTGAAGCTTACGATCCTGATCGTGTGTTGGGTGGGATAGCTATTGCACTGTTTGTCTACTTTACCCTCACCATTACGTGGTTGGCTCTGGGTGGTGATCCGAATTACGTTTCTGGCGTCATGTCTTTCGTTCTATCCATCCTTGCAGGTAAGCTGATCTTCAATTCTCGCTGTGTTTCCACGAGCTGGCCTGGTCACACGTAGCCACAGCTGCAGTTACTGACGTGTATCAGTTCTGGTCGGACTGACTGGCTTGTATGATTGGCTGGACCTAGGACATATGGGTGGTGGAAAAGACTTCCTAGTTCTTAACGAGTATGAGCTCAACCAGCTGGACAGAGACGGCTGGGGAGGGCCTATCGGATGATATTCGATAGGCTGAAATATGCTGTGCCTTGTGTGTAGCCAAACAATTAGACATTAGAACTGAGAGATGATCGTAAAGAAAGATTATATTGAAATCTATAGTGAGCTAGAAAGTTATTGTAGGAGGTGGCAGGTGCACTGCATGACCACGATGTAAAAGAAGATAGACCCAAAACTCCATCATAAATGTTCAACACATGCTTAGAACAGCTTGTGCTCAAGAGTCATATCGTTCTCAGGCTCAAGACCAACACATGCGCGGAAGATGTTGACCAGAGCATTTCTCTGCTTGCTCAAAGCGTTCACAACAGGGGTACCGGGAGGAGTCAGAGGAGCCTTAAGCATATAACTCAAGACACTCAACACAGAGTGGAAGCCCTTGAAGTCGGAATCCTGAGCACCGTTCTCCCTCCACTGAACTCTAGTCATGAGCTCAGCAATCAAGACCAAGTCAATGATCAGTGGCGAGGCCAAGAGAGAATCTTCGCAGATGTTGAACATGTTGATGGTTTGGTGACCTCCCATGAAGATCTCAGCATAGTACTCGTCCAAAGCTCTCTTGTTGTCCCCAACGGCGGGCATGTACTTGATTACAACAGTGTGGTCGGGGTGCTCATCCTTCTCGTACAGGATGTGGTTGGCAGCAACCATGTCATCGACAACGTTTGACTTGGAAATCTCCTTGGATCTGAATTGAGAAGGTGCAGAAAGGTTTCTACCATCGTTGTTGCCGAGATGGTTGTAGGAGGCAAGGGACTTGACTTTGATTCCTGCATTGATGAGGAAGTCAACCAGGGCTGACTTCATCTTGGTCTGTCCAGACTTGAAGTCGTCACCGCCAATGAAGGCAGAGTGCTGTTCGGCCAGAGCAATAACACCAGGAACGAAGGTATTTTGGGGAGAACCGTTGATGAAAGGAGCATTCTCAAGGATACAGGCAGTTGCGAAGATTGTGGATGGGGCAATCTCAGGGTGGCCTGAAGCGATAGACTTGAGGAGGTTGTCTGCTGTGTCGTTGACGCCAGGCAGGATATCGGCATAGCGCTCTGTATTGGCGGTCCACTGGACGATGATCTTGTCGAGGTTGTGCTTTGACTTGAACTCGCGAATGTCTGCTCTGATCTTCTCAAGATGCTCGTTGCAGGCCTTGGAACCCTCGAGGATGTTGTCTGCTCTTGATTCTTGATTTGCAGCGATGAAGTCGGGGTAGTAAATGCTGGGCAAGGGAACCATCTGGGCCATCTCCTTGCGAACCATTTGCTTGAGAGTAGGTTCAAGGACTCCAGCTCTGTCCATGGACTCTGCAATGTTCATACTGCTGATGTCCCAACCACCAATGACAAGGTCGTTAGGGTTGACCATGGGCAGAAGCTCGTTGAAGGGGACATAGATCTCCTTGCCAGTGTCCGAGTCGGTGCCGAGCTTGACTGTTGATGACATGACCATAGAGCCATAGTAGTTTGCTGATTGCTTGCCCTCGCGGGTGTCCCATGTAAGGCCCTGACGGTTGGCAATAATGCCAGCAGTGACTGTGGATCCGTTGTTGCCTAGATGTGATGAGCTGATGTCCTGTCTAAGAACGATATTCTGGTATACATACCACCCCAGCCAACAAGCATCATGCCGACTCTGCCAACCTTGCGTTCCACCTTGAAGTCATAGACGGTCTCCTTGGGTGTAGCGACATAGCCACCGTTGGATGACTTGGTCACCTTTGTCTGGCGGTAGACATACTTGCTAAGGATCGCATCATCGGAGTATGTAACGTTGGGAGATTGGACGGTGAAGAGAGGAGCCTGGGCATTGCCAGAGGCAGTGCGCTCGGTCTCGTTGAGGTAAGGAGCCATGATGATAGTAGCAGATGGGAACAACGAAGAGGTGTGAATAGAGTGAAGACACAGATATACGAGATCAATCTAGTTTATTGGTTTTGGAAGATGATTCTATTGTATAAAAAGAAAGAACGAAGCCCACGAAAGTCGAGTTTAAATACCTTGACTGCGGAACAATGTAGTGACGGCGGCGGAGAGGGAAGCTGCAGCCCAACATGTTCGCATTATTGTTTGACCCCAGCTGGACCAAGATGGAGGAAGTCACGGATCATTTTGGATAGTCCGGGGTTGTTCAACTGGAGAGCCAGGGGAAGCGCGGAGGTGACGGAAGCATGGTTTCGCCGTGCTCTCGGAACAGCTGCAGGGAGACCTCGGGCGGTGAGAGCAGGAAGCTTGTCTGTGGCGCACGAGCGTACTCGTAACGACATGTGGCCGTTCGTCGCAGATTGTTGTACGAGGCTCGGCGATGAGATCTCGAGAGTCTATCGATGCGCTCACCAGAAGGAGAAGGCGCAAGTCGTTAGATATTCATATAAGGACTGAGGTCAGTAAACAGCTGCGCTGTTGTCGTGCCTGAGGCTCACAGCAATTTGTCAAATCTCGGCCGAGTGAACAACGCTTCCAAGTTCCCCTGTGCGATCGGATACAGAGAAATATTCGGATCGGCTGGTGAGCGGCGCAGTGTGGAAGAACAAGGAGAGGTGAGACGAATCAACAAAGTCAAATCCCAGATATGATGGCATGGTTCAACTCCTGGATTCACGGCTACAGAAATCGAATGCAATTCCCAAGCTATTGGCTTGTTGAGTGAACTCCGTAGCAACAATGCGAGCACGTTGTCTGGTATGGTTAAATGAAGCTGGCACACGGTCAAACAAGTCGTTGTTGGCAATTACGCCTGTGGCTGCACGGAAAGAAGGTCTGTCGAACAGTCGAAGAAGGCAAAGTTTGGCAGGGAGCGAGCGGCTGGTGTGGATCTGTCGATCTCCTGCTGTCAGTCGTCGCAGGGGTCTGCTAGATAGTGGTAGAGGGCTGCATCTGATACAATCCAGTCGTTAGTTGACAGAGGATTCGCAAATTCGCAATTGCTACCGCTCACGCTGGGCTATCTTGCTGCACAGCGTGAGTCGGCAATTTGGACAAGACTTTCCAGAGGAGAAACATGTGATTGTCTCGCTCGACTCGCGGCCAATCAGAGATGAATTCACGCGGGACCCTTTGGTGCTTTGACCAAGGCGAGAGTGCTCATCTCCTTTAATTAGTCCACCGACCGCCGAAAGAGAGCGACTAGAGTCGAGCGAGCGGGTGCTGCAAATTGTCTTGCCGGGCACTTGTGGAGTTTGACGAGCGACACGATGATGATGGCCTTGGATTGAGGAAGGATCTGGATGGTCACTGGGCCTTGTGGAAAGACAGTCGCCATGCACTAACTCCTGGGCATTTGCTGGCTCTCTGTTTTCCTTTCTCTTCCTCCTTGTCGCGATCTCCGTCTTTTCGTCTTCATCACTATCTTTTACTATTACTACAGCTCTTGATAAGTTATACGAGCATCCATTCATTTAGTGTTTTTTCCCACTCGCCGCACCGAGGCATTTAATTACAACTGCGTGCCTTCGAGACCTCTGCAGCAGACGCCAGGGGCTACATTGTTTTCTTGAGCTGTTGATGCTACCGCCAAACTGTCAACGGCCCGGATCAGGAACTTGCATACAAACAAAGTCTCTCCTTTGAGAGCATCAACAGTACCGGCAGCAACAGGATTGGCCCGGAGCAGGTCGTCTCTTATCGTATTCTTATCCACAAAACCGTCGGCTCTGTTTATTCTTCTCTAGCCCGGACAACGACACCGTGACCTGGAACCACCTCCTGGAACTCGTCTCGACTGTCAACATTGTCAGCAACCATGGAGACTGAGCGACCATTGAGCATCCTACCATCGATCAAATGCTCCGACTGTGGTGCAGAGATCCAGATCTCTGCTATGGGAGAGCACGTGTGCACACCCTCGCAGAAGGAGGATCAAGCATCGCAAAAGCCCGAGTCACCAATCGCATCACCAACCACATCTCCTTCGACAGAGAAGCAGCCGACGCCATTCCCGTCCACCAAGCAGACCTCCAACAGGGCACCCTCAAGACCGAACAGGACTCCGCTTCCTCGCATTGATCCCTCTGTTGCAAGTGAGTAGCACAAGGCATATGAGGATGGGCACAAGATGCTGACAGGGCATAGACAAGCCTTACCTTGCGAGACCACTGCTTTCACCAGATGCATCTCAAAACTCTGGACGTCGTACTCCAATGATACCAGGCAGACCTGGCCGCTCACCAGTGATGCGAAGCGCTACCAGCCCCATCCCGAGACTACCACGAGAACCATCACAAGAGCTAAGCGGGAACATGGATTGCGCGTTCCCTCCATTTCCTACGGCGCGGTCCAAGTCAGCTGCAAGAGCCAAGAGCCCGGTACCTGAAGGATACTACGCTCCACGAAGCCCCATGGCAACAGGAGGTGCAAATGTCGCGCGTAAGCTGGACACAATTGCGCCAGGGCCTTTTAACGCACCCGCACGCAGTACATCTCGCTCGGCTTCTGCGAGTGCAACTGCTCAGGCACCACCGGCCATTACTATAAATCAACCCCCAGCCGAGGGAGCAGCCTCTCCTGTGTACAGATCTGCATCGCCTGTTAGCTATGAGAGACCCGCCTCTCCTCCAGCAAGATCTGCCTCTCCACCTCAAGCCCCTGCTTCGCCTAGTCTGTCCTCGGTTTCGACATCTCCTACTGGCACAAACCGTGAGGGTCGTCCAATCCCGCAGCGTCCTGTCAGACCAGAGCCGCTGGATGGCTTCCTTGCCATGCTCAAGAGCGAGTCCGAGGCTTCCGGTCAGCAGTTGTCAAACATGACTATCCGCTCAAACACCTTCCCACTTCCACCATCCGTACCAAAGTCTCCCGAACCCAAGCCAGTCGTCAGAAGCCCCTCGGCGCCTCCCACTAGACAACGACGACCTACAATTTCCGCTCCTTCACAAAGCGCTCCTAGTGATTCTCTTCCCACTATTTCAACCACCCCTCCACCAGCACTTCCGCCAATGCCCACCATTGAGACTGCTATGGCTCCAGCACTTCCCCCGCTTCCTTCCACAGCCGATGTGCAGAAGCATGCTCACCCTGTCGTACACGCTCCTTCGGATTCGGCTTCTTCAGCTTCATCCACAAGGAGCTTCAAGTCGGATGTTAGCCCTCCTGTTTCGGCCTCATCAAGCGTCTCGATGCTCTCGTCGACTCTAGGTGACCTCTCCGATCCTTCTCTTGTTGTACCCAGCCTGCAACTCAAGACCAAGCAAGAGAACCGTCTGAGCCCCGAAGACGCCTTCAAGCCTACTTTTATTGCTGCTGAGCAACAGCAATCACCAGTCTCGTTCGAAGAGAGACTCGACAGTCCGACTGAGAAGATGGACCGCTTCCCATTCAATGCTCTCCGTGCATCTCATGAGAGCGAGGTGCCCGAGTCACCTGTGGTCCCTGGCTTCCTTCCTAGACGTCCTCAAAGTCCCATGTCGGCCACATCTACACCCATGTCATCTCCTCCTACCGAGCACGGCTTCTCTTCCAGACCTACCTCTTCAAAACGCCCCGGTACTTCGTCCAAGCATATCTGCAGAGGTTGCAATGAACCTATTCAAGGCAAGTCTGTCAAGGCTGCGGATGGTCGTCTAACCGGTCGTTACCACAAGCATTGTTTCGTGTGCAAGACTTGCAAGTCTGCCTTCGCGACTGCTGATTTCTACGTCATTGACAACAACCCATACTGTGAGCACCATTACCATGAGCTCAACAATTCTTTGTGTGCCCATTGCGATCGTGGTATCGAAGGACCATATCTCGAGACCCAGCAAGCACAAAAATTCCATCCTAGCTGTTTCACTTGTATCGACTGCCACAAACCCCTAAGCGATGATTACTTCGAGATCGCTGGTAAGGTCTACTGCGAGCAGCATGCCTTTGCGTCCGTCCAGCGTCAAGAGGGGCTCGGACCCAAAAGAAACATGGAGAGAAGAACCACTCGTTTCATGGTCATGTAAACGTGATGGAAGCTCTTCTCTTTCCAACAAACTTCCGGCCTCCACCAAGCGGCGGACGAATCAATGCGACCATGCTGCCATGCACATCTCTTTCTCATTCCTGCGACTATGGACCACGGATCAAGTAAGGCTCTTCGATCTGGATCGGCCACTTGTCCGCTACCTTCAATTCTCTCGATCGCTTTGAAAACATTTGTTTATTCTGGAGATACCCACAACTTCTATTGTATATACCCTTCTACATAGCATACCAGCTGCAGCTGTAGAACAGCTTTTACGGCACAAAATTTATTCATCCTTACTTACTCATGCAGATCCGCGATTCTTGCTCCTGGCCTGCTCTTTCCACCGAAATCAAGTCATGAAGGTCGAATGTCCAGGTCTCGATTTTCATTCAATTGACTTTAAGCCGGGCCCGCAGCTTAGCATTGCCCTACCAGCTTAATAGTTTACCCGCGTACATGGGAGACGGCATGATCCGACATAGTGGTAGTCTTGACTCTTGACCCCGGATGGATAACTGATCGTTTTGATAGCGATACTCACAGGGCCAGTCATGCGTTTCAAAAGGGTCTTTCTATCACGACTAGGCAAGCAAAAAGGACCACGACCATGATGCGGACAGCAAATCTCATGGGTCCGTGGAAAAGGTTCGAGATTGCCGGACAAAAGATTGCACTGCAATTTGCCGGGCCGCGCTTGCAAGAGTCATGTTTTTAACGCAAGCGAGGATCTCTCTTTGCTTGCTTCGGCGAAGAGGGAAAGCACGGTTGGTGGCTGATTGTCTCTAGTGGTTAAGTATTTCACCGGTGTCTGCGCAACCGTTTTTTCTGCAGAGGGAAGGTCCCTTCACGTGGAACTGGTGGAGCGAAAGCGCAGAGTCAGGAAAAACGGATGAGTGACGAAGTCAAGAATCAAGTCAAGCGAGTGTTGTTGTGAGAGGGGCGGCATCGCTGTTTTAGGCGCACATAAGGCGTCAAGTAGAGTGGTGATGTGGTGATGTTACTGGTGTAGAAAGGTAAAGGCCTCAAAAGCAGCAACGAAGATCGGTGCAGCGCTTGCGATTGATGGTGCGTGTGCGAAATATCTATGTTTAGGCAAGGCTTCAGAGACAATGGTACTCAACCTCGGTCGAGCGTCTGCCAACCTCAGGGCTTGACGATCGAGCAAAAGCAACAAGACAATGGTTGGGTTTACACAACCAGAAAGCCGGATACATCTGTGAGCGTTTCATACTGTGCGATGGCTTCTTCTTTGTCGAGGGCCATCTTCTAGAAGATTGGGCTCTTCGGCAGAGGCAGGTCGTTGGTCGAGTTAGGGCCTCAGCCTTAAGTTAGGAAGGTGTTAGCGTGTGGAGGTCGAAAGCCTGTGCGCTTCTATTAAATTGCACCCTGCTTAGGGTGGTCTGAGTGCCTGATCAAATCTGCCAGCTTTCAGAGATGGCTGGGAAATCAGAGACATGCGAGGAAAGGCGAGAGGCGTCGTCGACAGAGACGTGGCAGTGTGGTATGGATTTGTACTGGGAAATAGAGCAGCAAGACATATGGAAGACCGAGTGTAGCAGACAGAGTCCCCATTGATTGTCTTCGAGATTGCTGCGAGATCAGCGTTTGAGTGCGCGAGTCATCTTGAGTCTCTGGTGTTGGTTTCGGGCTAAACGTCTTCCGCGGCCCAAGTCGGCCGGCAGCCAGCCCCTTTTGATTTCATCGCATGGTTGCTGGCGGCGCTGCTGGAGTTGATTGACTCGTTTGGCCTTGCCAGCTCTGCAAACAACAGTCTCTCGTCGTCTCGTCTCGTCTCTAGGCTTGCTTGTCGCACAGCAGACTGCTCCTTGCCTCTCTGTTTCTTATTTCTCGACTCAGCTGCCTGCACGCCCAACCACCGAAAAATTGCTTGCACACCAAAGACGTTTCTACGTTTCTGCGTTTCCTGCACTTTTCAATCGACGTCGGGCCCTGCTGCACCACCGTTGGCCTTTTCCACTTTCGCCCTCAATTAGCCCGCCAACGAGCGACGGTCAATCTATCGAATCTGACATCTGACCCATCGTCCTTCAATTCCACATACACGTACAATTCCTTGCTCTCCGACCAGATCAAGAGCTGAAGGACTCTACCGCTTCGCGCAGCTTCACTCTCCTTGTCAGACTCGCCCCGCTGTCGCACCTCAAGGTCGGTACCCACTCACAGCTCATCTTCCCTTGCCTGCATCACCCTCTCTATTTTCGTCACCTTGATCTGTCGATTCGCTTGTCTGCGTCTGCGTCAAGCAATCGCTCTCAGATCCTGCACGTCAAGCCTTGGTTCGAATCCCAGCCACGAACTGCCAAACTTTCAACTCGACCGACGCACTTCTTCATTCGCTACACGCCAAGGTCTTCGTTCGTCTGCTTCGGCGCTCACGTCTCTGTCGACTTTCTTCGCGTCTTCTTTCCTCACCACAATTCACTGCATCGAGAACTTCGCACGCCTCATGTACCACTGACGACCTCGTTGGTGCGACGCATGCTGACAAGCCTCACAGTATCTCTTGTAATCGCCTCTACGCGTTTCTCTCATTACATCCCAGCAGTCGCCACCTTTTGAATACCGTTACCGACCAAACAACACAACCACCGCAAAAATGGGTTGTGGTATGAGCACCGAAGACAAGGAGGGCAAGCAGAGGAACGAGGAGATCGAGAACCAATTGAAGAAGGATCGCATGATGCAGAGAAACGAGATCAAGATGCTCTTGCTCGGTTCGTTGTCGCCTATCTCGGTCAGCACCCAGAGCTATCACTGACACAAGATACGCAGGTGCCGGTGAATCCGGAAAGTCAACCATCCTTAAGCAGATGAAGCTGATCCACGAGGGTGGCTACTCTCGCGACGAGAGAGAGTCCTTCAAGGAAATCATCTTCAGCAACACCGTGCAATCCATGCGCGTCATCCTCGAAGCAATGGAGTCGCTGGAACTTCCCCTCGATGACCAGAGAGCCGAGTACCACGTCCAGACAATTTTCATGCAACCCGCACAGATCGAAGGCGACAACCTTCCCCCAGAGGTTGGCAACGCCATCTCCGTCCTGTGGAAGGACCCTGGTGTCCAGGCCTGCTTCCAGCGCTCAAGAGAGTACCAGCTCAACGACTCTGCCAAATAGTATGTTGCCGTGCCTGTCTGCGCATCGCATCACAACTTACTGACCTTCGTGATAGCTACTTTGACTCGATAGACCGCATCGCTCAGCCTGACTACATCCCCAACGACCAAGATGTCCTCCGTTCCCGTGTCAAGACAACCGGTATTACCGAGACCACCTTCATCATTGGCGACCTTACCTACCGCATGTTCGACGTCGGTGGTCAACGTTCCGAGCGTAAGAAGTGGATTCACTGCTTCGAGAACGTCACCACCATTCTCTTCCTTGTCGCTATTTCGGAATACGACCAGCTGCTCTTCGAGGATGAGACCGTCAACCGTATGCAAGAAGCCTTGACCCTGTTCGACAGCATTTGCAACTCAAGGTGGTTCGTCAAGACATCCATCATTCTTTTCCTCAACAAGATCGATAGATTCAAGGAGAAGTTGCCCGTCAGCCCCATGAAGAACTACTTCCCTGACTATGAGGGCGGTGCCGACTACGCTGCTGCTTGCGACTACATTCTCAACCGTTTCGTCAGCTTGAACCAGCACGAGACCAAGCAGATTTACACACATTTCACCTGCGCCACCGATACCATGCAGATCAGATTTGTTATGGCTGCCGTCAACGGTAAGTTCTCGATGTTGCGGATCTCTACGAAGCACTTTGCTGACAACGCTTCCAGATATCATCATCCAAGAAAACCTCAGATTGGCCGGCCTCATCTAAGCGTGACGAGACGCGGACGAACAGAAAAGGTGCATTTGTTTTCTTCGTATATTCCCCTCTCTGGCCAGAGTTCAAGAATCAACAGTCTTAACTCATGTTTCCGGATCTGTCTATCGGTATCCTGGTCAATCGCATTTCGCATCTGGAAAATCCAAAACAGTCACCTGTCTTCATTTGCCTGGGCATGCGTTGTTTTTGACCGCTGCCGACATATAACCACAGCACTCTGACACAACAAAATCGTCGATTCTTCAAAAGCCTCTGGATCGATCTACTCTCGAGGACGAATGATGGGTCTGTTTTATCTAATAGCTGGAAGAAGAACAGTGGGGTCAGTCTGCTTCTATTATCTTCCTGCTTTTCGTTGATGTTTCCCGCCATCCTCTTCTGGGAAACAAGTCATTTTCTTTCTCTTTGAATCTTCTGGGCAAAGCGGCGTCCTAGATACAAACGCGTGGGACGTTCAAGGAAAGGGTTGGGAGGTCATATTTCTCGTTTTTCTGTTCTCACTCCTCACTCCCCATGCCTTTTCCTTCTCTTCTTATTGAAGTTGTCACTTCTTTTTTTTCTTTCGACTCATTGCATGATTCCCTTGTGTTCGCCCTCCTGTCTACTCATAGTATATATAATCTTGAACCTCTTTCCTTCAAAAGAATGAACAATGAGTCTCATGTTGTGTCTCTTGCGCGTGATTTACGAAATTCATCTGTTCACCTGCTGGCATTGTCAGAAGCATCGATTCGAACACATGAAAGCGCTCGGAGATAATCCGCTCGATTCATGTACATGCTGGTGTAAGCACAGCCTATCTTGCTTGCCACATTTGATCAAAAAGGAAAACGGTTGCGAATCGTTGGAACAGCGTGCACTAGCATCTATCTCTTCTCGCATAACAGCTTTATGCACGTATCTGGAGCAGCGCACATCCGTAAGAGTTGTTACATTCACGTGCAGACGCGGCAGCAGCAGCAGCAGCAGCAGCAGCGGATATAACTAGACGCGAATTTACCGGGATTGTATGCCGCTTGCTCGTGGAGAAGATCGGGGAGGTGGGCGTGAAAGGAAGCAAGTATCCACAGGTTAACAACGTCCTGGGTGCTCTGAAGTGACGTAGGAGACTTTTGTGTGCCCGCGTTTTCTTTGGGGTCCCCAGCACCAGCGTTTGTGTCTCCAGATCGATCATCAGGGCGGTTTTGATACTTGGTAGGTATCTTTTTGTGCTGATGGTTGAGATTGTGAGGGTGATTGGTATTTTACAGGGAAGAGGACCAAGGTATATCCTTGCAAGAAGACGAGTGCGTGCAGTCCAGTACACGTATGGAGGGGCAACTTCATGTCCACTTCACGATCACAGACAAAGGCAGTGGACAATTTCCAGGATCTCGATCACCACAGCTCCAACACAACGGGATTTTCTGCATGCAGGCGATTAGGCTCTGATTTCCTCGGAAGCAAAGACCTTTCTGACCACGTTTTTCGTTGCCCTTTTGTTGCCATCACGATTTGAGTTGTGTTGCCGTCAAGCGAGAAGACAGCTCAACGTAAATTCTGCCTTTGCGGCTCTGGACGCCCTTTGCCTTTGGCAGCTGGCTCCTCGCCCTTTCATGCGGTTTTGTTGCCACCGACGTAGAGACAATGGGCTTTCTAGACCGCTCACAACCGCTGAGGGGTTGGTATGCTGTTCGTCGCAGCCAATCAATTGCTCTATCGTTTGCATTGCATAGACTGGCCCGTTACCATAGGCTTTTTTAAGCCGCATCTCTACTTTTGTGTTTAGCTGAAGGGCCTCAACCGCGTAGACCAGTTCTCAACCCGCCTCTTGGTCCACACCCCATGGGCGAGATACGATAGGTGTGTCTAGTCTCGATTCGGAGGGGGCGTCCTATTGTTCGCCCTCGCTACCGGTCGGGAGATCGAGGATTGTATAAGAATAGTGATCTTCCCTCCGCGCTTCCTGGTTTGTTGACGTTGTGCTCTCCCAAAGGTCCAGTTTTTTCTCACTCTGACATCGCGGTCCACATTTATCCCTCGAGGATTTATCAAAAACAGTCGTTCATCCTATTCCACTCTCGCTTTCTTTCCGAGATGTCTATGTCTTCCGCTTCTCTCAAAGTCCCTCAAGCAACCATGCCTGGCAGCACTGTTAGCACCGCTCCCCTCAACACCAAGCGCAAGATTGTCTGTTTCTCGGGTAGGTTGTTTTCTATATTCTCGAGAGAGGGCATTGCTGACTTACTTGCCCTTCAGACTTCGATGGCACCATCTTCATGCAAGACACAGGTCACATCCTGTTCAACGCCTTCGGTTGTGGTACTGAGCAGCGCGAACTCCTCGATGCACAAATCAAGTCCGGAGAGCGTTCCTTCCGCGATGTCTCTGAAGAGATGTGGGGATCATTGAACGTTCCCTTCGCCGACGGTTTCGAGGCCATGAAAGAAGGTCTGGACATCGACCCCGAGTTCAAGAACTTCCACCAGTTCTGCTTGAACAACAAGATTCCTTTCAACGTCATCTCTGCTGGCTTGAAGCCTGTCCTTCGCAGTGTTCTCGATCACTTCTTGGGAGAGGAGGCAGCTTCCAACATTGACATCGTCGCCAACGAGGCTGATATCTCCGAGGATGGTAGCTCATGGAAGGTCAAGTGGCGCCACGACAACGAGCTCGGTCACGACAAGGAGCTCTCCATCAACGAATACAAGGAGGCCGCACAACTTGAATCCGACGACGGCACCATCCCCATGATCATCTTCATCGGTGACGGTGTCTCCGACTTGCCCGCCGCTCGCCACTCCGACGTCCTCTTCGCTCGCCGCGGTCTCCGTCTCGAGGAGTACTGCATCGAAAACAAGATTGCTTACATTCCCTTCGACACCTTCGCCGACATCCAGAAGGAGGTTATCAAGATTGCCAAGATCGATGAGGAGAAGACAAAGGGACAAGGCTTGCCCAGCAACTTCAACCCTCGCGCAAACATGTGGCGTCGTGTCAGCTCCAAGAAGGCTATTCCCACTTTTGCTGCCATGACACCGCGCGACGAGCGTATGTTCATCTGGCCCGAGACTTTCTCCGAGGTCAAGGCCGCTCAAGTCAAGGCTTAGATGTAATGGTGTCTTGTTGAGCTACTTACGATTTCTTTTGCTGCATGGATGAGAGGTGTTTGTGCATCTTTTCGGGACTAATATTCTTTGTTCGGGCTGCCTTGCGGTACTCTGGCAGAAATGGCGTTTTTTCTTTCTTTATATCACGCACGATGATCTTTAGAATACCTTCACTGTCTACAAGACAAACGTACACATATATGAATGAGCACCAGCTTTGACACATCGCATCTGTGTCTGCTAGTTACGCGAATTAGGAAACTGTCAAAGGATGCTTGTGCAGCTGTTGTTCATAATTGTGCAACCAGCTGACGTATGCCTCTGCAGAGTAAAGGCAGCCGAGGCGGCAGCGGAGTAGCGCGGAAGCAGACAGACTTTCAGGGCCAGGCCACGACAGCAACGAGGGGCAGTTAGTACTCCATAGTTCGTGTGGCTGTGGGCATCCGATGTGGTTATCAATAGCAACAGAGGTTAGCAGGCAGTGCACAAGAGATTGTAGGAGGTCAGGAAGGATTGAGTGGAGCTCTCGAGGTCGAATGTCACTCTGTTCCCCTTTGGATGCTAAGCAGGAAAGCTCGAAACATGTCGATGATGTCTGTTTAATCTCGCAAGTCGCGACCCACGGCCGCCATTCCCCCCCCAGCAGCTCAGCAGCCAACGCTCGTATTTATAGAGGGAAGCTTAACGGCCATTTCATCATCTCCACTCTAGACCAGAGGACGTTGTTGCTGCCTTGTGCAACTTCTCCTTTGCTTGCCCAATACTACACTATTGCTGCGTACAGGCGCTGCGCTGGCCGCAACATAGTCCACACATTAATCCGTCGCAATGCCTCGACCACGATTGACACCGCACCTGTCGCTAAATCGCTTCAAGAGCACCACCTCGATCAAGTCAACTGACAGCCAGAGCAACAGTCGAGCCGTGAGCCCCAAGAGAAAGGGAGAGGAGCAGGGAGACCACAAGGGCTTCAACCTGGTCTTGAGAGTACAGGTGCTCGAGGTATATCTGGCCTATCTTTTTTTAGTCCTGATAGACCAAGCTGACTCGCCGTGCTCAGGGCCGAAACCTCGCTCCCAAAGACAAGAATGGTACCAGCGATCCCGTAAGCAGCTTCTCATTCCCGTCTGTCCACGACTTGCCACTCACTGGCTCTACAGTACCTAGTCATTACTCTAGGAGACGCACGCGAGGCTACCTCTGTAATCGACAAGACATTGAACCCAAAATGGAACCAAACCTTCGACCTCCCTATTTCAGGCATCTCGAGTCTGCTGCTAGAGGGTGTGTGCTGGGACAAAGATCGCTTTAGCAAAGACTACATGGGCGAGTTCGATGTCGCTCTCGAGGATATCTTTACCAACGGACAGACTATCCAGGAGGCAAGCACAGTCCTACTCGACATCGACTCGGCTCTAGCTAACATCATACACAGCCCAAGTGGTACAAACTCGAATCTAGAAAATCGGGTCGCAAGAAGAGCCATGCCTCTGGCGAAGTCCTCCTAAAGTTTTCCGTATTCGACCCTATTAATCCGAACGCCACCGCTCAACAGACCCTCCAAAAGTTCTACGGTGTTATTGCCCTCGAAGATCCCGCCGAGGGAGACGAAGACCTGGACGAACTTGCTCGTGCAGAAGAAACCCCCGATGAAGATGAAGACGACGAGGATGTTGATGGCGCCAGTCCCGAGCAAGCAGAAAAGAGGAAGAAGAGACACAGACTCGCCCGTCTGAAGCGAAAGACCAAGCTGAAGGCTTACGAGTTCAATGGTATGAGTGCTGTTGCTGGTGTTCTCTTTGTCGAGATTCAAAAGGTGACGGACCTGCCTCCCGAACGCAACATGACACGTACTTCCTTTGACATGGATCCTTTCGTTGTCAGCTCCCTGGGCAAGAAGACATACAGAACTCGCGTCATCAGGCATAATCTCAACCCTGTCTTCGAGGAGAAGCTCGTCTTCCAGGTCTTGCGACACGAAGTCAACTACTCGCTCAATCTTACTGTCATCGACAGAGACAAGCTATCCGGAAACGATTTCGTTGGCGCTGCCACTTTCTCCCTTGAAAGGGCTAGAGCTGTTCAACCAGAGGCTGATCCGGAGACTGGTCTTTACCGCTGTCCAGATACACCTGACGCAGGGGTCACACCTAACAATGAATATAGACGCTCACGGTTCCGTTTGGCTTCCTCGCGCTCACAATCAAGCCAGACGCTTAGTAGATCGTCTCGCAATGCTTCAGCCAAGGACCTCAGCAGGCTCTCCAGGACGTCTTCGAATACTAGCATGAACAGACCTGCGTTACGGAAGGAGGACTCGGGCGACTCTTTGAACGCTGTCGACACACGCGAAGATCTACCGTCGCCAATGACCAGCAACCCATATATGACCGACACTTCTAACATTCCTCAGGTGAACGTGGACCACGATGGTATCGAGGATCCAGACCTCAAATACTACGCCATTCCATTGCAGCTGAAGAACAAGGATAGATGGGAAGACAAGCACAACCCAATCGTTCACATCAAAGTCAAATATCTACCATACCAAGCGCTCCGCCAACAGTTCTGGCGTGCTATGTTGAAGCACTATGATGCAGATGACACCGGAACTCTTGACAAGGTCGAGATCACCACCATGCTTGATACCCTTGGCTCTACTCTGCACGAGGATACTATCAACTCCTGGTTCAAACGTTTTGCTTCTGAGAATGGCGGAGAGGAGGTCTTGACTATGGATCAGGCAGTGATGTGTCTGGAGGATCAGCTTACGAAATTCCAGAAGAAGGCAACTCTCGCCGACACTATACAGGGGAAGCTTCATATCTCGGAAACTAAAACCTCAAAGTTGACTGCAGCAGACGGGTCTAAATCATCCGAAAGCCTTGTACATTCTGAAGACAGCTCAAGTCAAGGAACGCCTCTGAACAACCAATCTCAAACCTCAGTGGTCCCAGCACTTGAGGTGCAGGACCTTTCGGCCGACGGAGAGGAGGGTGGTGCGTTGCCGGACGATGATCTCGCGGATGAAGAGAAGGGTGAGGAGCATGTCGTGGAGATCAAAGAGTGTCCCATCTGTCACCAGCCTCGTCTCGACAAAAAGGGCTCAGAAGCCGACATCATCACGCATGTAGCCACATGTGCCTCGCAGGACTGGCGTGCTGTCAATAATATCGTCATGGGTGGCTTCGTGACCAGCAGCCAAGCACAGAGAAAGTGGTACAGCAAAGTCATCACCAAGATTGGTTATGGTGGCTACAAGATTGGAGCCAACAGTGCCAACATTCTCGTCCAAGACCGTATTACTGGACAAATCAATGAGGAGAGGATGAGCGTGTATGTCAGACTGGGTATCCGATTGCTTTACAAGGGGCTCAAGAGCAGGGAGATGGAGAAGAAGAGAATTCGCAAACTCCTTCGATCCCTGTCCTTTAAGCAGGGTCGTAAGTATGACGACCCCGCTTCAGCGTCGCAGATCTCTGGGTTCATCAACTTCCATCAGCTGGATATGTCAGAGGTTCTCCTGAAAACATCCGAGTTCAAGAGCTTCAACGAGTTCTTCTACCGCAAGTTGAAGCCAGATGCTAGACCCTGCTCGGCTCCTGACAGGCCGGAGATCGTTGTTTCACCAGCAGACTGCCGGACAGTCGTCTTCAACCAAATCACTGAAGCTCAGCGCGTATGGGTCAAGGGACGAGAGTTCTCAGTAGAGCGACTCTTGGGTAATGCATACCCTGAAGATGCCAAAAGATATGTCGGTGGCGCCATGGGTATCTTCCGTCTGGCACCGCAAGACTATCATCGTTTCCACATTCCGGTGGACGGTACAATGCTTGAGCCCAAGCTCATTGAGGGCGAGTACTACACTGTCAACCCCATGGCTATCCGGAGTGCGCTTGACGTGTATGGTGAAAATGTCAGAGTGGTTGTGCCAATTGATAGTCCGAAGCACGGACGCGTGATGGTCATCTGTGTTGGAGCCATGATGGTCGGCAGCACAGTCATCACGCGAAAGGCAGGAGAGAAGGTGAGCCGCGCGGAAGAATTAGGATATTTCAAGTTTGGTGGCAGTACGTTGTTGCTGCTGTTCGAGCCTGGAAAGATGCTGTTCGATGACGATTTGGTCGACAACTCTAATGGAGCATTGGAAACACTGGTAAGTGATCACAGTGAAACAGTTGTCAAAGAGGTTGCTAATATCCTAAACAGGTTCGCGTCGGCATGTCAATTGGACACAGTCCCGACGAGGCACCTCATATGCCCGACATGCGCAAGGAGAACCCCAGCATGGCTGAGAAGCAAGAAGCCAAACGCAGGATCGAAGGCAGTTTTGCGCCCAGCACAAGGGCGATACCCGGCATGCCATCTGCAGCCAACATCCAGTAAGGGCAGTAGACCAGATGGTTGCTCATGTTGTGAATAGAAATGAATTGGTACACGTGTGGAAGCGGCTTGCGCAAACCTAGAGCATTAACTCAGCGAATTTTCTGCATTGATACAATCACTCTCTGAAAAATGATTGTGCCAACTGAACACAAATGTGTATGCACGTGATATAGATAGGCAGATGGTCAAAGCTCTCGAGAGGGACTTCTGAGCCTTGTCTTGGCGTGTCGGGCAAGTTTGGTGTGTTTACATTTGGATCCGGGTCGGGTCGCTGGGGCTTCCTCGATCAATACACAGCACAAGAAGCAACGACGACCATCATCGACATTCCCAGCAACGCGCATACCAATATCAATCGCTGCCATTCTCAACTCGACTATCCATACTCGACCGTCATAGAACGATAGGCGATGCGCATTCGCGCCACTTGACGCATCCAAATCACGACAAGCTCTCAATGACGGCCGCCATTGTCACGCGCACCCCTCTACACACGCTTAGCATGACCGGCGCACAAACAAACGGAATTAAGAGAAAAAGCCTGAGGCACCACAACGACCACCCGGACGAGGATGCCCCGCCGAACAAGAAGTCCAAGGCGACAAATACCACCACAACCTCTAAGAACGCGTCGCAAAACACGGTGAAGAAGGCCAAGAAGTGTGAGTTTGGGATGGCTCGAAAGAATGACGCGCAAATGCTGATGCGCTCGCGACTAGCCTATGACGAAGGCGATGATGGATTTGTCTTCACGCGCCGTACCAGGAAGGCCAAAGCAAAGGAACCAGATGTAGCACCCGAGCCGGAAACCACAGCTGGAGCTCCTGCGCCTGCCTCCGAGGCACAGCCCGTACAGCAACCCTCACAGCCAACAGACGAACACGCGCCGATAGAAGCTACTCAACCGCCGAGGAAGAAGCCCAGGAAGACGCTACCTACGAGTCCCGAACCCACCCCGCGACGACGTTCCAAGCGCTTGTCTGGCAATAGTCCTGTTCACAACCAAGAACCTGCGACCTCGAAACCAGCTACCGAACAGCAATCACATCAACGGAGCCCTGCAACACCACCCCCTGCGACTGGGGATCAGGAGAATGTCGCGCCAGCAGCAGATGGCAGTCCAGCCTTGGATCAGGGCGAGCTGACAATACATAAAAAACGCGGTCCAGCAAAGATCCCGCTACCATTCGGAGAAACACCTGTACTGCGTCGCAACAAAGAGATGCGTAAACTGAGTGCTGAGAAGTCGAGGAGAAGTTCGTCAGGAATGAGAGGACGGAGGGCTTCATCTTTGATTGAAGCAGGCAGCTCACGTGGTACGTGGATTTTCCCTTTTCTCCTTTTGCTCGAGTATATGCACAATCTTGTGTTTTTCTTGTTTTCCGCATCTTCCAGTATCGGGTTGGTTTCATCCCCTGACATTGTGATTTTGCGCGCGCATTGCAGCAGGCTCCGAATTCAACATCGAAGCTTTGAAACTTGAAAAATCCGACTCCAACCATGCGGATTTCGACTTGCGAAGACATCAGATCGGCGGATACCCTGAGCATGACGAAATTCGCGAACCGAAGATCGAAGAAGCTGACTGGAATCCCGTGGATACAGCCGTACCACATAGCCAGGTGGAGACAAACGAGTTCTACAAACACATTTCTCAGGACTTGGTCGAACCGAAACGTATGAGGCAATTGCTCTTGTGGTGTGGCCATCGCGCTTTACCGGAAAAGAGCGGTGGTGGTCAGATGGATGCAGCGGAAACGGCAGCAATGCATGCGGGTAGATTGACCTCAAATACTGAAAGAAAACATGTGCTAATACGTGCTTTGCAGCGAGAGTTATACAGGAAGAATTGCTTAATGAGTTCAGCTCGCGCAATAATCTGAGTTACTGGTACGACAGGGAAGATACAACACCGACTGTGCTGGTCAAGAAGCCAAATCCGAGAAACATTCAGAATGCCGAGAAGTTGCAGCAGTTGGAGGCAGAACTTGCGAGGTAAGTCCTTCGGTTTCTGATACCTCTGCTTTATGAAGAGGGAGCTGACGAATTTTCAAGGTTACAAGAGGAGAAACGAGCATGGGACGATCTCTTATCCTCAACAGCACCACCAAAACCTTCAGCAGAGAACCAAGAAGCCGAAACATCATCACAACCTCAACTCGACATATCACCACAAGCCATTAATCCCGCTCTCCTCGATCCCTCACAGGCCGATCTTCTTCAAACTCTTCTTTCGGGCATTTCCCTCAATTCATCGTCCTCAGAACCCTCCACATCGGCGCAAACATCAACATTAGAAACCACAAAATCACGCGTTGGCACAATCGCCTCGACGCTAGAGTTCAAAATCGACAAACTCGCAGATGGAGCGCATAAACTCGAACAATACAGAGCTGGAGCGCAAAGATTGGCCGACCATGTGTTGGCTGTTGGAGCGGAGAAACTGGAAGAAAGAGATAAGAGTGTCAGAGAGAAGACGAGCAATGGTTCATCTGGGCAGGTTGATGCGCTCGATAGGTTGAGGGGATTGAGTCGGGTGTTGAATAAGCGTGGTTGAGATCATGAATTGTAACGAGCAGCGATTGTGGGAGTCTTTTTTCTTTCTTCTGGAACTGCATTGAAAGCAGTGAACTTGAGCATGCATGCACTTTCTTCTCTTCTTGAAACAGAGATTCTACATTTGACATTCTTTTTATTTTTTATCTTTTCTCGAAGGAGATTCTGAGTAGGACACCCTGGCTGTATTTTCTCATCTTCGTGGAAATCATCGAATCGTTGCAGCTTTCAATTTCAGCATTTTGATTGCAGACATACTCATAGTACATCCTGTGGTTGATATTCTGTGCTTCCAAGAATCGTTTTGCTGCTGTCGGTGCTGCATGTCAAGCAGTATGAAGTAGTATATGAAGTCTGCCACGACATGCTTGACACACTTCAATGCTCTCTGTGCGACTTGAATATGAGTTTCACCATTGATATGACCTCTGATGAGGTTTCTTTGTGGAGACCACGTCCCTTGTGGAAATGTTTGTATCTCAGCTACTGTAACTGTCTTTAGCACATGCGGTGGCAGGCACGATCGAAGACTGTCCGACTTTATGCCGCTTCGATGATGGTGCAAGTTCAAAACAATCAATGACGCGTTTTCCAGCCTCCATTATTAGCACATACATCATTCCGTTAGAAAAGACTACCGTGCATACTCTAGACGACTTTTGTCTCTGTTTGGGCTGTTCACAGGCTCATGTGTTACAATGCAGCCTAGAGCAGCTGTGCCGCAAACCTGCAGCTCAGAGTCCACCAGCAAACAGCTGCTCGATTTGAGGCTCCATATCCTGTGATAGCTCAGCATTTTCTAAATGGCCCGATCACCGTAAAATGTTTCGAACGCAAGTTGTGCCTACTACAACTTTGATCCGAATCTTTACTCGCCTCTTCTCGGACCGTGGTGCTCGCAAACACGCTTCGAGGCCGACACTCTTCCAAAAGACATTACAAGGCAATTTCACAGTGTCCACGCCTCAAAATGCTCAAGCCTTTCTATCGGCAACCTTGAATCAGAAAGATAACCCGATTGGCGTGGTTGAGGAGATACTGGCCAGTCAGCGCGGCCTCAAATGTCTTCATGATGCTTTCAACATTGACGACACGCCAAAATATGTCGATATAGTCCTTCAACCCGTTTTATCCTGGCTCCAGTATCCAGCTCTTCAATCAGCGAGCAATGGATCCTACCTCAGGCGGACTTTGCAAGCGCTGGTCAATCCCCCAGGCTCGAGGTTCTGGAAAGCATATCACTCGCATGTCAAGTACGAACTCGTTGATGAGAGGTCGATCCAATGCTTTGCGTGGTTGCTCTTGCAACTGCTTACCAATACACGCACAGTCCGACCTTATGATCTGATGATCGCCAAGGATCCTTCGGTGCAGAGAGTCCTGGCAGACTCATCGTACGATCATACACGTTACCTTGGCCAAAGGATTCAGCGGGTGTATGCATTGCACCAAACTGCCAATTCTCGAAGTGCTCGAGATGTCTTTCAGCCACAGCACAACAATGACTTCCAGAACTTCAAGGATATTGGTATCTTCCCTACCGTGCAGGAAGTGGTGTCAGACAACAAGCCGAGGATTTGGCGTGCGGCAGAAGTGTTTGAAGAACCTGATCCTACCAGAAGACTATACATATATCTGGCAAACCTGTTCCGGCTTTACAGACAAGACTGGCTCGAAGAGATCAAAGAACAAGTACAAATCGCTCTGGGAAAAGAAACAGAAGATTCACGTAGTATCACAACACTCAGCGTGAAGCTGACTGGAGTTTCATGCCGCGATACATCTAGGAAGCATGGCCAACATCCTTGGTCACTGAGACTAGAATGCTCAGAGCCTTTGCCCGAACTCAAAGACCTTAATCCAGAGCAACGCAAAGCTTTCATCAAAGACGACACTGATTTCATGCCAGATGGAGCTCTTGGGTTCGTAATAGCAGATGGAGAACCAGTGGCTATTGTCAAATTACTGCGCGATGAAGCACTACTCGCCAGATCGATAGTTTGCATCCAAGTCCCTCACCGGGAATTGATATCTCAAGCAATGCTTGCTATGATGAATGCAGCATCTCTGGAACTTGTGCTGCTCAACACTGCTGGATATGCCTATGAACCAGTTCTTGGTCGATTGCAGAATACCACAGAAATCCCTTTCGAGGAAGAACTGTTGTTCTGGGATAAATCACACTCTGTCAAGGACTCGGAGGCATACAGCAATAGCGACAAAATAAGGGAGATTGTGAGGCAGCTTGAGGAAAGGCAGGAATCAAATCTACAGGATGCTATGAAGTTGAAGAGTTCGGTTGTTCTGGACCCTTCGCAAGCAACTTCATTAGTAGCTGCTCTGAAACAACGATTGAGTCTTGTACAGGGCCCACCCGGGACTGGCAAATCATTCATTGGAGCCCTTGCAGCAAAAGTCTTGCATGATCACACCAATGAGAAGATTCTGGTTGTCTGCCACACAAACCAGGCTTTGGATCAATTCACCCAAGACATTCGAAAAATTGGCGTCAAAGATTCGCAGATTGTCAGATTGGGTGGAGTGGAGAGAACGGATCCTGCTAACCATGATTTGTTACTCTCGTCTCTGAGGCTTGATGGTACGCATCATCCTAGCCGAGATTCAAGATCTTTTGTCAAGGATCTTGAGCGTCAGGTGTTGGATGAATCTCGCCGCCTTGAAGACCTTTATCGTGAGTTTACGTCGTTGGATAGACTCCGTGATCATCTAGATGGGTTGGCGATGAAAGGGGATCCGAGATACAGTCAAGCGTTTGAGATCAGTCTTGAACCTAATGGCACTACGCGTGTCACGGAACATGACACAGTAGCTGGCAGGCACTACTTACTGCAGCGATGGCTCGAGGGCAAAGATCCCGGTGTCTTTCCAGAGAAGACGAAGTACACTGCCGTATGGGGTCTTTCACTACAACAAAGGCAAGAGCTATCAAGCAACTGGCGAGCCACAATCAACCAAAAGACGCTCCCAGCTTTCTTGGAAATGGCAGACCACCACGACGACCTCTTAAACCAAGCTCGCAACGCAAGCAGCCAAGTCACCGAACAAATCATCCGCAGCAAAAGAATAATCGCCTGTACAACCTCGGGCGCAGCAAAATACCCCCAAGTGCTTTCCACAGCCCCTGGCATCGTCATCATCGAAGAAGCAGGTCAAGTCCTAGAGTCCCACACCATAACAGCTGTAAACCCAACTGCCAAACAACTCATCATGATTGGTGATCACAAACAACTACGTCCCTTTATAAACTACGACTTAAGTGTTGAAAAAGGGGATGGCTATGACCTTAATCGCTCCTTGTTTGAGCGCTTGGTATTGAAAGGATTTCCGCATCAAGTCCTGGCGCAACAACATCGTATGAGACCTGAGATATCGGAACTGGTCAGACGGCTTACTTATCCTGACCTTGTTGACGCGCCAAAAACACTAAATCGGCCAGATTTAAGGGGGTTCTCTGATCATGTGATTTTTGTAAATCATGAGGAACCTGAAGATACAGCTACTGAGGATCCAACGACTGTTAATGTCAGAACGTCTAAAAGAAATACTTTCGAAGCTGAGATGACGTTTGAGACTGTCAAGTACTTGTTGCAACAGAACTACAATGCTAGCAGTATTGTGGTATTGACGCCGTATCTGGGTCAGCTGAAGAAAATGCAAGAGGTCTTTGGCGGAGAGGTGAACACTGTTCTGAGTGACCTCGATGTCAAAAACATGGAGAAAAATGGATTGATTGAGTCTTCAGCTGGATCTGTTACTCTTGGTCAAACTCCATGCAGCGAATCAATATCAGCAACCAAGGGTGCTTCTGCTGAAGGAATAGAGGGTATTGTACCTGCCATGTCAGACTCAGACAGGTCCATGGCAGTAAAGCCTCCTGCAAAATCTCCATGCAGCGAGTCAACACCATCAACCACGACCTCTACCAGAGGAAGCACTTCCTCCACCACCGCCTCCACACCAAAACCAAAGATCCAAATCTCCACAATCGGTAAGCACCTACTTTCCACCATCCACGCTCCTTTATACTAATCTCATGCACCATGCAGATAATTACCAAGGTCAGGAAAGCGACATCGTCGTCGCCTCTCTAGTACGAAGCAACCCAGACAACGACATTGGTTTCCTCTCCAGCCCCGAACGTCTCAACGTGCTTCTCTCGCGCGCACGCAACGCACTCATCCTCATCGGCAATGCAGCAACCTTCAAATCCGCCCATACAGGCCAAGAAACATGGATAAAGCTATTCTCTCTACTTGAAGAGAAAGGGCATGTATATCAAGGCGTCCCTGTGCAATGTCAAAACCACCCCCAGGTTACAGCACTCCTAAGCACAGCTGCAGAATTTGGAGAGAAATGCCCCAATGGAGGGTGTACAGAGATCTGTGGCCAGAAATTGAGATGTGGCCATTTGTGTGGTGAGACTTGTCATCATGTTGATCATGAAGATATGGTTTGTAGGGTGGTTGTTGAGGAGTTGTGTAATAGAGGTAGACATACACAGAGGTTTGAGTGTTTTGAGAGGTTGGAGGTTATTTCTAGACCTTGTGAGGAGTGTGCGGCTGAGGATGAGGCGGAGAAGGAGAGAGCTGAGCAGGAGAACAAGAGTACCGGACAGTGACATAGCAGCAAATGTTGGGGTGAAGGTCACTGGCTCCTGAAGTTCTCGTAGCGTTCATCATGTAAGGCAGAAACAGTCGTATAGCCTACAAGTTACGACCTCTCTATGTGCGCGAATCGTTGTTCGTCTCGTCGCTCCATTCCCACCACGATTGTCTTGCCATCACGTCTCATTGAGAGCAGACCTTCTGCTAAGTGAATTCTTCTTTCAAGACTAAAAAAGGACAATCGACTTTTGCATTCGCTTTCCCTCCAGCTCTGAACCATTTCTTTCCAACACGTTGCCATGACTTAGATCACAAGTGAGGAAAGTGCTAGTGACTGCCTCAGTACCTTTCGTCGCGAAACATCGCGTATCAGAAAGTTGCACTCTGTCACTCAATCCTTACTCGATCACTCCTTCCGCAACACATCACGACTCTTACTTCTTCGGACTCCCCCACCTCGTGCAGTAGTCTGTCATCGCGCAACACAAAGCCCACGCCCCTCTCATAGTCAGGTAAGATTGTGGATCGCAGCAGCACTCGCACTTGCTGATTCGCCTAGAAGCATGAATAACTCACTCAGCACCGCCATCAACACCGCGCTTAGTGGAGCCACCAACGAAGTTGTCGACGCAACCATCAAGAAAGTCTTCTCCGCAGCCATCGACGACGCTGTCAAGGAGCAAGTGCAGAAGTTGGAATAAGCTTTCGCCGCCGCCGTCAATGATACTGTTCAGGAAGAAGTGGTAAAGGAAGGATCAAAGAACGAGGATCCGACCCCTCCATTTGTTAACGTCACAGCGCTCTCCAGTGACGACCAAAAGTGAGAACCAAGAGGAGCACACAAGGCACTTCCAGATGGAAAGAACCAAACGAACGAACAAACGAACCCGTATGATGAGTTGGTTCAAAATCATTATATTTCATGATATACAAGATTCTGTCTTCTTCTCTTCCAGCAAGACAGATCTCAGTCATTGTAGTTACCCACACCACTGCAATCCTTATTCCCAGCCGGCAACCCATACCTAGCATTCAACTCTTCCTCTTGCGACTTTCCATCTGCAGAGTAATATGGTATTTCTGCTTGAGTAGCAACTCTAACCGCATGTCTCCTATGAGGAGCAAACCCATACGTCGCCGAATGATTCTGCGAAAACATCAATTAGCATCTGCATCCCTAAACATCCACGGCCAAAGTTTTCCACTTACGCAAATCCTATTGTCCCAAAACGCAACATCGTCCTTGTTCCAATCGAACGAAACGTGTATTTCGTTGGTGGTCGCAATCAACTCATTCAAAAACGCAATGATATGATCACTTTCCAGTCTCGGTACCCCCACAATTTTCGTCACAAAGCCTGGATTGTAGAAGATACTTTTCCATCCCGTGACGGGGTTTACTCTGACCAAAGGATGGATTGTGGTGATGGGATCTCTGCGCACTGGTCGGTTTCCACGGACAGAGTCGGCGGCTTGCATGTCTGCGGAGTGTAAAGCGGACAAGGAAGAGAGGTAAGTTTGCATGTGGGGAGAGAGGGAGTCGTAGGCCGCGTATTGGGATGACCAGAGGGTTGTGCCGCCGCCGCCGCTTGGGGGGCCCGAGAGGAGTTTCAGACTTGTGTAGGAGGGGGGTTGGATTTCGTAGGTCACCTGAAGCCACATGTCAGTAAACACAACCGCTTGCGGAAAGAATGCAGCCTTACATCACTATGCCACAAAAAACTCGGCGAGAAAATCTGATTCCTCGCTCCTCGTGCTCCCTCCGCAAAAACCACATGCACATCTTCTAGACCCTTTTCTCTCGGCACGGAGGTTGTAGCATGCTTATGCAACGTCCCAAAATATGCCCCCAACTCCCTTTGTTTCTGTATATCAAAGTTCTTCTGGTTTCGGAAAAACACAACTCCTCTTGTTGCTATCAATCTCGCAATATCATTTTTTTGCGCATCGCTGAGGTTGGCGAGATCGATGCCTTCAACTTCAGTACCGATTTTGGGGTTGTAGTCGCGGATGGACGTTGCGGATGCTAACAGAGAAGAGAAGTTGGGGCAGCCGAGAAGACCTTTATCCGAGTAGGGGACTTCAACCAAAGGATCCCATTTTAGATCTGGGAAGGTGGGGAGCAGGTGGTCGTAAGGATAGTTTTCGTGTGATTCGGGGATTGTGCGACCGGGTTGGTAGGAAAGAGGTTCGGTTGGAGTGGATTTCAGAGGCAAAGATGATTTTGTGATGGTGGGTTCGTGGCTTGGTAGGGTTATTTGTTCTTGAAGATATGGTGCCATTCTTGCGTGTATGCAAAGCAACAAGAGATGAGACAAAAAATTGATATTTAGAATTGACGACACGACAAGGAAATTATCTTATATACCTACCTCGTCACGTTATGACTCTTCCGTTTGCAACATGTCCACGAAATATTGCGTGATGGCCTGGCGGTATGATGAGAGTCCGTGGGGAGAGACTTATGATCGTTTCACCATGGGGCTCCGCAAGGAAGACATGCACACATCGGGGAAAAGTAAACACTTTCTGTCGGCAGTTTGATGACAGATGTTTGATAGACGTGCTTCGAGAAAGAAGCAAATGACAAAGAGGAAGATGGCGTGCTTGACTGAAGAGACCGTGCTTCGTGTGCGGCCGTTTGACCACATTCACACGCATCGACCATCTGTGACAACAACTTCAATTGACAAGCAAGTGGCTGCTGGACCTTCAAAGGTCTGGACTCGATACGCTCTACCACTGACAATTGATATCAAGCCATGGCGTTCGACCAGAGAATTGAAAGAGATGGAAGGAGGTGCAAGGCAGGAAGGGTGGTCATGGCTTCCCAAATCTGGGGTTCTGGACCCCTTCAGCGATGGCACAATTCTGGATGATGATTGCGTTTCTTGATTTCCTTCTCGAGCCTCGTCAATTCATTCTAATCTCGATCGCAAACGTGAGGATGTTGATGAAGCGTTTCATAAGTGTTGTATGAGGACAATAAGCGTACACCGCAAGTTGGCAGGCAATTTATCGAGTAACAAGGACTGTTCAAGCAGCTCCTTGGGGAAGTACATTTTCCAAGACTGCTTAAAATCTGACAGATCTTCTACCGCCATATCCAATACTTTCGCGAGGATCACCACCGATCTTGCCAAGTATCAACTCGTTCACACCCTCCCTGCAGGAACCGACCAGACCTGCGGCGCCCAAGATACCACTCTCGAAACCGCGGAGAGTTTCTGCCAGCTCTCGGACATTGTCTGCACTGTTTCCGGCGCGACCACCTGCTCGTTGAGCGGCCAGTTGATGTGCTTGCTGGACTGTGCTTCCTTCGACCACGCGAAGGTGTGCTTCGATTTCTGCGAGGTGAGAGGTGTATGTGTCGAGGGTCTTTTGCATGACTTCGGCTTGCTTGCTGAAGTAGCCAACAAGATCAGTGTCGTATTCATCATCAGTCGTTGAAGGTCTGCTGCTTCTTCCATAGTGGTATTGTTGAGGAAGTTGCAAGTTCTCGGCCATGCGAGCGACTCTGATGAGGTCACCAGCGTCTCTTTGAACCAACTCCTTTGCATTCTCGATAGCAGCGCCGTCGTTCTCGAGAGCAAGCTCGACTGTCTCAATCTTGTTCTGAATAAGGTCGACATCTGGTTTGATGCTCTCAACGTCGGTAGCATGACGGCCAATCATACTCTCACATTGAGTAGCGAAGGATTCTTGTTGTCTGATGAAGGCATCGATTTGTTCGATTTGTTTCTTGAGGTCATCGTGTAGATCGCTGAAGCGGGTGGTTGGGCGCAGGTTTGACATGTCAATCTTGACACCGGGTTGTGTGGTGGGTTGGGTGTTGCCTTGACCCATGGTCAGACTGCCTGCCATAGGTCTGGCAGTCGAGTTGCCAAGGGGGTTCAGAAGGGACGAGCCAAAGTTGTTGGTTGCGGGCTGTGCGGTACTACCTCCACTGAGAGTAACATGTTAGAGAATGATCTAGCTTGAGTGAAATTGAGCAAGCGAACGTACAAGAGACTTGGAGTGGCATTTGGCGCACCGAACAAACTAGGCTTGTTCTGGGTTTGGGCGGAGTTCTGTTGGGTGCTTCCAAACATGCCTCCGGTATTTGTTGTGTTGTTATTGTTTGTTGCAGCGCCAAAGAGACCACCAGATTGTTGGGGTTGTGTGTTTGAAGTAGTGGCTGTATTGTTCCCGAACAGACTGAGGGTGGGCTTAGCAGGTTGAGCAGCAGCAGGAGCAGCGCCGAAGAGGCCAGTGGATTGTTGTGGTTGTGATGTTGCTGTTGAAGCGCCGAAGAGACCGCCGGATTGCTGTGGTTGAGAGGCGGCTGCTGGAGCGGCGCCAAATAGGCCAGTAGAGGCGGGCTGGGATGTGTTGGTCGCAGTCGTGTTGTTGCCGCTGCAAGGGGGAGGAGCCATAGTTAGCGCGCCTGGAATAAAGGTAATGGCAGCTCGTCGCATCTTGAATGGCGTCGGTCGAGGAGAGAATGGAGATCAGAGACGTACAAGAGAGAGTTAGCAGCACCAGTGTTCAAACTGAGCGAGTTTGACCTGCCGAAGGCCATGGTTGGATAGCGCAAGTGAAGTTTGTATGCAGTGGAGCGAAAGCGAAAGTGAAGCTGTTTGCTGCGTCCAAGCGCGCGTCCGTTGTCAAATGCGAGTTCCCGGAATCAGATGTTGATAGGGAAGCAACCGATGTGGAGATGGACTTGTACAGATATTTTACAACCGGGTTCTTTCTTGACGCGCAAAGTGTTTGGGTGTTGGTTGTCGGGTCAAGATTGTTAAAGACAAGAAAGCTCGGGCCAGCGTTGTGTCTCGCGCGCTCTGGAGCTTCGACCTGCGACAGTTTGTCCTTGTCCTTCTCCCACATTGACCCAGTCGCATACACAAACATCATCATGGAAGAGGAAGACGACGATTTCTACACTCAGAACGGTGACGCTACCGTCAAGAACGAGCAACCTACAAACCAAGACGACCCTAACGAGCAACCCGACATCAACTCAGACGATGAAGACGACGATGACGATGATGAAGATGATGATGACAGCGACATTGATATTATCACTGAGCACAAGGACGGTCTTGTTCCAGAACCTCCGTGAGCTTGCACTTCTCTTTCCATACCATCTTCCATACTAACGCACTCCACCAGACAAGCTCGTCCCTTCCGCGGCATCAAACCCGAACCTCCTGCTCGCACCGCTTCCATCGACGCCGCCCCTACCCAACAGAACCAACAGACGCCCACTCTAAAAACAGAAACTTCGACTACGCAGAACAAGAAGCTAGTCTCGTTAAAGGACGGCTCCAAATACCCTGAAGTTCGCACTTCCTCAATAGACGTCAATGCCACTCCTACATGGGATCCTGCTGGAAAGCTCATCACCGAAGTCGACATTGACGCAGACCTTGCCGAACACACAAAACCCTGGCGTCTACCCGGCACCGATCAGACTGATTTCTTCAACTATGGTTTTGACGAGTTCACCTGGACCCAGTACTGCTTGCGCCAGCAAAACATGGCTTCAACAATCCACAACCAAAAGGCAGAAACCAAGCAATTCGAGATGATGTTGACAGGTGGAGGCATGCCTGGACAAGCTGCTCCTACCGGTCCACAAGCTGCTCCACCAACCGGTCCCATGGGCATGGGCATGCCTGGAATGGGAATGCCCGGTATGCCCGACATGAACCCCGAGAACATGGCCGCCTTCGCCAGCGTCCTGCAAAGCCAAGGCATCGACCCCAGTCAACTCGACTTCAACACCTTCATGCAACACTACCAGCAAGCCTCTATGGGCGGCGGTCAAGGCGGTTACGGCGGTCAATCCATGCAGCCCCAACAATCAAATCAAGGCTACGGCGGTCAACAACAGCAGTCATTCCAACAACAAGGTCCAGGCTTCCGTGGAGGAACACCACAGCCCGGTCAACAGGGCCAACAAGCTCAAAATCAAGGCTTTGATGGTTACAGTCAACAACAGATCGCTATGATGCAGGGTCAAGGAGGCATCCCATCAGGTCCTTCGGGTGGTCGCGGACGAGGTAGAGGAGGTCGGAGATGGCAATAGTATCGATACCCACTTCTGCATCAAGACAGGCGTTACATACGGGGAAAGACGAAATATCGTCAAAAGGTTTAGGCTTTGGCACTTTGGGCAGACTATTGGTTAACATTTTTTCGCTCAGTGGAGCAATGGCACAATTTTGCCTGTTCATGACATTGTTGCTACTCTTAAACTTCGTGTGTATTCGTTTCCTATATGATTCTCTCAAGCCTCCTATGCATATGCAGGCATGTCCATGCCATAAGCTTCAGGCAGAATACCCTCAAGCTCAGCTTTAATCTGCAGAGCCAGCAACTGTGAGAACCACCGATGTTGCTGCGTATACCCACCCATGACCCAGAAATTTTTGACCTGGCTATGTCTCCTCCACATACCCCGAATCTCTCCCTGTTCATTGACACCCCATGTAGCATCCACCGGCAATGAAATTTTGAGTATCTCTTTGACTGTTTGCCGCACGTCCTTGTCTGCAAACCCTGTGCACCAGATCACGGCATCCGTGTCTAGTGTTGAGTCATCGGAGAGGAGAAGGCCGGTGGGTGTGTATACCTTGGGTTCTACGTTAGCTACAAAGGAGACTTTTTGGTCCGTTAAGAGGGAAGTAGCGCCTGTATCGACATAATGACCTCCTCCGCGCTCGACAAGGTTGTGCATTAACGCAGCATCAGGATCCATACTATCAAAAACAGGGAATCCAAGGTTTTTGAGAGGTGTATAGCGGTCAGGTTCCTGAGAAGCTAGTTGTGTAAATAGTCCACGGCCGAGTTGAGCGTCTACTATTGTGGGCAGCATCATGAATAGATTATCGGCTGCTTCGACACCGTAGTCATAGGCGCCGAGACTGTATTTATCGTCAATGCCAATTGATCCTTCCAAAAGGCTTGCTCAAAGAAAAAGCACTTCTCCAGTCCCTTAGTGCTGTTTGCTTTCAGAGCGATATTGAACTGCTCTAGTGCAGTACGACCTGCCGAGGTTGCTTCCAAGGTGCTCATAGATTCCAGGTCTTTGGCGACTCGATGGACATCCGGCAGAGCATATTGTGCCATCAGATTTCTCAGATCAGGCTGAGCATCCTGTTTTGCGGATGTGTGCTTCTCTGCTAAACTTTTGTCAATATAACGTGTCTTGCTTGGAATGATTGACTGTGAAGACCTACCATTGCTCATGCTCAAGAATGGTGACATGTCAAAGACTGTGTTTCAAAGGTTTGTTCAGAGACGGCTGAAGGCAGGCGACAAGCACTCTTCCTCAAGACTCTGGTCGGTCTCTTATATGAGCGGCTCATCGCTAACTGCCATAGTGCCTCACTCTTGGAAGCGGCACAAAAGAGCGGCAATCTGTTGAAGACCACTAGTATCATAGCGAGAGAAAGATAACCAAGTGGCGTCTCAGACTGAGCGAAGTTAGTTTCATCATCCATACCCCTAAGTCACTATGGCGTGCCACCGAGGTGTTGAGATCTTGATGGCCTCGTAAATTGGACTTGTGGGCTAGACAATCAGAAAGACCCAGCTGCTTGGGTCAGCGGAAACAGCTAGGCGCTTCCCCGTAGGATGGTCATGAGTTTCTTAATGCAAGAACCACGATTATAACCTTAGTTGGTTCTACGAATTGTGGCAAGAAAAGACTGATGGTCCTTGCCTGATATGCTAACGTGAAGGAGACGCTTCATGAAGGTCGCAAACAATTCCACGGACCACCGTTTGACCCCACATGTTCACAACATTTTCCCTTGCATACAGGCTACAGCAATCATAACAACACATGGTCCGAGCATTTTAGAATGATCCTGGGTCATGCATGGCGCTTGTCGTATATGAAGCTCGGCCGGACTGCATTCTCATACCAGTTTCCATAGCCAAGCACACATACAACCAGGATCTCGTACAAGGCAGTTCTCCATGCTGATTGATTAATTGTAATGTGCATAGGCTGCAGCGATCTACGATCCAACCTAACGACGAGACGAGTGGGAGAGTTGTGTGCCGTGACAGACTGCTGCGTGAAATAAAAGTGCGAAAGTTTCAGATTCCGGATGTGTTGTGGAAGAAGTGATCGAGGGAGCAATGACAGAGCGCAACGTCCCGATATATGGTATGTATTGACAAAATATCGACACTGTCTTCACTTCCCCTCGAACTGAACACATCACTTGTGCATGAAACAGTGACTGCATATCGACCTCGAGAAGTGAAATGCAGAGAAACTTGGTTGCAAGAACAGAACGTACAATTCTTCTAACCTACAAGCAAAAGAAACACCACTTTCGGTGGCGGAAGAAACTCTGGCGAGGAGTTTACTTATGGTTGTTTTTCTGTCTTTCTGGGTGGGGGTGATATTGTTCTTTTTCTAGCCTTTTTTTTCTCGAGAGTCTTTTTTCTTTTTTTTCTTCTTTTTTGCACTCTCTGTTTTTCATATGTTTTTGCCCCTTCTTTCTGGTCGACGGTGCGGATTGAACCGTGACCCTTTCTGGCCGCAGCTCAGAGTTGATGCGCCAGCCAACTGGACCACCGCGTCCGGTTGGAACACCAGTTGGCTGGGTGGAAGAGGACGCGACGGCGTGGTGTATATAGCTTGGAGGTCAAGGTGCTGCACGTCCCTCCTCAATGCCCTACTGATCTCGTTCTCATCCGGCGCAGACCATTGTTTGGATGTTGTTGTGGCCTTTCTTGGAGCCTGCCCGTCTGTCTCGCCTCCACGATGCTGCCTCGTCGATGCAAGATTGTGCTGTTGCCTACAGGCTGGAGCATCCGGAAGCCAGTTTCCTTCGCGACTTCCTCCTCAAAGGTCGGCGCTTTGGTCATCCCGAACATGTCTTCACCTCCTACAGTTGCTTTCTCGTCACAAGCGCATCCACAGCCTGCTTCACACTCTGGAGTCTCGTCCTCGGCGAGTGATTCGAGGAGAGTGGCAAGACAAGAGGTGTGGGCAGAGTGACCGCATGCAAGGCACACCTTGTAAAGGCCTGCTATGGGCTGGTAGCAGATTGTGCACGAGAGCAGATGAGATCGCCCGCCGCACTTGACACATCCCGGGCCACGACGTTCCTGACTGTCGACCTCGCCACAAGACATGCAGCATCGAATGACCTGTGGACCTAAGCCGCCCAATGTCTCTTGGTCTGTGTCGACTTCTCCGAGCGTGAGTGTAGATTGCGAACCGCGATCTCTAGACTCTGTCCGAGTGAGAATGTTCGACAACAGTCCGTCGAGTTTGTCCACTTCGTTCTGTTGCATCTGAAGTCCCCAAGCACCTAGCATACTTGCGTATACTACCCGGTACACGGCGAACTTGATTGACTGGTTAGGGTCGAGGAAAGCTACGCTTGGACATCCTTCGTCATCGAACATATCTTGGTTCTTCAGACTGATCTTGACTCGGGACTGAGGTGGCAGAGACTCATCATCTTCCGTCGTAGACCCATCGTATTCTTCACCAAAACCTTGCGAGATGAAGCTCCTACGAATAGTCGAGTCACTTCGAGTGAAAGGCTTGCTTTTACTCCAGTTGACTCCTGATTGTGAGGGCGTCGAGGATGAAAGTTCTTCTCCGCTGGTCTTGTTACGAACAGGCGGAGAGCTAGCAAGCTGGAAAGGTCGAGCTAAAACAGAAGCAGCAAACGAACTCGTCGCGCTGGGTATAGAGGTACGATGGTGCTCTGGCGACGTCGAAAGACTAGGCTCAACACTTGAACGATGTGTGCTAGCTCTCGACAGAGGCATCGGAGGAGTGTTATCGTTGTAGAAGGGAGTGACAGGCTCACTCGCGACTTGTTCACGGATGTCCTGGAACGATTCTGTGAGTCCAGCCCCTGACTTTCGGTGTTTGTTGGACAAATCGGAGATAGAGATGATTGGTTCATAGAACCCAAAAGCTGTTTCTTTGTTGGGGAAGTAATCGGATAATTGGGCAGCACAAGTCATAGATTGTGGAAGATGCTGACAAAGTCAGTTTACGAACATACAGGGAGGCAGACATCTTACCTCATAAGTGGGACGGTGGTCATCTGGGGACAAGGATTGTGCAAATATGCATGATAGCATTCCCAGCATCTGAACGTCTGCAAGGTTTTCGAAATAGGCAAATCTGTCGGATTATTAGATTAGTTGAGGACATGTAATAAACGTGAGACACTTACAGTGTGTCGATCAGCCATGATCCAGCGAATGGGTGAGTTCCCCACTTGACGAGAGCTGTTTCCTGTGGATTAAGTACAGCTTCGGGCTCATCAAAGGACAAATCAAGCCCACTGTCGTTTCTTTGCGACGACATGAGCAAGCTACGCGCCAGGATCCGGATATCGGTCTCTTGTCTTGGAATGGAAAGCAAGCTCAAAGGAACTCTTTTAGCCAAGATCAAACCAACAAATTCCCAGATGTCGGCCAGCTCGTTGAAGCCGTGATGCAAGGCTGCTTTTGCATTGTGTGAGCAGACAGTCTCACCATCGCCATAAATAAGATACTCCGACGCAAGACTTCGCTTTGAAGGCAACAAGCTCTCCACATCAAGAATCTTGATCCTGACTTTGTTTCTAGCACCACCAACCCTCTTGTTGAGTCCATTACTCGTCGGTAGTGAGCCTTCAGTCGAATGTGTGCGAAGTCCCTTGAGCCGTGGGAAGCGCAGAGATCCGCCGTGCCAGGCCGATGGTGGTTGGAACCGACGAAGGAACATTTCGGGCTCATCAGAGCCTGAAGACGAACTCGAATCTGAAAACTCGGAACTATTGTCCGAATCATCAGCATTGAATGCATCAGCACTAGGTCTGCTTTTGGACTTGGACTCTGTCTGGCCGGGATGTAGCCTTCCAAACCCTTCGAAGATCTCCCTGCTTCCACGATTGCGGCTCCGCTCGTCTACTGCGAATTTCTGTAGAATTGAGCGAGGCTCCTCTTTGGGAGGCATGAAACAGATCAGTTGTCCGTTTGCCGCCCAAAGCGCTCCGCAAGTCCTGGGAAGAGGCACGTTGGCGTTGGTGCTAAAGATGCCTGATCCCATACTTCCTTCCATGCCCAACGTTTGTGATTCCCCAGCACCGCCACCAAAGTCGCCTAATAGGCCGTCTTCCTCATCACTAGAACTCTCAGCTTCCTCTCCAGGTGCGACTCCATCGTGGCCACTAAGACCCAACCAACTGATACTTTCCTGTAGGTCTCTTTCGCCGGTCAGATAGGACAAGAACCCTTCAATACATCCTCTGCGATGTATCAGGTAACCTGTAGCAATCTTGCGTAGGTTACCCTCGAGCTCTGCTACTTTCTCTTCTGACAAGGCGGACGCTTTCTCAAGATGAAACCAAGGAGCTGACTTTTCAGGATAATCCACAGGAAACTCCATGCAAAGTTGCATGAAAGCCAACTTTCCTTCAGCAGCCCACGGTCCATTAAGAGAGATCTTGACCTGCCTGTTCGACACATCTGCTTCTTCAACAGTGACACGAGTGAACTTTTCGCCCACATGAATAATCTCGTCACTCAGATTTTCACGTACCCCATGGACATCCGGATGCAGATCGGCAATAATCGAAAGTCTTCGAGTCGTCAACCTGTCTGGCGAACTCGGCTTGCGCTTTCCAAACTTGACACCTTTCATCCACGAGATTAGACCATTGTCTTGTGGTCTGGCATTTCGAGTTTCTATACCCGAGTAGGTCATCATCTGGCTATCATCGGCCCAACCACCCGGCATAGGTATAGGCACTTTGTTCATTCCAGGACTGGTCCCTAGATTAGAAAGCTCAAAGCTGTGTGTGGTGCCATCGGCCATTGTGTGAGGATGTGTGGGTCGATCTCTGAAAGACTTGTAGGGAGCACCGATTCGAGTGAGCTTTGGAGGGGTATCCATGAGCATGCCTTTGTGGAAGCCGATCGACTGGAGCTGCTTGTCTCCCATACGATGCAGAATCAATTCGCGATCAGCTCCCCAGGATACCAGCTGGAAGTCACGGCTATCCGAGTACTCATCAATATTTCCACGTCCTCGCCAAAGAAATTCTTTGACTTGTTCTTCATGTCCAGTGAAGCGGTAATTGGGATCTGTGAGCGCTGGTGTGTTGGTCACATTCGATGGCCTGCAGTCATACATGTGCAAATCATGATCTCCTCTCTGCGGCATGGCCAACACACCATTGCCGAAAGGAGTGTATCTGGCTCGCCATACCGGGAATGGCGTATTGATGACACGTTCGGGCTCTACTTCGGAAACCTCATAATCCCAGACCTTTATGGTTCGATCAAGGGAACAGGTGACAATCTTGGTCTCTTCAGTACGGCTCCAATCAATTCCATAGATTTTTGTCTGATGAGCTTCGATGGTCTGGAGAGGGATTGCACCTTTGCGATCATCCCAGATGTGTAAGTATTTGTCGTGTGATGAGGCAACAATGTGGGGGTTCCGTCTGTTCCACTTGACTTGAGTTGCACCAGCGAACCAATCGCAAAAGCTGATTACAGGTCTTGCGGAAGCGCGCAAATCCCAACAATGTACAAAAGCATCAACTGCACAAGTAGCAAGTAGATCAGGCTGTAAGGGGGAAAAGTTAATGTCAGTGATAGCTCTTGAATGAGCATGCAAAGTATGCTCTATTGGAGCCTGAAGACTGGCGAGTTCGAGATTCCAGACTAGAGCGCGTTGGTTGGAAGTACTGACTACCCAATAATATCGTGAAGCAAAGGGAGACCATTGTACATCGGCCGGGATCCATGGAGTTTGATGACGAAGATGACGCGGAGGAGAAAATGGTGAATCGAGATCTATAATGTGAAGACCTTGTTGAGATGCCAGAACAACATCTCTTCCTCCTGGAGAGATGGAGGCAGAACCTACAGCCTGGTTGACATGGATCCGCAAGTCCTTGTCAAAAGTGGGACTGTCAAAAATCGAGGTGTCCTTTCCGCTCCTTTGGGTAATGGTCGATGACATTGTGGAAGACATGGCTGAAGCCTGAATGGAATCAGTATGTCAAGATATGGTGCTCAGCCAGGGTCTTCTAGACGCCGGACGATATGAACTATGGGGAGGCGCGCTGACATGGTCACACTGAACACAGCGCTTCCCCAGTGAGAGCAAACAACTTCATCCTGGATGGTATAGATTGGCAAGATAGACGGAGGTAGATGCCAAGGAGAACTAATCGCGTGTCGCTGGCTGGCGCACGTGATGAACGAGTCCGAGCTTCAGATTGGATTGGGCTGGAGTCATGGCGGGGTGCGGGCGCGGCCTTCTTTTGTATCATCGTCGTCACTGCAGTTGATCTGTTTCGCACAATTCAACTTCACTTAGATTCACAGAGTTTCGACCGACCAACAACATATAACCTATCTCCGAGAGACAGCGCAATCTCAATATGGCTCTTCCTAAGCGTATCATCAAGGAGACGGAGCGTCTCATGGCCGAGCCGTATGCCTATCCATCTCAGACAGTCGCAGCTATGACCTGACGATGAGCTACAGTGTTCCCGGCATCGAGGCTGTTCCCCACGAGGACAACTTGCGCTACTTCGATGTCAAGATTCACGGCCCTTCACAATCTCCTTACGAAGGTATCCAGACCTACTAGCCTCACTCCACTGGAAAGACGTATTCTGACACTCCAACCAGGCGGAATCTTCAAGCTCGAGCTGTTCCTGCCCGACGACTACCCCATGACTCCTCCCAAGATCCGCTTCCTTACCAAGATCTACCACCCCAACATCGATCGTCTCGGTAGAATTTGTTTGGACGTTTTGAAGAGTAGGGCTACTGCCATATACAACATGTTTCCATACGCTAACCAGCTTAGGCAATTGGTCGCCTGCTCTGCAAATCCGTACTATCCTTCTCTCCATTCAAGCCTTGCTCGGTGCACCCAACCCCGATGACCCGCTCGCCAACGATGTTGCCCAGAGATGGAAAGAGGACCAGAATGCCGCCATTCAAACCGCAAGAGAGTGGACCCAGCAATATGCTAAGCCTTGATGGTAGGCTGATGGCCATATCCTTTGACAATCCAGTCAATATGGCTTCGTACCTTCTCCCTCCGATAAATAGCGTTGCATGGGTTTTTGCCAACATAATGGCCTTCATGAGCATGGTTGGCGTTGGCATGGCGTTTTTCATTCTATCTCCAAATACACCTTGTTCTCTCTACCACATTGACTTATCTCCTCCTACCCAATCCCCTTTTCACGATACTATCAAAATGCAAGGTGTTTAGCGAATACCGTGCATGTCCATTGAGAGCCCGATGGATCCTCTCAACTTCAGGGGCTCTCTCTGGACACAGCTACAATCCGCAAATCATCTTGCATTTAGATAGCGCCGTTCTGATAGTGTCTGACAGGAGAGAACAGCTACTTTTCGACATCCCGGGCTGCATCACAACACAAAATCAGGTTCTTCTGCGATTGCTCAGCGGTCACGCTTTCTATCACGATGGTGGTAGATTTGAACATGTCATGAAGCGCATCCATGACAGACCGAAGTATGGCTAACCATGAGATGAAATCACCACAAGGGCACAGTGCGAAGGATCAGGAGGTGACAAGCTAATGAGCATTTCACGCTGTGATGCTTGCTCAATGACGAATCGCCATAGGCCTCGAATAGAGTCAGAAACAGGTTCGGCTTCTCCCATGGTATAGCCGGTGTTATGATCAAGTGAAGCTTGCGCTTGAAAGCCCACCACATAAAAATCAACGTGCAAAAGTAAGTAACCCAAGCTTGCATCGGAACACTTGCTGATCATGTGCAGATGCGTTTCTGGAAAGACCACCCGAAGGAGATAGAGGCTGGGGGTGATTTCCCTCCTCCCTTCAGACCTGCTGTTGCCGCCGCCGCCTGACCTCCAAAGGCGCAGGTTACCACCGAGCCGCAGAAAGGCTCAGAAGAGAGTGACAAGCCTGTAAGTATCCTCTCCTATAGCCCAGCCCTGATAACTCGTCTGTTTCTTCTTGTGTGGCATTGTTCAGGCTACACGTTGCGCCTTTCATCATTCCTACGATCTGTCATTGCTGTGAGGTGTGAGTACAACGGCTAACAGATGCGAAGAAGCGCAGCGGTTGGCTCAAGAGGACACTGGGCTTGGGAGCCTTGTCGGACAGAGACTCTCCCATCGGACAGAGACTCTCCCAAGCCCAGGGAGACGGGGCGTGTGTTTGACAATCAGGGGAGAGAGGTTGTCAGCCAGGTTGACAAGAAAGGAAGGCTAATGGTGCCTAAACCTGCGCTGGCTCCTCCCAAATCCGGTCGAAGCACTGCGCCCCGTCGCCCTCGAGCAGAACCGATAATATGCCATTCGGCAGCCGCTTGGGGAGTCGGAGGACCTGGTGGTGGTTTCGTGCCTCCCAGAAGGGGAGAGGCTCCTGGTGAGAGAGAACGCCGTCGTGAGGCGGATTTCAGAGGTACCAATAGGGCCATGGATGATGCTCCGGTGTTCTCTAGAGGCCACCACCACGGACAACCTCGCGCGCGTGGAGGGAGCAGGCTCGCAAAGCCCTGGCCGAGTTCTTGAGCCTCCTCGTTCGCATCAAACCGGACCTCATCACGCTGCGCCTCTCATCGCGCATCTGTCAGTGAATGGAATCACCAGCCAATTCTACGACATCACCACGACAACATCACGTTCACTTCACGTTCTGCGCAATCGCAGTTCTCACTCTTTACCTCACAACAACTCTTCTTGCCATTCTTTCCATACAACACCACCATCATGTTCCACATCGGCCCTCCCAGCTCATCGTCTGGCTCTTGTCCATCCAGCAGAGATGTTTCGCCCAGCAAAGGATCAGAATGGTCCACAACCTCTGAACCTCTGACCAAACCAAAGACGCCCAAGAAGCGCGCATCATCCACAGCATCCAGTGAAGCATACTGGTCTGACGACAGTGACACACCTGTCAAACCTCGTGCGCTCAGAAGATCTGGCAGAGTTCTTTCAAGAGACTCATTCGGCGCAAGATCTCTTCTCTCGAAATCCGACCCCAGATCAGAGGCTGGCTCCCAAGAATCTATCTATGCCAGCTCTGTGTACTCCTACGTTGATAGCGAGGACGAATCCCAGACTTCTGCTCCTAATGCCGAAGGTCAATCTCAGTCTGCCGCTTCCAATGCTGAAGAAGAGGAGATTGAAAATCCCTTTCCTAATCCCGAAACCTGGGAATCTCAGCATGACACCAGAGGCATCGATCCTTTGAAGTTGGGTGAGATTTCTGTGCGCCCCCTTCCTCCAGTAAGTACTTCCAGCTCTGTCGTGCACTGATTGATGGGTGAACTAACGATCCTCAGATCGCTATCCACTCTACCTTCAAGCACTCACGTGAAGCATGGGGACTTCCTCCCTTGAAGCTACGCTGTCCTCTGGATTCTCACCGTCACCCTTACCACATCTACCAGTGGAACACCAAGAAGCTCAACTGCTATGCCGAACACGAGAGCGACTGTCAACTGTGCGGAGCTTCTTGCTGCTCTGTCATGGCCTACACCAAAGCCCTCGCCGAAGACCCTCGCCCCAACCCTGTGGTCCCTCTGAAGTATCGCAAGGCCTTCCAGCGCGACATTGACCAGATCAACGCCATGAAGCCCCAAGCCACCGACCCCTTTGAGAGAATGCTCAAATGCGACACTTGCTACCGCAATGTTTGCCCTGATTGCGCAGGACGTTGCATGAAGCCCGCATGTCTCCGTATCATCTGCAAGTCTTGTGGTGATCCTGACCCTTGGATTTACTGCCAGTGCGAGATGTATGAGGGCAAGCTCAGAATTACTTACATTTGAGCAAACGACCTTTACGTTCCCCCTTTGCGACTTGAGCAAACTTCAACACCACGCGCACTGCCAGCAAAGAACACAAACGTCAGATGATTGTACAACATTCCGGTTTTCTTCAGCGCGACAGCTGGCTTCTCAAAGGAGCTTCTCTAACAGGCCGGCAACAAAGACTGCGATTACAAAAGGAGCGCTCATCAACTAACGTTCAACACATCCAATCTGCGCTTGGAGGTGGAAGTATTGGGTTCCGTTACAGATGTCCAGCGAAGATAAGAATGAAAGGTCTCGGGTCTCGCTCGATCACACTGGTTAGAAGGGGTAGAGAATGAAGGTGGAATGGCAGTCGGGATTCGGTACAAAGAACTTTCGCATTTCATCATGCAGAGAAGGAGCTGTCTGCTAGCCTCTATCGTAGTCCCAGTCCAAGAAAAATCCTTGCCCTTTCTGCAGTCTTCTCTTCGAAACATGTATACTCAGAAGATAAATAGCGCACAGCTGGCTAGTAGACTCAGAGGTGAGAGTTCAACTTCATATCTCTTGTCGCCAAAAGTCCCTCTACATTTCTCGATGTTACATAGGGTAGTCTCGGGTGAGTCATATACTGTCCAATCAACCTATAACACAGTTGACGATAGGGACGACAGGTTAGAACGGCTCATTACAGAGAGCGAGGTCGGCGGGTTAGTTCGGCAGATATTGTCCCGGTGGCCGGCGAACTGAGACCCCAAACCGGAAGCGCGTCATACAAAGAAGTGCAGTCCCCCACGTAATTGCTTACCAACTGATAAGGAAAACATTCTTTTTTTCCTTGCACGACGAGAGTGCCCAAGTGGACAGACTCGAGAACAAGAGGAGGATTGGAAAGGTGAACAAGACAAAACCCTCCATTGACGTGATTGCTCCTTCGTCACATGCAGAACGACAACAACATCTTCTTCAACGCAACACGCCGACCTTTAGGAAGCAATGAGTACGGCTGCCGGTCCCGGCGCATCCCAACCCCGTCTCAAGAATGAGGTGATGAATCCAGCGCCGACGTCTCTCTGGAACACAAAAAACCTCGGTCTACGACTCTGCGCAGATGTAGCGTCCGCAGCAACCGCAGCCGCCCTGGTTGCACCCGTCATTACTGCAATCGACAAGGCCATTATTGAAAACGCCTCTGGCAGACAAACATTAGGTCGTTCTCTACGCGATTCTCTTGCAACATTCACACTGCGACCACATCATTTCCTCTTCTCCAAGCCTTTTGCTTTGATCTTTATGCTGTATGGCGGCACCTATATCACGGCAAACGCACTCGACACTTGCGCCAGCACGATAAAAGGCAGACCTGCATCAACCACAACATCAGGCCCGGCAAAGTTCCTCGCAACCTCGTCTGCCAATCTGTCACTCTGTCTGTACAAAGACAGCAGGTTTGCTAAACTGTTTGGCGCCGCTACATCTTCTCCACGCCCTATCCCTGGACCCAGTTATGCGCTGTTTGCTGTCCGCGATTGCTTGACCGTGTTTGCATCGTTCAATGTTCCGCCATTGATTGCGCCGATGCTGCCTCTTTCGGAAAGCATGCAAAAACATGTTTCTGCCGCCTCAGCTGCACAGTTCCTGGCTCCTGCTGCTGTGCAATTGATCTCTACGCCTTTGCATCTGCTCGGTCTGGATTTGTACAATAGAGATGGTACACTCGGAGCCAAGGATAGATGGGCAAGGGTTAGAAGAGACTGGATAAAGAGTTCGTTTGCTAGAATGGCGCGCATTGTGCCAGCATTCGGAGTGGGTGGAGTGGTTAATACGAGGGTAAGGAAGGGGCTTATGCAGAGGTTGGAGTAATGCTACTGGCTTGCTTCTGGTTCTCCTTGGTTTTTTGTTCTTCTTTGCCCTTTCCTTGTCATGAGATCAACGACCGCGCATAATGCTTTCCTTCTTTCTTCTACACCACTGGGTTTGCATTTCACCGCGTTGCTTTCTTTCCTAGACCTGCAAGCATTCTTCTGTATCCTGGGTACGTGGCGTTGGGTATGGTCGCATATTTAGCATAGGCATCGAACAATCAGAGAAATACAAGATGGTTGTCTACGAATGACTCTCTAGAGCTTGGATGCATTCGGTGACAGGTGATGGTCGGCTTCTTCCGCGATGGCGGGGTTTTGAGTGATGATGGAGGATTGAATGCGGCGGAATTTTAGCAAGCAGTCACCACCGGCAACCTGAAGTCAATACATCTCTCAAGACAGCTCGTTCGAGCTCTAAACACTTCATCTAGACTTTCGCCTCTGTACAGACACATTCCAAGACTCCAATTCATTTCACCAATCACACACGTGCGCAACATGGCTACCCTCGACGACAAGTCCAGAGCGCTGCTCCAGAAGGCCTACCCTCAGACCCCCGAGCTTGAGGGTGACATGATCAAGTTGTCCCAGTCGCTTTTCCCCAAGGCTGAGGTGTGTAGCTATTCATAGTGCTAAGAGGCTAGCTCTGACAAACTTCCATCAGTACTCGACCAACGAGAAGACCGAGATTGAGCAATGGCTCATCACTTCCTCCCACATTGCTTCCTCCACCGAGGACGCTGCTAAGACTGCCGAGCGTCTGTCTTCGCTCAACACCCACCTCAGCACCCGCACAACTCTCCTCGGCTCCAAGCCTTCGGTCGCCGATATTGCCCTCTACGCTCGTGTTGCTCCTGTCATTGCTTCCTGGTCAGACGAGCAGCGCACTGGCGAGCAGGGATACCACCACATTGTTCGTCACGCCGACTTCGTTCAGAACTCTCCTCTCTTCGGCTTGAAGGTTGAGGAGTCTGAGAAGGTCAAGATCGACCAGGACAACGTCATTTTCAAGATCAAGCCTATCGACTTGAAGGCGGAGAAGGAGCGCAAGAAGAAGGAGAAGGAGTTGGCTGCTCAGGGTGCTACCAGTGCTGCCAACGCTGGCGCAACTGTCACTTCGGCAGCTGCTCCTCAGGCTCAGCAGAAGTCGGTTGCTGACAAGGCTACCGAGCAGGCTGAGAAGGTCAAGGACCAGGCTAAGGCTGCTGGCGAGAAGGTCGCCGATGCTGTCGGCGCTGAGACTCCTGGCGTGAGCAAGAAGACCGAGAAGAAGGCAAAGAAGGAGAAGGCTCCCAAGCAACCCAAGGCCCCCGCCGCTCCTGAGAAGCCTTTCTCGCCTGCCCTTATCGATCTCCGTATCGGTCACATCCTCAAGGCTATCCGTCACCCCAACGCCGACAGCTTGTACGTTTCCACCATCAACGTTGGTGACGCCCCCGGCACCGACAACACCGAAGAGTACGAGGGTCAGACCTGCCGTACCGTCTGCTCTGGCCTCAACGGTCTCGTTCCCCTCGAGGAGATGCAAGGTCGCAAGATCGTTACCGTCTGCAACCTCAAGCCCGTCACCATGCGCGGCATCAAGTCCTGCGCCATGGTGCTTGCCGCCTCACCACGCGTCAAGGAAGGCGAGGAGGACCACCACGGCGGCCCCGTCGAGCTTGTCAATGTCCCCGAGGGTGCTGTTGCTGGCGACCGCGTCTACTTTGACGGTTACGAGGGCGAGCCCGAGTCCGTCCTCAACCCTAAGAAGAAGATTTGGGAGGCTTTCCAGCCTGGATTCACCACTACCGAGAACCTCGAGGTTGCTTTTGAGGTCTCGGCTGTGCCTCAGCTTGTTGAGAAGGGTGATAGTGGTGTTAGACAGCTCAAGACTAAGTCGGGTGTTTGCACTGTTAAGTCGCTTGCTGGTGCCACTGTCCGATAAATGGTTTAGATGAGCAAAAGAAAAGCTAGATAATCTGGTTACGCTAACAACAAAATAATGATATGCTCCTTGTTTCCTTTCTGTCTACTAAAAAACTGTCACAGTCTCGCGATTGCTCTTTCTCACATACTAAGCTGCGACGACTCTATGAACTACCAAACTGTATCAATTCTTGCCATGAGAGGCTACAGCCAAGGAAACTGCGTCAAAACAGTATCTCTATGCAAAGCATTCGATTCTGGAAAGTACCAATTAAAGTTACAATGATAGGAAGAAAGAACTAGCCCATTGCAGCCAACCCAACTCCAAGCCGGTGATATCTCCAGCTTCAATGGTATAGCCCTTATCTTCCAGCCACACTTTAACCTCTTGATACAATGCCTGTGCATCTCCAAACTCGATGCTTCATGCCCCATGAATCTCAAGCAGCAGTACGCGCAGCCCTCGAGCATCTGAAGCAACACGCATGACCGCTCTGGACCAGGTACATGAGTAGAACACACACAATCAAGGTACCACAACCACCGTTCAGCTCCAAGAGCATTGCTAAGCTTCAGCCACTAGGTCTCGCTTTGATTCGACCGTTGTCGTTCATCGAGCCATGTGGTCAACCGAGGTAACTTTGCTTCGTATACAGCCCATCGTTTCGGTCCAGGAACGAGGGTGACCTCAGGGCATCATTCTCTACACAGTTTCGTCCGTCCACATGATATCAGATGGCCTGACATGCAGGGTTTCTTCGAAAGGCATGTTTTCGCAGCTGTCGATCATGATTGATCTTCTCATTGACTGCGAGATGCGAAACATGACCCTGTCATACCAGTCTTGACCGTCGATGTCCGGTGGGCGAACTGTTCGGCTTTTCGAGGCCGGAATGATGTATCGACAGGCCTCCAAAACAACCAGGCTCCATCTCGAAACAACGAGCATACAACCTGACAATCCAGATCTCGTGTCTACCTTGCTGTCAGCCGAAGATCTCCCCAGATCCAGCTCGTGGATGTCCCGCTACATGGAACAATAGCGTGGAATGGTCTGGGTTATGACTGCTTTTTCGAAGAGCCCTAAGTTCTAACACTGTCTCTACCCAGGATAGTCTCTCATCACTCGTAAAAGTGCGATCGACTGGCAAGCAGTACCGTGTGATCAGGATGGAAATAGGTCGGAAGGAGCCGCCCCTGTTTGAAGTTGCTTGGTGAAACTTGCCAAGGCGAAGCTTGCTCCAACTTCAGTCCGGATTCAGCTGTGACAACAACCAAATTCGATGGTTGCTCTTGCCCAATGCTGCTCGAAAGTCCTTTCGAAAACTATCGCGGCAGTGACCCAATCCATGCGTCGGCCCAGTTCTCCTCGTTGAGGGATCATTAACAAAAGACAGATGATCCGACCAAGCTCTGGCGGCATGAGAAAACCATGTCCTTGAAACTCGCGATCTTGCTGCGAAGATTATCAATCGTCCTGACCGACCGAGAATGGAAGTTCTCAAAATAGACCTTCCCTTATGGCCGACCTGCATTCTGAGTAGGAGGCAATATCGACTGACTGAAATTAATTGATCTACAGCAACAACAGAGTGAGGTTCTGTTCAAGAGCCGTGCGAATGGCGACATCGCATCCAGGATCATGTTACCCCAGCTCCAGTCACGGACCTCTTCCAGTTTCAGCCATCTACAGCTCCACGCTCGTAACACCATCCTGCATAGCGTCGCTTCCAAGGAGTGTTACTGTTTGAAGTCCTCAACCAAGCCTTGGTAGCTCAACCTTGTCACCTCAATCCCAGACTCACAGACCTCGACGAAGAGTCAGTCTCCAAGACGCACTCAAGCCATGAAATGCTATAAGTATCTACTGGTTCTTCGACCATGAACCAACTCATCCAGCATCATCACAGTTCCTTCTTTCCTTCTCTGGTTCAACTGTTCAAGCCGGTCTCGACAGTACACTACTCGTTTGTTCTTCTACACTTATACAACTTCAATCGTTTGAACTCAACATCCCTTTGACAATATGAGATACTCACTTACAACTGCAGCTCTGGCTTTCGCCATCTGCTCTATCGCTGCCCCTGTTGCTAACGGTGGCGACTACGGTTCTCTGTCTGGTACAGGAGCCGCAGGTGCTTCCGGTAACAACTACGGCTCTACTCAGGTTTCTCCCTCTGGCTCGGCTGGAGTTGGAGCAAACATTGGTGGATCTGGATCTGGCTCAGGATCCGCAGACGTTGGCGCATCTGGTGGCGCAGATGCATCTGGTTCGGCAGGCCTTGGTGCCCACGCAGGTGCAGGCGGTGCGGCCGGTCTTGGAGGCCATGCCGGTATTGGCGGTGATGGCCATGCCGGTCTTGGTGCATCTCTGGGTGGCGGTGCCTCAGGCCATGCTGGGGGGCTTGCTGGACTTGGTCTTGGTCACGAGGGAGGTCTGTCTGCTGGTGTCGGAGGTAAAGGATATGGTGGCCTAGGCGCTGGTGTCGGAGGCAGTGCTTCGCCTTCAATTGGAGCTGGCATTGGTGGTGCCGCGGCACCTTCAGTTGGAGCAAGCATCGGAGGAGGAGCCTGGCCATCTATTGGAGCTGGTATTGGAGCAGGCGGTGCGGCAGCCCCATCGATTGGAGCCAGCATTGGAGGAGCAGCCTCGCCATCGATCGGCGCTGGCATTGGTGGCTACGCCTCACCTTCAGGCTCGGCATCTGTTGGCGCTGGTCTGGGTGGTCTCGGATCAGCTGGCTTGGGTGCTGGCCTCGGAGGAGCTGGCGGTCTTTTCGGAGGCCTTGGTGGAAGCGGCCATGGAGGTCTTGGTCTTGGAGGTCACGGTGGTCTTGGAGCAGGTGCTGTTGCTGGTGCTGGCGCTGGAGTAGGAGCAGGTGCAGGTGCTGGCGCTGGAGTAGGTGGAAGCGGTTCTGCTGATGCAAGTGGTTCTGGTGACGTCTCTGGAAGCGCTGGAGGCGATACCGAGGCCGGTGCCTCTGGTTCGACCCCCACCTACGGCAGTGACAGTTCTTCTCCCAGTGAGAGCTCTTCTCCCGACAGCAGTCCGCCTTCAGACACCGAGAGCGGAGCTGCATCTGGTTCCCCTGACGATTCATCGCCCGCTCCTTCTGAGTCCTCGGCTGCTCCTTCTGACTCATCTGCTCCCAGCTATGGCTCGGACAGTTCTTCTGCTCCCGCTGACAGCTCGTCCTCTCCTTCCGACAGCTCTTCCTCTCCTTCTGACAGCTCGTCTTCTCCCTCCGACAGCTCATCCTCCCCCTCAGACACAGAGACAGACGCCGCATCGGCTTCCCCCAGCGATGCATCTTCTGCACCTACCTACGGCGAGAGCAGCTCTGTCGCAGACGCGAGCGGTTCTGCTGCAGCACCCATGTACGGCTCTGGCGACTCGGCTCCTGCTCCCAGCGAGTCTGCAGTAGATGCTACCTCAGCCACTCCTACTGATGCATCTTCTGCACCTGCAACCTCTGCTCCCACTCTTCCTCTGGCCACTGGTGCATCTGGTAGCACTTACAAGTCATACATCAAGCGTCAGTCCTACGACTCAGGTTCCTCATCTGGCGGCCTTGGTGCTCTTACCGGTGGAAGCGGACTTGGTGCACTTGGCAGCGGCCTCGGTGGCCTCAGTGGTGGAAGCGGTCTCGGCAGTCTTCCTTCCCTGGGTGGAAGCTCTGGTGCAGGTCTTGGTGCTTTGACCAGCGGACTCGGTGGACTCGGTGGACTTGCAGGACTCGGTGGATCAGGTACTGGTTCAGCTGGCGCTGCTACTACAGGCACTGCATCCAGCTCTGGTGGTTTGGGTGCTCTTGGTGGTCTCGGTGGTCTTGGAAGTGGACTCGGTGGCCTCGGTGGCGCTTCTTCAGGTAGCGAGTATTCTAAGTAGAAAACGTCAATACACATCGCTGATAGGCGATATAGGTTCTACTGGAAGTTCTGATTCCTCTTCTACTGGCACTGCAACTAGTGGTTTTGGCTCTCTTGGTTCTCTTGCATCTCTCACTGGTGGTGCTGGTGCTGTTCCTAGCAATGATGTTACTGGTAACACTGGATGTAAGAAAGTGACCTTTATCTTTGCTCGCGGGTATGTGAAAAACAATCCTTGAAACTTGACAAAGACCACTGACATTTTCGTCTACAGTACAACCGAGATGGGCACACTCGGCTCCATCGTTGGTCCCGGCCTTGCCTCCGCCCTCATCAAAGACACCGGCTCCTGCGCAATCCAAGGCGTCGACTACCCAGCCGATGCTGCCGGCAACGCCAACATGGGCGCCTCCGGCGGCCCCAAGATGGCTGCTCTAGCAACCCAAGCCCTCAAGCAATGTCCCGACACCAAAATCATTCTTGGAGGTTACTCGCAAGGTGCCATGGTCGTCCACAATGCGCTTTCCTCCATCGACGGCTCTAAGATTGCTGCAGTGACTGCTTTTGGAGACCCATTTAATGGACAAAGCTTTAAAGGTGTTGAGGATGCTAAGGTTGTGAGGTATTGTGGCTCGACGGACTTTGTGTGTGATTTGACTGGTAAGACTCAAGGAAGTGGGTCGCATCTTTCTTATGGATCTAACCTTGCTGAGGCGGCGTCGAGGTTGAGTCAGATTGTTGGTGTTAAGGCTTGATTGATTGGTGATGATCTTGAGAACGTATTCTTGTCTCTTTTCTTCTGAGAAACAAGAGTACTGCTTCAACAATATCTTTTCGGATATTGTATAGTATACGGTATACATACAACAATATTGTCATAGCAATAGGTTTCTCAAAGGACAATGACAGCATGGCCATTATCTTTATCATCATCTTTGTTTTGTTATGAATACGTTCTTAAGAACGATCACTGGGGTGATACTGATCAAGGATTAAGATGTTGCTAGAATTAGTCTTTGTGCACCAGATCTGTCGGATTTTCCTAAAGAAAGGAGTCGTCTTGGTGAAGGTATATTGCTTCTAGCTCACATATAGCCATACCGATAGACCTAGACCTCAACTCATCGAGTGTTGGAATATTTGACTGGTAACGAGCTGAGATAGGTTGCTTGAAGTCACCCAGCAGTCGCAGCGGTCGAAATTCAGCTGCAACACGATCTTGCAACTTGTCTTCAAGCTTTGCGAAAAGTTGTGTTCGCTGTTCCTCTGGAAGAGTGAGTTTTGTGCCATTAGATAGTGTGGCATAAAGGTCCTTGGGCATCTTGATGGTATCGTAAAACGGCATGTTGTCGTCAACATTTCATCCTTCGTCGAGAACCATTTCGACTTCTTCACGATCGGTGGTGTCGGGAGATACTAGTTGGCCCTCGATCAAGATATCTAGCATGTTGCGGTTCAGTTGTGCTACGCGTGAGCGGTAGCGCTCCAACGCGGTGCGAAGGTCAGCATCTATAGCATCAGCAGACATATCGCCGTTCCCACAAGACGATCCTTGAATCAGTGCATAGAATGGACAGTCGAGTTGTTGTCTTGCAGATCAAAACATCAACACCAAAGCTTCGAAGAAACCCCGACTTTCGTTCACGCAACCACCGCAACCGTTGCGCTCAGCAGTGAGCACGAGATCTCAGGAGATTAGCTATGTACTGTTCTTCCAAGCCAAGAACAACATCATTCATGTGATTCTTCCTGCCGTGAAAAGAAGGACCGATAGGGTGAAAGGAGGAGGATCACAGTGGGTCAGCATGTACATCATACGAATTTGCAGACAGGGTTTAGGGTCTTGTACCTCGTGTCGCGGTACGGTACGAAATCTCGGTCGTCGCGGAGAGGTGGAGATGTGGAGTTTCTGCCTGGTCTTGCACATGCTAGCAAGCACGGACGTTTGGGAAAGCGGTGAGATGAGTAGACAGGCATGTGAGGCATGTCGGTATCTACTTTGGATGCCCTGTACACGTGTCGCAATACCGTCGTTGTTGCAAACATGATATTCGCTTAATCAATTGCTAGTGGGAAGTGCAGCAGGAATAGGTAATTGTGCGACCGAATACACGTATGCTGGCCATAGCAGGTTTCGGTACGAGTTCGTCGTATACACCGATGTTTTCCCAAGCAGTCAATCATTCAGACCTGCGATGCCCGAGGTCATTTGCATCCGAGGTTCAGGAAGCCCTACAAACATCGTTCATGCGTACGATTTACGAGTCGCTCGCTGTGCTTTTCGGTCTTGCTCGCGACTCAAGGACGGGCAGAACACCGAAAAGGCTTTGATTGGCCAAGAAGCCTTTTGCAACTAGCTATCACCAATATCCATACCAGGCCTCAAAACACCATCTTTCGTGCCTTTGACCCTTTCATTAGCTTCATAAACAGTATTCTTGCCACCAATCCATAACGCCATTTGCGTCTCACACATCTCAAACACCGCACGTACTGAATATGCCTCTGAGCCTTCTTCTTCCTCTGGTTCCTCTACTAGCAAAAGTGTGCCGTCTTCCAATGACCTCTGATCCAAGATAGCAAATATGCTATCGACGAAACAACTCCCCTCGTTCTCTGCGAGAATTTTTTGGAGCATCGTCCAACACTCGCAGGGGGTTTTTTCTGCAAAAGGTGCAGAGGTAGAGTCTTTGTTGTAGCCTAAGCCATCGTCTTCGTCGTACACGCGTGATAAATCGTCTACAAAGACTAGCATAGTGCCAGTGTTGCCGCCATAGTCATCGCAAAGCTTGAGAATACGGTTTTTGAGCTGTTTTGTTTTGCGTGTTGGTTAGAAATCTGATTGAAAGTCCTTTGAAGGTAGTATGTACCTCGGCGGTAGGGGCAATGGCACAGCAAATTGCGAACATGGTCTTGAGATTACGATGCTGACTGACTTGCGGTAATGGATTCAAGATACGATGATGATGCCATAGAAGAGTGTGTTGTGCTCGTACTGAATTAACGGCCGTAGGCACTCGTATCCTTAGCCAGCCACCACGAACCTTCAACGTCAGAAACGAAATCCAGACAACAAGAATAACCATAATCACTTCAGAATAGGGAGCAAGCAAAGAGTGATGTCAACAAAAATAGAAATTCTATGCGTGGTATCATCTATGGAGACTTTATGTCTCTCTGAACTGTAAACAAAAAAAGCAAAAAGTGGTATCTCTATAGTGTTTGCGCAAACCCCCAGGAAGAAGCGGCCAGGCTTCTTCGTTTATGTATAGCGCATCTAGTGGTCGTGAAAAACACACAAGGGTCATTAAATAATAAAGAGGTAAGAAGGAGAGTCGTGGATCGAGTCTCATTCCCTAAGCCATCTGAGCGCCGCCGTTGTAGGCGAGCTCATCTTCCTTCTCGCCGAAGCGGGCCTCCTTGACTTGACCTGCCTCGTCGTCAGAGGACTGGAAGCCGTACTCGCGAGCCTTAGCGTCAATTTCGTCGGGATTCATGCGAGGAAGCTCCTTAGCGGCGGTAACGTAATTCATCTTCTCAAGGTAGCCCTTCGCAAAGATCAAATCAATCTCTTCAAGTGAGCGGCCCGACGTTTCAGGGTACAGCCAGTAGATGACAGGGAAGAAGAGAGCGTTCAAAGCAGCGAAGAAGAGGTAAGTACCCCATGAGATTTGGGAAATGAGCACAGGAGTGATCATTACGATAAAGAAGTTCCACAACCAGTTGTTGACGGTAGAGAAAGCGTTGGCCTTGGCACGAGTCTTGAGAGGGTTGATCTCAGCAGGGTAGAGCCAGGGCAGAGGAAGCCATGTGGCACCGAAGAAGGCAATGTAGGTGAAGAGACCGACGGCGGCACCTCTGGCGTCCATAGGGTTGTCGGGAATAAGACAGGCGAAGACAAGGACCATAGACAAGCACTGGCCGACAGTACCGTAAAGGAAAAGCTTGCGACGTCCAACGCGCTCGACGAGGAACATGGAAGTGGTTGCGAAGGCGGCGTAGACGATCATGTTGACACCACCGAGCAAATTCGACAAATTCTTGGAGGTGCCGATTGAGGTGCGGAACAGAACAGGGAAGTAATAGATGACAGCGTTGCAACCAGACAGTTGCTGCATGAACTGAGAGCTGGCACCGAGCAGCATACGACGGAAGTGCTGAGTCTTGCCACCAGTGAGTAGAACCTTCGAACCGACCTTCTCGCCGAAACCACCAGCAGCCTTGATGGAGTCGAGAAGGATACCTGCCTCGAGCTTGACCTCGGGATCATCTGCGGGTTTGGCGTTGAGAGCTGCTAGAATGACTGTAGCTTCGTCTTGACGATCGTGCGCAAGAAGCCATCTGGGCGACTCGGGCAATCTTGTCATGAGGATAACGACGATGAGGGCAAAGACGATCTGGAAGGCGATAGGGAAGCGCCAGGTCAAGTTGGCAGGGCCGTAGCTGCAACCGTAATCAATCCAGTAAGCAATGAGCGTGCCGACAGCGACGTTGCCACCCTCAATACAGATGACTTTGCCTCTGTTGTGGGCTTTTGAACACTCGGCTTGGTACGTAGGAATCGTCGAGGTGTTAACACCGTTTCCAAGCTGAATATAAAGTCAGCACGAGATCCAACGAAATGTCTTGACAATGAACTTACACCTGTGATGAAACGTCCAATGATAAATTGTGCTGTACTTCCTTTACTGGTGCCAACGCAGGTGATCTGGATGATGACACCAATGATCATGGTGATACCGCCGATAAAGATAGCCTTGCGACGTCCCAGCTTGTCGCCGAACTTGAGAATGAAGATAGCACCGAACAGACAGCCGACAGCGTAGATGGAGACGATGAAGCCTTGCCAGGCATCACTGTAACCAGCTTGAGGGAACATTGCGAGGAAAGGATCACCCTCAATGATACCAGACATGACACCCTGGTCATAACCGAAGAGAAGGAAATCGGTAGTGGCGACAGTAGTGATGAGCATCTGAAGGGCTCTGCCAGAGCGTCCCCAGTATGTGGGAATACCCTCGCTGTTTGTCGAAACAGTACGAGTCATCTTTCCGGTATTGTCTAGCAGTACAGGAAAATGGATCGTCCGTGAAGAGATCCGAGAAGAAGAGCAGATGCTTGCGGAGTTGTGGAGGGTCTGCCTCTGGGGAGGGACCCATTTATATATCTACAACTACGACAGGGAAAACTCAAGCATCCAAACGCAACATCAATGACGGGCAAAACAGCCGTTGCGGAGAGAATGTGGATGGTGGGTCAACAAGGGCCCACAATCAATTTTCACGACCAGTCCGCCGAGATGTTGAATCCACCATGAAACATGTCGGGTAAGGATCTTCGAGGGAATAAGACGTCGTTGAGTGAGAGGCTTCCCGAGCAAGATTCGCAAGCCCTGGGTTGGTGCTTGGCGATGAGCACATGGCGTTTTTCTAACGACTTGGCACGACACAACAATAGCCAAAATGGATCTCGCCGGTGGCTAACGAACGCAGAGTCTGTGTGTTGAAACGATTTTTTCTCTCAGGGTTCGGCGAAAAATTCGTAAAGGGCAACTTTGAGCTGCTTGGAAGAGAATTTATCGGAGAATGATGTCACATACCGCTCTTTATACCGAAAATAAGCTCCTGTCGATGGCGGGTGAAAGCTTTGGTGGCGCCCACGCTTGAGTCAAGCATAATTGGTCGAATGGCGTGGGTGGCGTGTCTTTGGTTTCAAGGATAGATTTGAGGCTCGCTTTGGGGCCAAGCGCCTCTCATCTGTTAGTCAAACTCCGTGGAAGAAATCTCAATACGATTCAGCTTCGGGAAGACATGCTGTTGTCGGTGTGCACTCGGCCGAGGACTACGTCGATGTAACGGATTGGCAATTTCTTCGATTACGGTTATTGTTACTGGTGGGATATCCTTCCGAGGACGAAAAAAATTGGAGCTCAAGGCTGTGTTGAATTGCACGATAACGCCCCAAACCAGGATGAAGGATTGATGTACGCGAGCGGTACTACCATGCCTTGCTGATCGGCAAGAAACTTGCAAACGCAAATGGCAAAGCCCGACTGATCGTCTAGCATATGCATTTTGCGCATCTGAGGGAGCACATGGGAATAGCGCAGAGCATGCGGAGTATCAGGACTTTTCAACCTGTCACGAAACAGTTACCCCTGATGAGCCATCCGTGCTGCAAGAGATCATCGCGCATGGCAGGTTCTGTTATGTTTCGAGAAAGTGTAAACTCGGAATTCTGCTTGTTGCTCGTGCTGATAATGATCGGCAAACGTCGGTTGTTGAACCGCGCTTGCAAACAGTGTGAGCGTAAGTGGTTCGATATGCCTTCGCTTGGGCGTAGTCGCAACCCTACTCATGTTGTGTGTTTTGCATCCACATATCGTTGTCGGTGTCGGGGCATAATTTCGGAAGAAAGTGATGCCATGAAACTGCCTAGAGAATAATGGAGACACTGCCAAGTTGACAAGAGTCAAGAGCAGGCTCTGTCGCATGGTACGGTGAGCCTCGAAATAAGCGGTATGTAGCAAGGTAGCTGGCAGAGGCACATGTCCGAGTCTGCCGAGAACAACATCCGAGGATGTTACACAGCTCGCCGGCGCGATGAGGTGGTGTAGGATCTCCTGCGGAGCCCCCGGGTCCCCCGCCCCCCACGACTCCACATCGACCGGCACAGTGACCCGATTGAGGGAGCGAAGCACCATCAACCTTGCGCATGACCTCCAACCGGGGACGGGTGAATCGGTGTGTCTTCGGTGAGAACTCCAGCATATGCACCCCTCTTGCTCTTCGTGTCTTGGATGTGCAGCGGTGATATGGGACTGTTAGCGAGGAATGATCGGGATACGACGGGACGACCTCCGCGGCGTGTTGTAAGATGGGCAGGTTAAATGTGCATTTTAGCCGTACTTTCGAGCTTGTCGAGACGTCACCAAGTACAGCAAAATGTTTCTCGAAATATGGCACCAGCAGCTCCTGAAGAGCAAGTCGATTTGAGGAGAGATATGTCACTTTGAGAGCCTCATGCCTGGGGTATGAGATTTGCTGTTGATCTATATCGCCATTCATGAACCATTGCACGTGCGGGACATTGCCGGTGCCCTGGTGTCTGGTCGTCGATCCCTTGTCAGAACAAAGCAGTGGAATGTGCTTTGATAGAGGTGGCCGATCAGTAAGTGCAATTGTCGATGATCGAAGCAAGGACGATGTTCAGAGATGCAGCGTGCCAATCGAACCAGAGAGGGTATGGCTTGAGTACCGACATGGCGTTTGGCATGTGGAGTTGACACGATCTGTTGTCTGAACTGCTCATCGACAGAGCAAGCTGCGTCTTTAGTGACCAATTTGTCTCTGTTTGAGCATGGCTCAATTGACAGTCGTGCTGGCTGAGGTATTGGTTGAACATGTGCAGGTATAGTATACAAGGAAAAAGGAAACTCGGGCAAATGTTGTGACCTACAACTCAGACATTGTGGCATGTTTCGAGAGCTCACCTTGAATAATTTTTTATGGTGTTTGAGCATCTGGATATGGTTTTCATAGCCATCGAAGAGAGCCGAGTGTACCAGTTATCCGGGGCAAATTCACAAAGTGGTCGAATACGAGATAAGATTCGTGGCACATCACTTGTACCCGCAGGGCAGGCTCTCAGGCTTCCAAGAACATTCAGGTCACTAGGAATCTCATCATGATGTGATGGAAAAGAGAGAGGACGTTGAAAGAAGGTATGGAGGCGTGAGGAGAAGCAGCCGGCAGCCGAAAGGACAGGCTCGTGCTCAGCGGTCGCGCCTGCCCCGCCATGACGAGTTTCAGCGGACGTGGGCTGTAGCTGTCTGGACTGTTGACCGTAGACTCTGTCGCGTGCAATTCCCAACATCAAGCTGAAGCAATACGGACTTTCGAATTTGTGGGAGGAAAAAGTTCAATCGTGGTCAGAAGGATATGGCAGGACTGCCTGATCAGGTGCTGCAATGGCTATACAGCGTTCTCCTCAATGTAAAACGACGTCTTCTGCGTGTCTCAACATCAAGGTCCCTAACGACAAGAGTAGGAATACCGCGACGCACAACGCGCCTACAGCGACAGTGTCGCAGCTCTTTCAGCATATCCCTCTCTTTCGCCGCGAACCGATGTATACACATATAACAATGGACAGCCCGCGCTGCTGTTGCGCCTGTCAGGCACCCTCCCCGTCAACTTTCGTGGCACAGTCTACAGGTTCCCCATAACCATATGGCTACCGCATACATATCCTGTGGATCCTGAGGGTATCATGGTGTTTGTAATACCGGGCGAGGGTATGGCTATACGTCCTGGACAGCACGTCAGCGTCGATGGACGAGTTTACCACCCCTATCTGCGCGATTGGTCGATAAATCAGCGCCCGAATATCGTCGACTTCTTGCGCCTCCTTCAGGATGTCTTTGCTCGAGAGCCACCTGTCGTCGCTAAGCCTGCGCAACCTCAGCAGCACGCCCAGTCCCCCATGCAACGACCCCCTCCGCCGCCGAAAGAGCAACCTCGACAACCACAATCTCATCCTGTAGAAATGCCCGCTGGTGCTCCTCCACCGAGACCCCCGAAGCCTGGAGAGCAAGGTCACGCTGCCACACCGGTCCAAAATCGTAACGATGGCCCTCCCTTGCCGCCTCTACCACATGAGCGAGCTCAACAGTCACCACAACTACGACAAGGAAATGGTTTTGATACTTCCCAACCTAGTCGCTATTCCAGAGCTCCACCATTACCACATCAGATCCAACCAGACTACAGGCAGACTCCGGCTTCCCCTAGAACTTCTAGTGCACATACACCTAGTCAAAGATATGCACAGCCGCCGCCATTACCACCACCCCAGCAGAATCAACAACACCAGATACCCCTACGTCCAGCGCGGCAGCAGTATCCTCAGCAGTACCAACAACCACCGCATCAGCACTTCCAGCAGATGCCTCCAAATATGTCTGCTCAACAATATCCCTCACAGCATGCCTCTTACCAACAACCTGCGCCTGCAAAACCTGCTCCTGTTCAAGATCTTCTCAGCGACCCCTTTGACGTCAGTATAGCAACAACGAATCCCTCAGGTCCAGCCCCTCCAATCCCGCCAAATCCAGAGAAAGAGCATCTCCTACAACTCTTATCCCAATCTCTGGTCTCTCAGATTCACCAGAAAGTGAACCAAAACACGTCCGCTTTGGCACCCTTGCGTGCCCAGTCCAATGCGCTCCAGGAAGCACATTCACGTCTCAATGCCGAAATCTCCCAATTGACTGCATTGGACAACACACTCACATCCAACGAACGCATCCTCCATCAAGCACTTTCCGATTGCGATCGCGTCATTGCCGACAGCAAGTCTACTCCCCAGCCGCCCATTGACGATGTTCTTGTGGCGCCCACTGTCGCCTCAACCCAGCTCTGGAATCTACAAGCGGATGAAGCAGCCATTCGAGAAGCTCTATGGTGTCTGCAACGTGCTGTGGGCGCTGGTAGAGTTGGCTCGGAAGTGTTCATCAAGATGACCAGAAGTCTGGCTAGAGAATTGTTTTTGAAGATGGCGCTGAGTAAGAAGCTCGCCAAGGGGCTAGGCCTGGACGTGGGAGGTAGTACAGCCGGTCAATTTGCAGGCGAGGATGGATACGGGTATTGAAGGAAGCTGGAGCATATGATGAATTGGCCACATTGCTCGAAGTCCATCCTTTGTCAGAGAATAAATGATAAATCATCTCTCAGATATTTCGCTCTTCTAATACGATATCAATGTCACCAAAGACAAGCTTGCTGTCGCCTAAATTCTGCTCATTCTACTTCGACGCAGAGTAGATACTAGCATGTCTGCAGCGAACGTTTCAAAAAAAGCTGAGCAAATTGCAACAAATCGCTATTGCACCTGCCACACCACTTCCTCAAGACAAAGACATACTCGAGGATACTTCCAAGATACTCAAAAATCGATAACGCAATTCAAGAAGACATGGGACTTGTTGGTCATCATGTTATCGTTGGATATAAGTAGAGAATGGTTGTCGAGGGTAAGACCCTGACTTTGTCTCGATGACGGGCGTCTCAAGAACTTTGATACATCACTCTCTCTTTTCTTACTGCAATCCAGCGCCATGTAGTAAAAGTGTTTATTCGAAACTTACCATTTACTTCCCAAATAATCCAAAGATGGACTGCAAGACATGAACGAGTACCTTTAAGAAAGAGGCAAGTCTAGGCGAATCGCATACCTCCACAACTCGAAGCTCTCTCCATCTTTTGCAGGGTCGCGTTGCGACACGAGCGAGTCTCAGAAAAACAACACCACCCAACAACGCGTCTCACATCCACAACTACATCATCCTCGCGCGCACAAAAGGCCTTCGCAGCGATAACATCCCAGCGACCTTCATCCCGCAAACCAAATCTCATGGCAACACCACAATTCCCCACTCGGCCATTTCCAGGTCTCGGTCGCGCATCCACAGTAGGAAACCAACAACAACAACAAAACCAACAAGCACCCCAAACTGCAAATACATACAACGCACCAAACTACGGCGGACCTTCGAACACGTATAATACCGGAGGAGGAGCAGGCCAACGCGACGCGCTAGCGCGACAAGAGCGCGAAAGAGCAGAAAGAGAACGACGAGAAGCAGAAGAGCGTGCAGCAGGAGCTCTAGACGCATTATCTGAAGAACAAAGGGAAGAGATAAACGAAGCTGTGCGTAGCTCCCACTCCCCTCCCTTCCTTAGTTTCTCTATTTGATTGACAACAGTTGCTAACGCAAGACACAGTTCTCCCTCTTCGACCTCGACAAAGACAACCACATCGACTACCACGAACTCAAAGTCGCGCTAAAGGCTCTAGGTTTCGACCTTCCAAAATCAGAAATCTTGACGCTACTCCAAACCCACGGGATTCCTGCCTCTTCTACCTCTGCCCACCCTGCGCCTGCCACAACCAAACCCACCTTTTCAGGTCCTTCAAGACTGGTCCTTCCTCATTCCGCATTTGTCGCTATTGCCGCTTCCAGGATCTTGGCTCGCGACCCTAGGGATGAGATTTTAAGGGCGTTTGAACTTTTTGATGCAGAGGGAAAGGGAAACATCAATTTGGCGGATTTGAGAAGGGTGGCTAGGGAGTTGGGAGAAGGATTGCAGGAGGAAGAGTTGGTGGCTATGATTGAAGAGTTTGATCTTGATGGTGATGGTGCCATTAGTAGGGATGAGTTTGTGGGGATTTGCTTGGGATGATTTCCTTGCATAGCTATTTGCAGAAAGTGGGCAGGAGCTTTTGCATGCGTTCTTGGGATTGGAGTTTGAACGATTGGACATGGATGTTTTCTTTTCTTTTGGGCAGCGTTGGCGTCTTGTCTGGCGTGGTCTTGTTTCTCTTGCACGCAGCTTTTTTGTTCTCGATTCACGAAAGCGGTTTGCATTGTTTCTTGTGCTTTTCATAGAGAGGATGGTTTAAATTGACAACCGAGATTCTCAGTCAGGTCTCATGATCTCACGCTGCAATCGAAGCAAAAAGATGCTTGTTATTATTTCGTGCGCATTCTTCATCAACAAGTGTCCATCTACTTTTCCTTCTCGGCAAGCACAAAGCGACGTTCCACTTCCATGACCTTCATCTCATCGCCCTCGAAGCTCAGACGAACATAATCGCCACGGTCGAGAGAGATATCTTTGGCTCGCCAATTCGCACTGACTTCTGCTTTGTAGAATGTAGTCGTGTCCTATGTTTGAGGACCCGAGTCAGCAGTCGCTCTTTGGGGTCTGGTTTTCTCGCAATGATATGAAATGATGGATAGGTAGAAAATGGGTGTGGTCAGACTTACAGGATATTGAGCCAAAACATGACGACCCTTGTTCAAATCGGCAAGGCCTTTGTTCTCAGTGGGAATGGGCATGAGGTGAGCGACAGAAGCTCGGTAAGGTGGTGGTAGTTCACCGCCGGGCACTGGATCGGGATCTGCATCTTGGATCTCGTAGCGGCGTTGTTTGCCTTCTCCAATGACGTTTGTGACGCGGCAGAGGATGCCTTCGCCTTCTTGTGTGCGGCCTTTGTTGCGGTAGAAGACGTGGGCACCGAGGGAGAGTTGTAGTCTGCTGGATCTTGGTTCGTTTGCTGTATTTTGTCAGCCCCCAAGGCATGTTTGAAGGAATGAAAGAGACGGAAACATACCTTCAACGCTGGATGCCACGCTCTCAGCTCCGTCTTCCAGCTTCACACTGACTTCCCTAGTGCTGGTGACACTCCTCTCTCTATTCCTCTCTCTACTCTTTCCCTCCACAGCCAATCTATCATTCGTCCCCTGTCTACCACCCGGTCTAGGACTACTCGTCCCACTCGCCTCATCGTCAATATCCATACTCCCCGCCTTCCTTTTTAGGTTTGCATTCCTACCTTTGGAACTGCTATGTGATCGCGACATATGCAATGACTCCTCAGAAGCTTCGCGCAATCCAGCGAGGATTTTTATGCTGTCGAGGAGACTCATTTCATCGGATTTTCCGTCAATGATGTGGCTGACGTCTTCGCTGATTTTGACGTTTTCGCGGTAGAGGGATTCTAGACGGTCGTCGAGGGTCATGTCGGTGAGTTCTCCTGCTTCTGTTTGGCGGAAGATTTTAGGGTTAGTGGTTTATTCTTTTAATCTCGGATCATGTTTGGCCTTCTCGACGTGTATTTTCTGATGACGAGTGTATGTGACACTTCCCAATGCCGAGACTTGGTGACATGTTGAAGTAATGGGTACTTACCTAATAGAGCAGCCTGTTCCTTTTCCACATCTATAATCTCTTGCCCAATGGCCGCCGACCGCGCCTAAAACCACGATACGATCAGTGATTGTCCTATAATGATCATTCTTGAAACTCGGGACTCCTTGCTCAGGTCGTGTTTGTTCGTCTTTTGCTTAGGATTGACTCGGAAAGCATGAAGACGCGAAGAACAGAGATGGGGAAGAAAAAGAAATACACATACCACCATACTATCAATCTTCTTCGCTCCCTCTCTAATTGAATTCCACAACCTGCGCTCTTCGTCTGCATCTTGATTCAAACTGGCTCTAGGCTGGCGGTTTCGTGATGACATTTTGTGCGTGATATGACTTCCCTCGACGGCAATGACGTGTTCTCCAAGACAATTGATCAAAAGAAGAGATAGCAGTTACGAACAAATCAAAAGTTTGAATGGTTGTTACAAGTGTGGTCAAGGGTAAAGCGGGATATTCCTGGGGAAAGTAGATCAATAGGAAGGCACAGGGTTCGCGTTTCGGGAGTGTCGTCGAGGTTGGCCAATCAAAGGCCGTTTGTGGAGGCTTAGTCACATGTGATCAACGGTATTGAGTGACGACGATGAAGACTGCGATATCTTCACCTTTCACTTTAGACACATGTTTTTCGCTCAAGCGGTCAAAGTACTCTTGTTCGTAATGAAGGGAGAAAGTCGTGAGCTCTACGCAACAGATGATCGAAATCAGCCCAGAGTGTGATGACACACGCACCACCACACTGAGCATGTCCATACAATTCATATGCTAAGACCCATGCCGGGGCCACTACCATAGTTTCCCAAGCGACAATTCTCCAATTGACCAAGACACCCAATGATCGAGGGTCTGTCATGCTCATAACTCGAAACAATGAAAACTGTTCGCAGACCCAAAAGCATTCCTCGCGACAACAAAGAAAAGGTTGGCCGCTCTGGGTCGAAGCATCAAGTATAACAAACACGTCTTTTTTCCTATTCTTTTTGACCCGTTCTTTCCTCTACTTCTGATTACTCGCTGCTGTAACACTCCTTTACGCGTTCCTCATTTGCTCGACACAAATCGCACTTTTCTTAGGAATCGAGATATCCTCCTGCGCCATCAAGACCAGAACAGAAGAAAGGTCAACAAAAATGCATCTTACGACTCCTCTCCTCCTCACCATCTTCGCCTCTCTAACCTATGCGCAAGACCAATCCCTACCAACAACCACCATTCCTTCAGACCCCAACAACCCCATCTCAGCAGCTCTGTCCGACTACTCCTCCGCAACATCCCTAATCGCCTCTCTATTCTCTTCCGCTACAGAACCCATAGAGAGTATCTACTCAGAAGCAACCTCCGCCGTCGCCTCTGTATTCGCAGACGCTACTAGTGGTGTCAGTAGTTTAGTTTCTGCAGTTGGGAGCCAGGGGAGTAGTGTGTGGAGTGAGATCACAGCGACAAACACGCAAGAACCAACAGTGCTAGCAACAAACGCACAGGGAGAGACGAAAACGGTCACCGTGTCGAAGAGTGAGCAGACCGAGACCGCGACATCTGGACCCGCTGCATCGACGAGCGAGTCAGAGGCAAAGGAGACAAAGAACAAGAGAAGAGCTGATGGGTTCTTGTTTGCTGCTGTATTCGCCGCTGTCGCGTACTTGTAGAGAAGAGATTGATATTGTCTATTGGGCGGATGGGACGCGAGTGCTTCAGATCACCAAGGCATAGATTGAGTGGTTGACAAGGATAGAATTCGACCCAAAGAGTAACTGGCAAGAAAACAGACTTGATTTCATTTATCGTCAAAACTGCTTCTCGTCGTCTTGCATATTGGCTTTAGTTGCAGGAACACCGCCTTCTCTCCTAGCTCTTTAGACAGTAAAATTACAAAATCAATGTTATGCAGAAAAAAAAGAACAGAACAAGCGAATCAGGGGTATGAAAGACTCTCTCCATGCAAGCAGAGAAAAGAGAAGAGTTGAGGTCACTGAGCAAAACTTCGTAACCAAAAACAAGCAAAAGAAACCACCCAAACTTGCTAGTTCAGAAGAAGTAGAAAAGAAAAAGAGTATTCAAGAAGAATCGAAATGTCGAGGGGAGCACAGCAGAAAGCAACTACGGCCTGGGTTATTCCTTTCGCTGTCTGGTGTTTGTTCTGATGTTTGTGAGTCTGCTCAGACTAACATCTGGCGACTTGCTTCTTCCTCCTCTTTTGCCGTTGAACTGACGAGGCGGAGTATTATGGCCGAGAAGGGGTAGTAGAGATATTTGGTTGATAATTGGGGTATTCGCGCGTATTGGGGTATCAAGTTGGAGAATCGGGGATGTGCATGTCTGGCACAGGGGTTGGCTGGGTCGACAAGCGGATGCTGTAAGGATGTGGATGCCGTGGTAGGCTCTTCTCACGAGTGGCTTATTTGGCGGGCACCTTGATGTGACTGCTCAGCCAGGCAAGACCCTCGAAAATGCCTTCGCCAGTGGTTGCGCAACTAGGCTCGACCTTCCAGATGTGGTTCTTTGCGATAACGTTGAGGTTGAGAGCGTCCGAAACGTCCTTTGGTCGCATGCCTGTGTGGAGAGGAACTGTCAGTATGCGATTCTCATAGGAGTGACTATGTTGTGCGCCTCTTACATCCGCCGACATCTTGCTTGTTGGCAAAGACCAACAGGAGGGCGTCCTTCATTTCACGGTCTTGAATGATGCGGGTCAATTCAGTGCGAGCCTCGTCCATACGATCGCGATCGTTCGAGTCAACAACGAAGATAAGACCCTGGGTACCAGAGAAGTAGTGTCGCCAAAGAGGACGAATCTTGTCCTGACCACCGACATCCCAGACATTGAATTTGGTGTTCTTGTATGTGACGGTCTCGACGTTGAAGCCAACGGTAGGGATTGTTGTCACATCCTGATCCAGCTTGAGTTTGTAGAGAATGGCTGTTTGGGCACATCGGGTCAGCACATTGCGCATTGGCGGACACAGTCGCACGACTACTCACTCGTCTTGCCAGCAGCATCAAGACCCAGCATCAGCAAACGCATTTCCTTGCTGCCAAAGATCTTGGCCATCATCTTGGATATTGAGCCGCCCATGGTGGATAATGTGTCGGGACGTCGAGTTGAGGTATTGGCTATTAGGTCGCACGAAGAGTCGCTACAAGTGGGTAGCCGGTAGACAGGGTGGATCGAAGGAGAGAGACGGTGATGTGTTTGGGCAGAGGTGAATTTTTGGCAATGGGACTGGAGCCGTTATGTCGGTTTCAGAGATCAACGGTAGCGTGCTGAAACGGCGTCGTTGTTGCTTTTCCCTGTTCTGGGCGTTGGTGCTCGTGCGACGAACCTTTTGGAAAGAGGGAAACTTCAAAGTCAACAAGAGGAAAAAGCACAGCAGCTTCAGCAAGGGTGTATCTTTGCAATGACTCGCTCTCTGGTACGGCAAAAGAAAAGAGAGGTTGCACCAAGCCCCTTTCTCCCCCTGCTGCACTTCTTTGAACGAGATGGGCGGGCTTGCAATCTCCGCCAGAGAGAGACTTGGGTCGAGCACGGCTCACAAAGAGACCCTGCATCAACTCTGCCTCGACAAACACAACCCTCCTCTCCGCGTGTTTCAGCTCTGTACTCAACTACCGTACTCGTACGAGTGCTGTCACGTTTCCGAGTTTCGTGGTATATTCACCTGTGATTTGCTATTGGTGCCTCTATACAAAAAGTCTATTGTATCTATACAAGATTGCCAGTCCGCAGTGGGTCTCTGACTCTGAGCCTCCAAACGTACCATTGTTTGCTGTCCTCTTAAAACCCACTTTGCCCTTAATACTCCGAGGATCGACTGCTCTTCCGCTTCGGAGTGTCCGACTCGAAATCAAAGCATCCTCATGACGCCTTCAAATGCGACCAACGCCATTGCATTTGCCGGGAATGCTCTCAAGAAGCACGGCACAAAGCCCCTCCAGTAACCCCGCCATCCACTTTCTCTTCCCACAGCTCGAGCAGCATCTCGCCAGCGAGGGAACTTTCGACTCGCCAAATCGTCAGTCATGATGCGTTGCTTGATGACGTCCGAAGGATAACTCGTCAGCCAAAAGATCTGCGCCGACAGTCCTCCCGCCCAGAAGTTGATGGCTGGTGCCGACATTGCAGTGTTCTTCTTGAACCATCTTGTAAACATATCATAGGAACCCCACCAGAAGAAAAAGAAGGTACGGAATATCAGCGTCGCTCCGAGACCATGATACAACCCTCGTAATCCATGTTGGCGGAAGATTTGGCGTGAACAATCTATGGGTCCAGAGTATAGACGTTTCGACTTGTCGGCTGAATACTGTACCTGCAAACGCGCTTTCACATGTTCAACAGGCGCAGCAATGAACGAGACAGTGCTTCCGGCCATGATTCCTGCAATGGCATGTCCTATCGTTGGTAGCGTCTGGTCTGAAGGCATAGCGTATACACCGGCTGCACTTCTAGTCTCTCGCATAGGCTGAAAGACACGCTCGTTGAGCAGTTTCCGGTAGAAGGTCAAGCTGCCCAGCATCAAACTATCCATGAACATCCATCCTACCAGCGGAGGAGTGGCTCCTTTGTATAATCCTTGTGGTCCTTCTTTTCTGATGGTTTGCATCAAGCAGTCCAGCGGTCCATTGAATTGAGACTTTTGCGACGTCTGTAGTCTGACTTTGATCGTGTCGAAGGGGTGTCCGACTGCGTGATTGGTTAATTGGTGTGCGCTGGTATTGTGCTGTTCTTGAGAATACCTGTCAGTTTGGCAATGCCGCTGAAGACGCCGGCGACGAAGCCTTTGTAGTTTCCAGCAGGCTGAGCTTTCTTGGGCAGCTCAGTCTGGCCATCATGGTGACTCCGAGGCAAGGAGGCCGGGTCTGTTGTGGTCGCTGCGGACATTGTACTGGCGGAGAGAAGAACGTTCAGGTTGTTACTGAACTCGCAGTCATGCCGATGGCAGGATCAAACTGCTTGGGCTACCTGTTGACAATGGCTGAATTCCACAAGACGATGCGACGCAGACGGGTCGATAATTTGGACTCGCTGACCCGGACTTTGTGCGGACTTTGTAGACATGACGTGCAAGAAGCTTGTTCGACTTTCAACCTGCATCGATCGGCGTGGAGACCTTCATGTTTACCATGTCTTCAGCTCGAGGACTTGACCTGTAGTATGTATCTTGCAACAAGAAAGTAAACGACATAGTATAAAACACAAAAGCACTCGAATAAGAAGGAAAAGATATATATGAAGCTCTTTTGCAAGCAGAACATGCAAGTTCAGAGAATTGAAGCATAACCGGCTCTGATGAGATAAGATCCAGCTTGAATCATCGGTCTCTCAAACATCATCACCAATACATGGAAAATGCTGGTTCGGCCGCGTGTCCCTCAATGACTGACTGAGAGTGTTCTTCCTTGTGCAACGGTATAGAGAGATGTTAGATGGACCAAAGAAGGATCAAGAAGGATCGGAGTCAAGGCAGGGACGGATCAGGGTCTGTGCCTTCCATTTCCAGATGGGGCCAGGCGTGCTCGATCGCGACGCCAACTCTAAAGCCAGCACGTTGTTCGATTGAGTAATCATGTAGTCTCAACATTTCTTTGGACAATTGCTCTTTGTCCTCTTGATTGCACTTTCTTCTTGATCAAATACACAACAATGGCAGAGGGCGCAGCATCAGAAAGAGTGGTCGATTCGGCCAAGGTGTGGACAACACTAATCACAAACACCGACTATCTCTCGGGCTTGTTGACTCTCGACTACTCGCTCAAGGCCGCCGGCAGCAAGTACCCTCTCGTCGCCCTCTACACCGACACGTTCCCTGCCGAAGGTCATGCTGCTCTTAAAGCTCGCGGCATTCCGTCCAAGCGCATTCCCTACCTGCTGCCTTCCTTGTCCAAGGACTACAGCAACGACCCTCGCTTCTACGACTGCTGGAGCAAGCTTACTCCTTTCGGTCTTGTCGAATATGAACGCGTCGTCCAGCTTGACAGCGACATGCTCATCCTCAAGAACATGGACGAATTGATGGACATACCTCTTGATGGCCCAGAGCTCGCCGGACGTGGTAACCGTGTCTTTGCTGCAAGTCACGCTTGTGTCTGCAATCCTTTAAAGAAGCCGCATTATCCCAAGGACTGGATCCCTGCCAACTGCGCATTTACCACTCAACACGACAACCCCGAAGACGCACAACATACTGGCGCTTCTCCACTCGCAGGTCTTGCCATGCCCAACGGAGGCCTGCAAGTCGTCGTCCCGAGCAAGGAAGTTTACGACCTGATCACAGAAGGTCTCAAATCATCAGTTACCGCATCCTACGAGTTTGCCGATCAGTCAATGCTCAGTGACCTCTTTCCTGGCCGATGGGTCGCTCTTCCCTACATCTACAACGCTCTCAAGACCTTGCGCTGGAAGGGTGTGCACGATGCCATCTGGAGAGATGATCAAGTCAAGAACGCTCATATCCTGCTTAGTCCCAAGCCTTGGGATGAGAAGGGTGACGACAAGGGAAAGAATGATGAAACACACAAGTGGTGGTGGAACTACAACGATCGCCGCCAGGCAGATGAGAAGAGCAGGAACATTGACGATGGCTTCTAAGCGCGTTGTCAAAACGATATATATGCCGACAGTCGATGTTGGACGATTTTTGATACCCAACTCTTGATGATCAACGTATAATATATTCTGGAAGAGTCACAGTCATGTGTCGCCATACTCATATATTGGAATTGGAAGAGGACGAGAGGGCTACAGATGCTGGCTGCTTCAATTCATTCGGTTCGCCAAGATCTGCTGACTACCTATCAAAACTCCCTCATGCTACCTCTCACCTCCCACAACAACCCACTCTCTCCTACCCTTTATATACGAGAATTTCCTGGCCTCATTAACAAGCCAAGAAAGCCGTGGTGGTGCAGTGGTCAGCACACCTGATCTGGTATTCTAAGTCCCTAAAACCGCCTACCTAAATCCCCAAACTCGCCTACCTAAGTTCCTAACACTCTCTCTCAAAGAACGGGAGGTCGCAGGTTCGATTCCTGCTCACGGTGCATGTTATTATCTTTTTGCCTCATCTTTTTGGTTGTCCCGTCGCAGCGAGCGATATCTTTCACTCATACGCTGAGACTTGCCTTGTTCGCACGAAATTCTCGACTCTTTGTTGGCCAGAATGCATTGCATTGTTATGTTCTTTGATCACCAACACTCCAAATAATGCCTTTGTCGTTGACAACCTATGTTCTTTGTCGATTGTCACACAGCTTCAGCTATACTTACTCAGCAGCCAATCGTCGCAACAGGCTTCATGAATTCATTGTGACATTGCAACAAGGCAGTAAGCCTCCAAGCAGTGAAACCAAAGTATTGATAAGGTCTCGAGTCTTCTGCCTTGAACTCGAAACTCACAGCCCAGCTACCAAGAGAGCACGAACAACCAAAACAGACCCAAGAACATCAGCAACCTCCAGACTACAAACTTTACAGCAGAACCAGAACCAACTTTAAAAATGCCTTTCTTCTTTCCCTGCGCTATTTGCGGCTCAACTTTGCCCAGCACCACCTTTGCCTATCAAAAGCACATGACTCAATGCCACTGGTCTGGTAAGAACAACAACACAAACACATTCCCTTTACCTTCCATCTTCACAACCTCCCCAATGCCCAGCCCTGTTGCTTCTGCTACCTACTCCTGCTTCTTCTGCAACTTTGAGTTGGCAAATGTGAATGAGCTCGCTAGTCACTTGATTGTCTCCCACAGCTCTGATCTTCACAGCATTCTCTGCCCTAAAGCCACTGACGCCTTTCTTCGTGTTGAGATTGCTGAGTTTTTGAATCAGTTTGCTGCGACTGGAGCGAGTTTTGTTAGTCTTTGTTATTGTTTTCCTGGTCACCCTATTCACTTCACCAATTATCTTGATTGGACTGAGACTGATGGCACTGAGACCGAGACTGAGATTGCTGCTGATGAAATTGCTGATTCTGGTCTTGGTGGGAGTCCTATGTCTACTGGTTCTCCTGCTGATGGTCTTGCTGCTGAGAATTCTAATCTTTTTGCTCTTCCTGGTGGGTCTGCTCCTTCTCTTGATGGTAAATCAGCTTCTGCTATGTCTGTCTCCGCTGATAACAAGTCTGGTTCTGATCCTGCCTCCTCCTCCAACATCACACCCAAAATCGCTGAATTCTTGGTTTCGATTGGCCTTACTCCCACTAGATCGACGTCTGGCAAAAGAGTTTATCTTCGTCCTGTCATGCCATAAAACAACAACACAAAAACAATCCACTGGTGTCAAGGTATGGGTGCCAAGTCAAAATCTTCTGGTGTTTGGGTGTGGGTGCTAAGTTCTTTCTTGGGAGTTT